CGGATTTCATGAGTTTGCTTTCCCAGGTTTAATTGAGAAACTGATTTCATTTTCTGCCAGCTCATTTTGTCCGAGGTTGAAATCACAGATGCATTGATCAACTTAGAAAGTTATTTTACAACCAGGATCGCATCACTTAAATGAACAGCATGAACAACACAGTCCTGGAGTATTTGCCCCTTTAGATACTTTTCAAAAACCCAGTTTGGGAATTATACACTGTATAAACATCACTGAGTGCATTTTATTCACACTAGGGTGTCCTGGTATAGCCTTGCGCAGTTTAGATCAGATCGGGGACGTGGTGTTTACATGCACACACAGAAACTATTCATATCCCTGTGTTTAAAATGAGTACTTGTGGCCTGGTTTCTGATTAAACGTGCCTGTGATAGTTGGTTTATATGGCAACCACTGCCATTGATAAATCTGAGAAAAATGAGACAGCTGTGGCTCATCATGGACTCAGCACAATGAAATGTTAGCATTATATGGGTGAATTGACTTCATTTCTAGGGAGAGGAGACATCAGCCAAAGTATGTCTGACTGCTGTCAGGCTCTCATCACCACTGTACGTGTTGGGAAACCATGGCAATGATGAGTGTGAGGTAAAAAATCAGATGTCTTGACACCACTCTGGACATGAAAACAGGACCCACACCCTGAAACAGAACTAAAGAGCCCGGCTAAGATGGTTTCTAATGGGCTTGTTTCCAGTCAAACTCTGGAGTTGAATCAGGAACTAGGTCACACCAACTGATGCACTAATACAGCTGAAAGGCAATTACAATTAAAACATACATATCTGGCCTATTTTTGCGGCGGGTCTGACTCATGGTAGCAAAGTGGTGTTATGTTGTAATTGGCGACCCCATCAACTGGGATCTTTCAATCAATCAATCAATCAATCACTTTATTTATAAATCACTTTTCATACATGGCTTGTATCACAAAGTGCTGTAAATGAAATACAAACTGTAAAACTAATAAACTAACTAACTAATAAAAGAGCCTTAAAATGTATTCTAAAAGATACAGGAAGCCAATGCAGGGACTTTAAAATTGGTGTAATGTGGGCTCTCCTCCTGGTCTTCATCAGCATATGTGCAGCTGAATTTTGCAGCAGCTGAAGCTGTGGAATGTTCTTTTTAGGAAGACCAGAGAGGAGAGCATTACAATAATCAATTCTGCAGGTAATAAAAGCATGGATAAGAGTCTCTGCACTGGCTTGAGAGAGAAACTGGCGGACTCTAGAGATGTTCTTAAGGTGATAAAAAGCCTTTTTGGTGATATCCCGTATGCGTGATGCAAAGCTGAGATTAAAATCAAATATAACACCCAAATTTTTAACTTGTTTTGAGGGATTAAAAGAAAGTCCTTGGAGTTTGTTCTCCAGTTTCTCTCTCTCTGGACCTGTACCAATGACTAAAACCTGGGTTTTGTCCTGGTTGAGCTGCAAGAAGCCATCCAGGACTGGACATCTAAAATACAGTTAAAAATGGCATCAATGTGTCATCAGGAGACACGGCCAGGTAGAGCTGTGTATCATTAGCATAGCTGTGAAAGTTAATGCTGTGTCTCCTGATGACATCTCACAATGGTTACATATATAGATTAAAAAGTGTGGGGCCTAAAATTGAGCCCTGGGGACAGTGGCGGTTCTAGACCAAATTACTCCCCGGGCGAGCACCTTTGAACAGATAGTTTTGTATTACTATGTAGTATTATTATTATTATAACAACAAAAATAATATATTTCTCAATTGCAGAAATCCTTCAATAGAAAAAAACACAATCCTGAGGGCCATTTTGAGAAGGGCCCCCAGATCCTGAGGTTTTCTGAAGTGTTAAGGTTTACAAAAAAGCTGCTATCTCGGCCTCTGTAGTAGATAGAAACAAAATTCAAAAAGAATTTGAGAGCTTAAACACGTGGCTTTCAAGAAAGCTCTCCTTTAGTTTTGCGAACCTTCATCACATTTTGAAAACCTTGAACAAACAAACTCAAATGAAATAAAGCGGCTGTATAAATAAAAGTAAAGGCTCTGCACTGGAGAATGACAAATAATTTGCTTTCTGTAAAACAAGTGGCAGTCATGACAAAGTGTCCATTCAATACAAATGTAAATATAGAAAATAAGATGTTGAAAGGGTATACAGCTGCCCCAGTATAGTGCCAGTACAAAAGCAGAACTAAAAACTAAAAAATGAATAAATAAATACGTGGCTGACAGTGTGTTCATCTCTGTTCTCACCCAAAGTCATGCAACACTCAGAGAAAACGCTGATAGTGTGAGCCACAGCACTCCATATGAAGAGGTTGTTCACACTGCTGGATGTTTCTCCTCTGAAGCTGCTCTCTGTCTCAGTCATTGTTTACTTTACTCATGAAGCTCATCAAGCACGTAGCAAGATCCGAGCATGAACCCGAGCGCTTTATTCGCCTATCAAAGGCAGACGGGTACGGTGATTTCATTCACCGCGACTCCAGAAATGATTAAAAAACTACAAAATGACGTATCCGCGCTCCCGCTGATATGCTGACATGCGTACACAGAGCAGAGCTGTCCCCCCGCGACTCTCTCCCCGCCTCGTCTCCTACAGTCTGTCAGCCTCTGTGCAGCACCTTCGGAGCAAGCAGGGGCGCCTACAGCAGCGGGGGGGCGCCAATTTGACAACAAGAGTTAATACAAAACCGCTTTGCGGTTAAGATTTATTATTATTATCTTTTATTTTATTTTTTTGGAAGTGCTCGTGCCGCTCCCCATGAGTCATGACACAAATGCCGCCCCGGGCGGCTGCCCTGTTCGCCCGTGCCTAGAACCGCTACTGCCTGGGGAACACCACCCTCCATTTCATAGGTTCTTGATAAGCTTTACCCAGTGCTCACGTAAAATTTCCTGCCATTCAGATATCTTTTAAACCAGTTAAAAGCAGTACCACAGATGCCAATGTAGTTTTGGAGTCTGTTTAAAAGAATTGTATGATCCACCGTGTCAAAAGCTGCACTCAGGTCCAACAGCACTAAAACTGAAAGAAATTAATCCTTCATCCATGTTGGACCTGAGGTCACTTACAATCTTGACCAGTGCCGTCTCTGTTCTGTGATTTTTCCTAAAACCAGACTGAAATATGTCACCAATATTTTTATAAATCATAAAATCATTTAACTGGTTAAAACAATCTTTTCTAAAATTTTGCTTAAAAATGGCAGGTTGGACACAGGTCTGTAATTATCAGGTACCGCTGTATCCAAGTTGTCTCTCTTCAGAAGGGGTCTAACACAGGCTGTCTTAAAGGCAGTGGGAAAGACCCCTGTCTGAAGAGAATAGTTAACAATATTAATAATGTCATCCTTAAAAACACTAAAAGAGATCTTAAAAAGGGATGTGGGGATAGGATCTAAAACACAGGTCAATGGTCTAAGATGGGAGACAACTTCCTCAAACCAGGGCAAACCTGTCCAGTGTCTCCCCATTTAAAAACACAGACTCAGAAGAGCTAAAATCCTCAGGCTTACTGTTTAAAAAGTTTGCCCTGATAACATCAATTTTATTTACTGCACGTTCTTCACAGGATAAATCTGAATTAAAAGGTTGCTTAAAAACAGGATGTGTTAATTGGTCAATGGTTGAGATACACATTTGGGGGTTATTGCAATTGTCAGCGATTAATTTCGAAAGGTGGTCCTGTCTTGCTTGTTTTACTGCTCTGTTGTAAGTGGTAAATTATTCCCGAAAAATCTTGATAATGCACTTGTAATGGTTTTTTTCTCCATCTCCTCTCTGCAATTCTGCATTTTCTCTTTAATTTGAGAACCTCGCTTGTTCTCCATGGTGGTTTTATGTTTGGTTTGATCTTTTTCACCTTTAATGGTGCAACAACATCTATTGCTGACTTAAGTTTTTGGTTTAAATGATCAACAATAAAATCACAAGCAGAGGGTAAAATAGCCTTTGGAGCATCAGTTAAAATCCCACTAAAATTAGCAGCCACTTCAGAAGTAAGATAGCATTTCCTGACAGTACGCTCTGGGGCCCCCTGCTGGATAAAATCCATTACGTTAAAAAACACACAGTGATGGTCGGACAAGCCCACATCCACAACAGAGGACACAGTAGCTGATAACCCAAAGGTTATTAAAAGACCCAATATATTTCCTCTGTTGTGGGTGGAGCTCGATACATGCTGCTTAAAATCCATAAAATTAATAAGATTTAAAAATTCAGAGCTAAAAGAGTCAGATGGATTACCAACATGATTATTAAAATCCCCTACAATGATGATTTTGTTGTACTTTAGATAAATGATTGATAATAGTTCTGAAAAGTCACTGATAAAAGCAGAGCATTTTTTGGGTGGCCTGTAAACAGTTAAACAAAATATAGGGGTCTGCTAAAAACAAAGGAGTGGTACTCAAATGAAATAAAATCACCAAATAAAACCTCTTTAAAACCATGTGAACCTAAAAGAATTGTTCAGTCCCCCCACCCCGTCTACCCTCTCTAAAAGAATATAAATAATTAAAACCGGTCGGGGTGGCTTCATTTAGTGCTTGCGGGTCCATCAGAGCAAAGCCATGTCTCAGTTAAAAACATAAAATCAATACTGTTATCTAAAATCAGGTCATTGATTAAAAAAAGTCTTATTTAAAAGAGAGCGTACATTTGAAAGTGCCATGTTGAGTTTTCGCTCTGGTTTGAGGTTGTAATGATTAGGTCCGGAGTATGGTTTTATGGTGTGAGGTCTGGCGTTGGTGATAACAGTGATAGGGAGTGCATGGACGGAGGAAGAAAGTGCTGAGGGTGCTGTGGGTGAAGTAGGTGATGTGGGCAATGTGGGTGGCTGAGGGGCAGAGTCTATAGAAAGGTTGTTTGATATGGTATTTAAAGTGTTTTCCTGGTGTTGGGAGTGACAGTGGGGGACAGGTCCTGGCTCATCATAATCAGTTATTGGTAAGTATGGGGAACCAATTTTGGTGGTGCTAGGACCCGGGGGGACATCAATAGTAGAGGGACTGATTGGAGGTGGTTGACGAAGGTGACGTTGATTGTTCATTGAGGTGAGATACATGTGGGTGGTAGACGCTGTGGAAAAGGTTTCCTGCAAGCATTTTTGCCCCCTGCCAGTTGGGATGGACTCCATCGCCCCTAAAGAGTTCTCTCCTGTTCCAAATGATGTTAAAATTGTCTATATAGTAGTTCACACTGTCTGCAGCACAGGTTGATGAGAGCCAGGTGTGCAGCGCCAGCAGCCGACTGAAACACCCACAGCCGCGACTAACGGAGGGGATGGGGCCTGATATGTGGACCTGATTTACTGCTCTCTGGAGTGTAGTGATTAAGTGGACAAAATCGTGTTTGAGGAGCTCAGACTGCTGTTTATGGATGTCATTTGTACCTGCTTGGATTATTACTGTTGTGATTCCTGGACTGTTTGAAATGAGCTCGGTGGCTGCGGTGGTAATGTCGCGGACTGTGGCGCCGGGGAAACAGCATGTCAGTGCCGAGCGGGATCTGACATGACGGATAATAGAATCTCCTATCACCAGAGTTGTCAGCTGCTGATGCTGTGGCTTACCTAGTTGCGGGGGGCTCCTTCCCCTAGATGAGGTGAGCTGTAGCGGTGCGCAATGTACCGCTGCTCCAGTGCGGTATGAGGCTCCTGTCTTGCGGTGTGCCGCTGCTCCTGAGTGGCGGGAGGCTCTTGCTGGACCCGATGGGAGGAGCCTCAGTGGTGGACGGACTGGGCTGGCGGGAGGCTCCAGGCGGTTGGGTGGATTTTTGTCAAGCTTTCCCAGCACCTCAAACCTGTTTCCCAGCTGAATGGTCTCGGAGGGAGTAGTAGAGCCAGGTGGAGGGGTCCTGGAGCTGCTCCGACCAGGCTTCTTACTCGAATGACAGCCCATGGCTCTGCGGAGGCTGGTGTGGAGCAGTTCCGGACTTTCGGCTTCGCACTTCGCACCGAGGACAGTCCAGGTCATACTCCTGGCTGGACCCGACGATGGGCTGCACAGTGTCAGAGAGGTGAGCGGGTCCAAGCCAGGGCAGAGTGGTGTTGTTGTCGGCTAGGCTAGGAAGCCTCCGTGGCCAACGAGTCCAGCAGGCGTTCGGAGTCATGGATCTGGTGAAGGGTTGAGATCTGACCCTCGAGTTCAGTTATTTTCTGGGATAGCTGAGGGCATCCAGCCCCTCGAGAGATGAATGTTGCTGACCGCTTGCTTCTCTAGTTATACCAACTTTAGTAACGACCGCAGATGGCAAAACAGAGAGCCACACGCTCAACCAAAAGAGCCACTCTATAGCCACAAATAATGCTCAGAACGGCATCAAACTCCATCAACAGTACATATAGGGTCCCAGCCATAGTACTAGCTGCCAATCATCTTTTTAGCTTTGCCTGATTTCTTTAGCAAAGAGACTTAACACAACTTAACCACTCTCTTCCAGCAGCCGCTCGTTTGTATGGAGACCTCAGGCGAGTCCATTACTGCAGCGGGGTGACGCAGCTCAAGGAAGAACAGTTATGATCATTACTTTATCATTTCCTTGAAGTAATAATAATCATATTGATCATTTTGCACTGCAGATGCAGTAGTTCTTCTGCCTTAGCGTCTCGGTCTGATTGCATATCCATGAAGAAATGATCATAAAAGTTCTTCCTTAAGATGTGTCATCCCACGGCAGTCGGTGGACTCGCCTGAGATCTCCGTACAAACAAGCGGCTGCTGGAAGAGAGTGTGTGAGTTGTGTTTGGTCACTTTGCTAAAGAAATCAGGCAAAGCTAAAAGATGTTTGATGGCTAGTCCTATGGCTGGGACCCTATATGTATTGTTGACGAAGTTAGGTGCTGTTCTGAGCATTATTTGTGGCTATAGAGTGGCTTTTTGGTTGAGTGCATGGCTCCTGGGACCACTGTGTATTGCTATTGTGTGGTTGTTACTAAAGTTGGTAAAACTAGAGAAGCAAGTGGTCGGCAACATTCATCTCTCGAAGGGGTGTCTAACTCGGTGTTACGGTGTGTCTGACCCTAACTTAATTTTACACTGGAATAACCCTTTGAGAGCTTCATTAAACACACATTTGATGATAATATCTTCATATGAACCAGGATGCATTTGTGAGCACTCTTTCCACACTTTATCAACCGTGGCAACCACTGACATATTTCATCGTAGAGCACCAGATTACAAGATGATTATACGCTCCTCTGGGACTGTGTCTGGAGGAAATTTCCTGGTACTCGAGGTCAACCACCATCTTTTAGCTGTTAAACTCCATAATTGCAGAGATACTTCCTAATTTACTAAAATACACTCATGCACACCCTTTTCACTAAGTTGATCTGAAAATATCTTTGAAAAGCTTGTATGATGCCAAAGTGTCCTCAGTTTGACAGTGTGAACCCAGAGTGTTCTCACAGGAGCACAAAGACAAACAAACACACACACACACACACACACACACACACACACACACACACACACACACACACACACACACACACAGAAAAACACACTCATACACAGAGAGCATGTAACACGCTGACAGATCACACAGCTCGACTCAGTGAGATGAAAAGAAAAAGAGAAGTGTGAAGAGATGCAGAGAAAAAGAGAAAAACAGTGTTTTTAGGCCAGTCTAGTTAAGACCTCACTGTCCCAGTTGAACAGAATATAGAGCTCACACTTCGAGATGAAAGCTGTGTGTAATGGGGGGGATGTGTGTGTATGTGTGATTGTGTGTGTGCACTGTACACTCAGCAGTAGGTCTGTCTCTCTGGGACAGATCTCAGTAGGAGTTAGAGCATCAGAGTGGAGTGGATCAGTGTTCTCGCTCTGTGGCAGCAAATCGTTGAACGACATTAGGATGAGAAGGGACTCACCAGACTGCAGGAATCTGACCTGAAGTCTGTGGTTCAGTTCAGTCACAAACAGGCTGACAGACACATTTTGGTTGTTGTGGGGTCAAGCTGACTTCACTGGGTTACTGGCAGAGTTTTACACCTCACTGTTTATCACCCATTACAGTTGATTTGTGGTCATTTTCTGTCTTGGTTTTTACTGTGAACTATTTGATGGGAACTTGACTTGAGCAGGAAAGTTTCAGATTAGTTAACTTTGTTGGATTCACCTCTTGAGGGATATGTAACTCAGGATTTGGACTCTTCATGTGGCATAGTGAGATCTACCTAAACCTGGTTGTATTCTTTGACTGCAGCTGGTCCAGCTTGTATAAACCAACCTAATGCAACTGCTGGATATCAGTCGAAGATTATCGGTCTGTTTTAAAGACAGCTCAGTGTGTTTGTGCTAATCTAAAGCATGAACAGCTTCCTCTGTGTACATTCACATCAGCCCAAATCTGCATCATCCAACAAACTTATCTGCAAACAAACACTTACATTCATATTCTAGATGAAGAGCAGTTCATTTAGTGATTCAAGGATTTATCTCATAGGATCCTTATCATCGTAGAGTAGCTGGCCTGACTTGAATTAGCTGACTTCCATCAAGATAACTAAGTTAAGAGAAGCATGATATTTTGGCTGTCCTAAATAAGTTAGTGAGAAGGAGCAGTTTGCCACGAAACTGCATTTTTCTGGCGGGCTGCTATGCATACCTTTTCAGTCTGGAAAGAGGGAAAAGGACGAAGCACAGACAGATAAACTCTTTATCGTCTCATTCTGTCCTAACGTACTCTTTAAACCCAATTCATGAGCAGAAATCTGGTATTTTAACAAGTTTTAACCGGTTTTTAAGCCTCTATTACAAACAAGAGTTAAAAGTTTTGGAGTGGCTTAGCGGAGCAAATGTACCCAGATCAAAAAGCCTACAATAAAAGTGTTTTGTTTTGGTTTCTGACAGGCTCAGATTGTCCAACAGTGCTTACATTTAAAAACAGTGTACACAAGCAACTGCCAGGCAGTAAAGGTCATAACACACCGGCGAATTAGTGAAAAAGCAATGCAAAAATGCGAAATATTCTGCTTGCGCCTTTTCCTATACACAACTGGTGCAACACAAATTAAATTCTTATATTCACATTAAAATATGCCACGGGAGAACAGAGAAAGAGAGAGAAGTAGGAGAAACAATGGCGACTACATCCTCAAGTGATGATGACCTGGTCATGGTCGTAAGCCTATTAAATAAAAAAAAGAAAAAGAAGAATCAAAGTGTCTCTGTACATCCAATACTGACCTTGAGACAGGAGAAGTGGGAGTTCCACACAACGATCCAGGAGCTCAAGTTGTATACTGAGAAATTCCAACAATACTTCAGAATGTCCCTCGGACAATTTCAAGAACTGCTCCATCAGCTGACTCCATGTTTGCAGAAGGAGAAATTACAGAGAGCTGATTGATTCAGAGCGACGGCTTGCCACATGTCTGAGGTAAGATTTATATTAGACATAGAATTATACAGCAGTTCGCCTACGAATGTTCACAAAATTTGCTACAGGGGTGAAAAAATACAGTCGCTTATTCGCTCTGCAGAAGTTCGTAGCTGGTGTGGAAGCTTGCATTGACTTTCTAATGTTTTAAATTTGCCGGTGTGTAACGACTTAAAGATTGTAATAATTGCTGCTTTTGTTACCGTAGTCTAGTGGTGTTAAAGAGAGGAGGATTACATCTGCTTCTCAAAAACACTGATCGATCGTGGAAGTCACAGGAGTTGCTGGTCTACTGATCTACTGAGAAAGATTATTAGGTGTCTCAAAAGCAACTCCCGGGTACTTAACAGTAAAATTATCTGAAGTAACAGGATCCTTCATATTTAAAACAAGAGATTTAACTGTGCTTTTTGGTTCTAAATAAGGATGTAAAGATCTTTGAATACTCAGTCCAAGTTCCCGCTGGGACCACAGATTAAAATAAAATCAACAATTTTTTGTGAAGTAATCCTGACAGTATGTTTGAGGTATGGAGACATGCAGGTACGCACAGGGTCAGCTTTAAAAACCAAAGGGACATATTTCCATGTTGAAACACTCAGGATTACTGTTTACAATTACAGACACATGGTTTTCCTCCCTGGCAGCCTAAGTGTCACTTACAGTGTCAAACACTTACTGACCACACTCAGTGAACCATCATGGCTTGGCTCCTAAATCTGTCCAGCCCTCCAAGCAGTGGCAGAGTATCAGGCCAGGTTTACTGCCACCAGATTAGCTTTCAGTTGCCTTAGTCTGACGTGAGCAGCTGACTGCTGGCGGGCAAACGGAGAGGGCTACCACGGCCTAAAAACAACAACAGTCCTCTGCCTTCAGCTGGAGCCACCTACGGTTACCCGCCTTTTTTATGGACATGAAAAAAGTGAATGTAGCAGTGCAAGGAAGTGCAGCGACCATTTTTTTGTTCACGAGACCTGATGTGCTGTGCTCAGGTGTGCGCAAAGTGAATTAAACTCCTCTCTACCTCCAATGTTCATTGATGACTCAGATTTTTTTTAACTATCGCAAAAAAACAAATGAAGTGAGTAGCGTGGCGAACAGGCCGCTGATTCATCTCATTTGTGCACGCAGCTCTCTCAGTTTGTGCAGGTCCCAGACTCAAAAAATAAAAACTTGAGTCTGACTGCATCTTCACTTTGGCTTTAATGCGCACCAACAATTTCTCTTTTTTGCAACCAATGTGAACACAACATCAGAACAAAGTTGTTCCAAAGTGTTTTAACCCATAAATTAGAGATACCTGGCCAGACCTGGCCAGAGAGAATAGCTAGATTGAAAGCCTTTTAAGTCACCACTTCTATCCAGTTAAGCATCAGATATATTGGCAAAAAAAAAAAAAACCTTGGAGCTACTGCAAAATAACAGATCGAAACAAGACATAAGTGACTAGCGCTGAGCCCCCTGACTCTGGTACTCCGGGGTTTGGGGGTTTACTGGCAGCAGCTTCAAGGCTCTCAGGGAAGCTCATGGATGCACTCATGTTCGTAAAGATTGAGTGAAGCTGTCAGCAGCCGTGATGGGAAAGTATTAGTATTTTGAGTGTAATGACTGAAATAAACACTTTGGATCAAACAAACTGCTCGTTTTCTGTCATCCTCAGGCCTCCCACCTCATCTTCTAAACTCAGTCACAGCCTCCTGGTCAGCTTAACACAGCCTGAGCCATTTTTAGCAGCTAATGACTCTCCTCCTGAGCAAGAGTACGAGCTACAGAAGTTACCACAGATTAACAGACAGAGGCCACACACCACAGGCAAACACACACAAAGCTCTTTACTGACCTGCGGAGGTGAGGAGGTTAAGAGTGAAGGTGAGCCGGGATCAGAGAGTTTACGGGCGTAAAGGATAAAGACAGGAGAGGACTCGAAGTGAGGATAAAAGCTTTAGGAAAACTCCGCTCAGCAAAGAACTGCTTAACGCCAATCTTGCTGCAGATGAATAATCCATCATAGTAAAAATTTAATCACTCTTATTTCTGTCAAAGTTAACTGCATAGCTGCAAGGTGGTACAGCTGTGAGGCTGCAGCTCTGACATGCAAAGGCCTCTGCAGATGCATTGTTCCTTCATCCTTAACATTTAATGATATCAGATAAGGTACAATATTACTGCCATGGCATGTTGAAAAAAGTACTGGAAAAATTCAATGCAAGTTAACCAGGAATGAACCTTTAAAGTCAATACAAAAACTGCAGTTCCCCAACAGTGATGGAACCAGACTAGTGTGGGGTAGCCAATGAGGGGCTTACTTTTAAGAGGTGGACATTAGAGGCTAAGCTCAAACTGAAAGGTTATCTCCAATAATCACATCTGCTTAAACTTCCTACATAAAAATTTGATATCCTTTGGTATGACTCTAACTTTGAAAGGTAACTCAATAGGGTGGCATCATTTAAAACAAGCATTTAGGAAAATACAGTTATGGTTTAAGACTTCAGTAAGGTGGCCAATCATGTTTTAATAGCTACACCACTCTTCCCTGATGTCAACTCAAGACTGACTTAAAAAGCCAAAAACATCCCCATCAGAGCCCAGACTAAAATAGCAACTTTAACAAGTTGAACTGACAAAAATGTCAGTTTTGTTGCTCATTTCTTTATCCATAAGAAGTTCAAATATACAGTAACTGCTAATAACCATCTTTATTTAAAAAGGAAACGTTGATATTAAACTGAAAATAATCAGCACTAAACCTGTAACTAACTGGTGCTGTTTACCGTCCACTGTAAGACAGGGAAAATGAAAAAGAAGCAGCGGCTAGCTAGCTTTAGCATCCAAATTTATTATGAATCTAAAAACAAAGTGAGAGCTTCTTTAAATACACAGTGCATCAAATTGTCATATCAATGTCTTGTTCTTCAATTCTGCAACTCAAAATTTGGTGTGGTTTCACAATTTTACAAAAAAACTACTATGATCTTCTGAACTCCTCAAAACATGAAGATGCATAATTCTTCATGTTTGCACAACATGAGCAATGCTAATGGAGAGTCAGTGGGCTCTCTGGGTTTGATGGGCACATGTTTGCATTAGAAAGTCATGGGACTAAGTAGGGGTGGGAATCACCCATAGAGTGTATATAGAATGGACAGAGTCTGCCTCCTCGCTGGGTGAAGCCACTCTGAGAACAGCACCCTCTGTTGATGGGCTGCAGTATAGGTCATAAATCCCGCCTCCACCAGCAAAGCTTATGGGGCTGTGGACAAACTTTAGAAATTTGCTACACAGAACATAAATTTTTCTCCCCCCTGCTTGTGATGCTGACATGTAGTTATTGTGAGACTGGTTTGTGCTCAAGTCCTCTTTTTTCTGTGAAGCTCCATTTTTAAAAGTTATTAGGGGGTTCATGTTTTCTATGTTTGACACCTGATACAGCCTCTGGGCGTTCAGGGATTGCGTAGCTCTCCCGGGGGATACGCTGTTTGAGCCGAGCGTCATCACAGCGACTCTCGGCGACTGCGTGGCTGAATGCGCGCATCGCTACTGTGCAGCGCTGGTTTCAGGAAATGAAGAAAAATCCCGGAAATACCGAGAGCTATTTGGCTTCAAATCTGTATACAGGTGGTAGGCGGAACCAATTCGTCCATAGTATATACAGTCTATGGAATCACCAGTGGCCTCACGATATGATATTATCACAATAACTGGGCCACAATATGATATTATTGCGATTTTTAACATTTTGCAATACAGTGAGTATTGCGATACAATATATTGTGATTTATCCAATTTTTTAAACTGTTTAGCTAATTTAGCATTTGTCTCTTCTTTATATTTGTCTTATTTACTCTGTATTTTATTTTCATGTAGCATATCTTACAAACCTTATACATATATTTGTTGTACTAACTTTCTTCTGCTCTATGACATCACCTCTGCCAACCTCACTGGACAAACAGTTGATTTTATTTTTCCATTATCATAGATTGGACTTCATATTAGCATTTAATTTGAAAAAATCGATACTTGGTAAATGAGACGATATGGTATATCACCAGACAAAATATCATGATACTATGCTGTATTGATTTTTTCTCCCACCCCTAGAACTGCTAGGGTACTTTGCGTGCAGCAGCTTATTTTCTTTACATGCAGATTGGTCTAAATCATGCATTGGGGCAACATGAATATTCAACATTTAACGATCAAACCTAATCTTGTAAATATCTGATAAAATATGCCACAGAATAAGCTTCAGTGGCTTATCTTGAAGTTTAAAGTTGCATTTGAACACGTTGTTGCCAATACAGAAATATCAACTTACCTCAGAATTAATCGGCAAATAATATCTGAATTGATGAACCCTGTCTGATGTGTTGGCTCAGCACAGAAAGTGGTTTAGAGAAAGTCTGAATCACTGAAACCCCTGACAGATGGTGATAGAGGTCAAACAGAGGCATGCGGCGGGTACATGGCATTTTCTCTCTTGACCCTGGCACTGACAGAGGTCAAGGGTTAATTTTGAGAGCAAAGGTTACACTTATTATAGGTAATTTGCTCTGGCTAAGCTTGCAGTGTTGGGTCACTGACAAAGCAGGTGTTAAATGGTTCAGATTAAAACTTTCCTAAGAAGCACTCAGCTTTCCTCCGCTGCAGATTCTGCCCACAATCCCACCTTCAAGGTAATAATCCACCTTCAGATCCATATTTCTGTACTACTCCACAGATTAGACGCCAACGGTTATTTTTGGTCTCAGCAGGTCAACATCTTTTCTTCCTCTCCCCACCGTTTCAGCTCCTTATTTATCACTGGAGACACCTGTAGTGTTTGTGAAGTGTCCCTACCTGGAAAACAAAAACAGCTCACAGTGTCCCCTTTAGCTGCTGTGATGCAGAAGCAGAAAAATAATGTCTTGACTGTGGCCCTCACAGGATTTGAAAAGTCATAGCAAGAGTTGGGAAATGTGACGACTAATGACAACAAATTTAAAGGTGCAATTTGTAGGATTAAGCAGACACAAGACAGCAGCCAGGAGGGTTTTTGGTGTTTCCAGGTGTTGTCTCGCCCTGTCCCTCTTCCTTCCAAACCTCTCTTGTTGATTATGATGGCTGGTCATGTACTGCCTTATATGTCTGTTGGTGAAGTCACGGCATGCCTTTGCCACTCTATGATTGCCAATTCTGACACAGTAAATGTAGTCTGACCTGAGCATAAAAGAATATCCCAGTATTTTTGGAGTGAGGTTGTAAGCATATCAGCCACAATCGATGCCGCTCAGCTCAGAGCCTTTAACAAGGAACTGCTGGAGAACCAGTAAGAAACCTAGGCTTACAGCTTTCAGCAGACATGGTCTATTTAAATTTGTCTGAAACTATGTGTTTGCTGTCATTCTTGGTTTGGTCTCCTTTGAAAAAAAGGATCTCTGATCTCAATAGGACTAACCTGGCTAAATAACAGTTAAATAAATGAAAATAAATAAAGACAGGGCTGAGGGCACCACATAATGTAGACCACAAGCTCTCATCTTGGTTTAATCCATAGACTGTATATACTATGGACAACTTGGTTCCGCCTACCGCCTGTATACGGATTTGAAGCCAAATAGCTCTCGGTATTTCCGGGATTTTTCTTCATTTCCTGAAACCAGCGCTGCACAGTAGCAATGTGCGCATTCGGCCGCGCAGTCGCCGAGAGTCGCTGTGATGACGCTCGGCTCAAACAGCGTATCCCCCAGGAGAGCTACGCAATCCCTGAACGCCCACAGGCTGTATCAGGTTTTAATCATAGAAAACCCGAACCTCCTAATAACTTTTAAAAACAGAGCTTCACAGAAAAAAGAGGACTTGAGCACAAACTAGTCTTACTGTAACTAAATGTCAACATCACAATCACGGGGGAGAAAAATTTCTGTTCGTGTAATAAATTTCTAAAGTTGGTCCACAGCCCCATAAGCTTTGCTGGTGGAGGCGGGATTTATGACCTATACTGCAGCCCACCAACAGAGGGTGCTGTTCTCGGAGTGGCTTCACCCAGCGAGGAGGCAGACGCTGTCCATTCTTTATACAGTCTATGGTTTAATCGCACGCTTTACTGAGAATTTTTCATCGCGTTTGACTATCTGCTGATGCAACACATTTCTGTTCTCTCACATGCAGTGCAATCAGATTTATGGATCTATGATCTAAGTGAATGATCCACTTACATGTGACTCATATAACCCCAGTTAAAAAAAAAAAAAAAAAAAAAAAAACTAAAATGAAAGTTCAACACTTCAAACTTTGGTCTGTGGTACTCTTTTAGAAAACATAAAAACTTTCAACTTTCATCCTCAGAGAGGGGAATAAGTTTGGCTGCCCATGCAAAGACAAAAATCAAAGAGTGCACCAGTCAGGCAGGTCACAGCTTTTGAAAAAGTGTTTTTAACGGGAAACATCTATTTCAAGAAAGGCATTTATTCAACCTGTCAGAACTTTTTTTTACATTTTCACTAACACAGTTAAAAAATATCTCATGAACTATCATTTGTATGGTGAAAACTCATTTTGGGCAGGTGAGCTTTGCTTGGTCTCTGAACTTCAAACCTGGCACTCTGTCTAAGGCTTGGCACTGCATGCAGGATTTTCAACTTTTTACCAGGACAAGGTAATCTCATTAATCTCGCCCCTGCAGTCTCACAAAAATAGGATTTTGGTTTGAGGAATAATAGTGGACCCTGCTAAAAGACAACACTAATCATGCTTGAGATCAGCCTCTGACTGGTTTATTGTCTGCAGACCACAGCTAGTCAAGGCTGGGGCTGTGATTGATAAGGGCAAAATTTGGCTGATCAAATTCAATGACAGAGCTAAAGGAAGTGCCTAAGACATTGTTTTACTCAAGTCTTTATTTCTACGTTTTAAAACAACCAAAGTATTCAGGCTTTGACAGGGTCAGTGGTGACCTCAAAGGTCGAAGGGTAGTGGATACACAATGGGCTAATATGAGGTTTAAATACATGCAACTTTAAGCATGAAAAAGTCCAACTCAGCGGTTCCTAAAATTAGTGTTTCCTTGCAGCTACAAACAGAAATAAGAGCTGGCTGGACCTCCAATATGGGCAGCAGAAGGTGTATTACATCACCTTCAAATCTTCCATTCTTGCACCATCTACCCTGTCCACCCACCCATCCACCCCCCAGCGTATCTCCTCTGTTGTGGGCAGTGTCACCTAACAAGATCACTGCAGGCTAATCAGCAGGGAGGATTCCCATTGGCCGAGGGCCCAAAGGCCAGCCCATGGCAGGAGGTTGGCATGACAACAACACCAATTGACACTGACAGGTCATTGCTACACATAATGGGATTATGGAGATGGGATGGAGGGAGGGAAGGGGTGAGAGGTTTTGTCAGAACAGAGGGAAAGGGAAGAAGGGTGAATAGTTTGTGTCACTGTGTGTTGGTTCCACAGACGCTCTGTCATGGCTGCTGTTGTCCTGTTTTAGCAACATGATTAGATCCCGAGGCTAGTTTGGGATGCAGCTGACCATACAACTCTACAGGGAAGACTGGAGGCTAGGCCGGTTTCTCTGAGGCAGACTGCTAAAGTGGGTTAATTGATATCTGCAAGGCTGGAACTGTCTAAACAGACTCACATTGTAAATGGGGTTCTCCAAGGCTAAATCCCTAGTCCTCCTTTCTTTTAAATCTCAGTGAAACCAGTGATGAAACCCTGTCCTGACCATTACCAGTGACAAAGTTCTTGTGAGTTCTACAAGTGCCCATAGCCCCGATTTCCCTTTAGTCAAAGTGGTTTCCACTGGTCCCAGCCCAGCTGTCCCAATTACAGGAAAGATGCTAAATGTTGTTTAAATAATCAGCTGACTACTCAGCTCATTTTGCCAGCACTACCGTCTGGACCACCCTTTTCCTGGGCTTAGAACATCTCCTGATTATTTAAAGCTCCTGTACTTGTGGTGTGATCACAAACACTCATATGTCTCTTTTGTTGTGTGCTTTAGGCATGAGTCCATGAGACTTTACCCTAGAAAAACTCCAGAGAAGTTCATGAACTTTGCACTAGACCCACAGTGACATCAGGTCATGACAGTGCCATCCAACAAGCTTTTGAGATTATGCAGCTTTTAGTTTTGTCATGTTTATTATTGTGTGCCAGAAAGAACTAACTTTTTTTTTTTTTTGTAGCTTTTCAACATTTAAGTTGCTACAGGTGCCAAATATCTACCTGACTTCTCACAAATTCCACCAGGACATGAATACTGCAAATCCAGGACTGTCCTGCAAACTTTTCCGTTTGTCCTTTTGGGATTTCACACAATTCTTGGTCTATGATATTCAGGAAGTAGTCTCAAGCGGTCTGCAGTGTTATGAAAACATCAAAAATGATAGTTTTAATCAGTTTTCAAACATTTTAATCCACATCTTGAGATGCAACATGGCTAGAAATGATGCTACAGTGGCCCTGCAAACATTTCAGTCATTGAGGAAACATTTGATATAGCACAAAAACCGTTATGCAAAACACAACAATATTTCATGAAAGACAGACACATTTCACAAAATGAACGTTTACCACAAAATTCAACATTTTATGAAAATATTTTGCATGTTCACATTTAAGATCCTCCGTTAGGACATATAAATCAACTATCATTATATGCAGACAACTTCCACATTTATCTAAGACAGTTAAAAACTGACCATACTCTTTGCACTAAAGTTATAAAGTTATTAGTCTTGTATTAACTCTCTTAAGCTGAATGTAGACTGAGCAAAGATATTTTACTTTTGCTACAAGGAGTGCTGCAGCAGGCTAGAGCTCAGCTCGACTTTCTGTCACCTAAAACCGAAAACTGAGCCAGGATTCTCGCTGTAATCACAGACTGTGAGATTTAAGTCAAATCAGTCTCCTTAACTGGCTTACCCTGTGTTAGACAATAGAGTTCAGAGGGCTGCTGTTGCTCTATAAATCTCTAAATGGCTTAGGACAAAAATACATGAGGGTGAACCACCTGAACCCGACGGCCTCTGGTTCTGTGTTCTCCGAGCAGTAATCAGAGCTGCTACACTAACTCTGCAGCTCCAAGCTTAAACTTTCTCCTGAGGATATCAGACCTGCAGCCACCTTGAATAACTTTGAGTCAAAGTTTAAAACTTTATTGCCCTGTTCTGCCTTTGAACGAGCCCTTCATACTTATGATAAATAGCTTTTCTTTGTTCGTTCTCATTCAAACTGTTTTTGACCTGCAACCTGGCTTGACCTGTAAAATAGAATAAATTCCTTTTTAGAAGATGTGAGATTAAGTGGGCTGCACATGAATCACAGGAGGTGAACTGGCCTCCATCCAACAGCTTCCATACCTCGGTCTGTATAGGGTCCATAGTGGTCACTTTCTGGTTCCAAATCCAGATCCCAATAGACTGGCACTCTCTAAATTTTACATTGTTCCCAAAGCATGCCTTAAATTGCCTGTTTCTGCAGAGGCATGATGCACAGTGATAACACCTTCTTTTCAGCCATTTCTCCAGCCAACAGCCTACAAACCTGCAAGCTTTGCCACAGACAAAACCTCGACATTAACTTTACCTGGATTTTCCCCAGCATGAGAGAAATTTCCCAAAGAAGTTGGAGTGACCTGGCATGCAAATACAGCAGGTAATATAAGAGAGAATCCACAATGAGTGAATGGGCAAAAGTGGACATTTATATATGCAATTAAGGAGGGCAACAAGTGAAAGAATGAATAGAAGTATCAATGAAAGCAAAGAATGGAGGATGTGTGAAAACTAGCTTTGGAAAACCTTTCAAGAGTGCAGATGTGAAAGCACCTCTGCGAGTTCTTCTTGATCAGTTCTGTCACATATTTTTTAAACACAAAAGAAATTCAAAAAGCACCAAAGTGTCCATAATCTAAACTGATCATCTCTGAGCTGAGGTGGCTGCGGGCTCAGAAAGGTTATTCTGAGACACAAACACACAAACTTATTTCAGGTCACAAACTTATTTCTGTCTAACTGTGTGGTCCTGCTCCATCCTCCTGCTGAGGTTTAAAGGCTGTTCAAGGATGGGACCTTAAAAGAAGAGGGACAGCATACAGTGCTAGTCAGCATGGATCCAACCCAGACGACACACCACACACACACACACACACAACCACTCTCACACACAAACAGAGGCTTAGCAGCCAGCAGGACTTGTGTCTGAGTGCTACCAGACTGCCTGTCATGTCAGCGCCTGCAGCTCTGTCATGAATCAGCAGCAGAGAGAGATGGACAGATAGAGATACTCGAGCAGAGAGGGGGATAGAGAGATGCAGGCAAACAGAAAACACAAAAAAACATTCAGCAAGTGACTTTTTCTTTTTGTCTTGAACTGCCAGTGTCAAAGGAGTTCAAGATATGCACATGCACACAGACTAATATTCAATTTCCGCTCCTTCTTCAGTGATAACAATCACTGCTAAAGCCCTGATAGAGGGACACGATCTTACGACATCATTATGTGACTGTTTCAGACAGCCCTCAACGTTGACCTTCTTCCCAGCATAACCAGACTACCATGAATAAATGGTGAAGCGAGTGGTTACTCCGCAGTGGGGCCCCTTTTTTGCAGCAAAAAGAAGGCAAATTTTGACATCATGCATAAGGAGGTTAATCATCATTTTAAGGCACAGTATTTTATTTGAACAAAGCACTGTGTGTGGACGCTGGACCCTGAGGGAAAACAGGAAACAAAGTGTAGAAAATAAAGCTGCAGTAAAGATAAAGGGCTCTATTTTCGTGCCTCACCAACACCGTGGCGCGGCATAAGTCAGGTCCGCCGCGCTGACAAGGCGTTCCCAAGCACAATTTGGTATTTTGGTGAGCAGCGCAGCCTAGCGTAAGTATCCCCCCTCCCTAACTCAGCTCCTCCCAGCGGCGAAAGTTGTAGGGAGGGAGGAGAGAGGGCGTTGAGTGGGTTTAACACAGCCGAGACCAGTATTGACCAGTAACATCAGCTCCTCTCCTCGCCTTTAAATCCACCACCGGCGAGGCGTATTACAATTTCCGTGAAGTAGTCAAAGAGATCAAGAGATGTCTGAAGACAGTAATGCCACACGATGGTGACAGAAGGCAGCTCCTTAACAAGTGTTGCTGTAAGAGCTGCAGAGGGCGGTCTTTACACTGTCTCATATAAGCACAGATGGATTTAGTGTGTGTAATGTTGGACCCACTGGTAAGACAAACACCCTTTTCCACAAATAAAGCCACTCACATAAAGTTGCATATATTTAAACCCCACATGACAAAGGTGGGTTGTGCACACAGATCACGTCATAAATTCCAATAATGACATTAAAATCGGAACCATCTGTGCGTAGAGCCCAAAATGTCACTGCTTCAATAACTACGTTTGAAGGAGCTGTCCAAGGTACCTGTTGATTGGACTTCTGATTATGCATCGCCTCAGAGTGCAGAATTTCAGTCCCTAAGTTATCAAAGATCCCTGTGTAGTGTCTACATGCATATAGTTTAACTGCTCTGGAGGATTTAGGAGGATTTTCCTCTCATGGGAGCTTTGGGTTGTTTCTCAAAGTGGTCCCCACCTCTATCGGTAAGAGGATGCTGAGGTCTTCCTCTCGTCTGATGCTAACACAGCAGAGTGGCCTTCATCACCTGTGACATATTATTTTTGTCAACACTGGCATTACAATCAGGTAGACTCATATGCTGCTGCACTTCTGATGGTCCCACTGCTGTCACCATGAATAAATCTAGATTTGTGAGTTTTAACTCTGCATCCTTTATATATTTGCAGTGTATTTCCTATTCATGCATCTATTTTGGACTTTTTTTTGTCTGTCTGAATTTGCAGCCTGGGATCCAAATTTCTGAAACTCTTGCTGCCTGTTTGTCCTTGCCCACCGTACTCAAATGTAAAAACTGTGTCCCTCACTTCTGGCTCTCAGATATCTCACACCACGTTTAAACAGCTTTAACTGCTACTGTCATTTAGGGCCTGGCTATGTTTTGGACTTGATTCTGATTGGTGAGACCCCCCAAAAAACAGTCATTGCTTTCATGATAGCTACAATGAACCTTGTGCTGTTTGAATCCTTTCGAATGAGAGCTTTATGGGTGTCAGGAGGGGGACTGGCAGCTTGAGTGGTCGCTGTTTCTGCATGGTCCTAGTGCCTGCATTTCCCCTTTTTTTTTTTTTTTTTTTGTTTGTTTGTTTTAATAATGCCTTTTTTTTTAGACTGTAAAAAGTGAAGGCATCTAATACTCTCCTGAACCCTCCCAGATTTTGGGAGTCTATTTAGGCTAACCTGCTCTCTCACTTCGGCCCTGTCACTTCTCAAGTCGGACGATCCTCCCCAGCCCCCAACTTGATGACGACGGCATAATTCAAGATGGCTGTGCAGTGCATCGGCAGTAAAGAGTAACAGTGAAAGCTCTCATAATGTATTATTTATTAGCACCTCTGTTTTGTTTTTGTGAAATTAAATAAGTGGTATATGTTGTACTGCCCAACAACTAACTGTGAACACGGTGCTATGCTGTTTGTAGAGTATACTGTGTTGTGTGTTGTTTACAACTGGTAACTAACAACAATGAACAACAGCTGGCAACCACTAACAATGACTAACAATGGCTAACGACAGCTGACAACTGTAAACAACAGCTTACAACGGCTAACTGTAGGTGTCCATCTTGATTTTCCGACTTGTTAACTGGAACGTCATGAACTCGGGTGTAAAGTCATTCCCAGCTCCGACATCCAACTTCTGAGGTAACTGGAATGCAACATACACCTACAGCCCCAGCATCCACCTGCTGGCTGAGGTCAAAGAGTTTAAGACGTAAACACATCCCTCCTCGAACCTCTGCATGCAAAAGGAGCCCATACGGTCTGATGAGGTTGCAGCCTGCAGATGCAACAGAAGTTTGGCTGCACACCTGCACTCCTATCGCAGGCCTACTTTTGTTTAGGTGCATCCAAATGCATCAAACTTGATTGGCAACCATCCTAAAAATCGTACTCTCTGAACATCAGGATGTTAACACTGTCACTGTGAGCATGTTAGCATGCTGACATTAGCATTTCCCTGAGCCTTGGCTGCAGACTCTAAGTCTTGTTCCTTGTTTCTTCTTATCATGAATAATTAAACTCAGCGCTGCCCGGCGCTGCGTGTGAATGAAGCCTGAAAGATTTACAGAGAGAAAGAAAGAGACACTGGAGTTGATGGAGAAAAACAAGACAAGAGGGGAGAAAAAGAAGTAAAGAGTGGTGGAAGGGAAAATAGATACAGAGAGGATGGATGGATGAGAGGAGGAGGCGGTAAATAGCGAAACGATAAAGGGAGGAGAAAATGATGGGGGGGGGGGGGGGGTTAAGATGAGGAGTGGAGAGGAGGTAAAACTAGCTTCAAACCTAATTACACAGATTAATGTGGCGTGTAGAGAGCAGTTACCCAAATAGACCGAAGAGACAGAGAGAGAGGGACAGAGGGAGAGAGAAAGAGAGAGAGAGAGACAGAGAAATAGTGAGAATGAGGGAGAGAGAGAGAATACTCTCTGTGATGCTTCGAGTCCTAAATGCAAATAGGTGACCACCCAACCCCCCAACCCCTCTCGTCAGACAGGATGTGTCAGCACAATACCCCCCCCCCCCCGTTAATTTCCTTCTCATTTATCTCTCTTTTTCCTCTCTGTCATTACCTCTCCTCACTTCAGTTCAATTCACTGAGTTTTATTGAAATAAAGTACAGTTCAGTGTGTAAATGTGCTGAACAAAATAACACCTCATGGAAAAACTATCCTGAGTGTGCAGATTCCTAGAGTGACTTTTAAGGAGGAATTAGAGGAAAATGAAAAACACTCATCTGAGTTTTGACCGTGATTTATGCTGTCTTTTCACCAAATTCTCTCGTACAATTATTGTCCTGTTCTTGCAGCAGAAACAAGATGAAATGGGAACGAAAGAGTCTGTTTTGGTCAGAGTCTGAGGGCCTATCAGACACCCAAAGGCTGCACGGAAACCATTTTAAACCCACAGAAAGTTGTGACAGCTACATTTGATCCTCTTCAAATTTAGAATCCTTCAGCCCGTGCCGCTGCAATTTTCACTATTCTTTTACAGTCCGTCTCTGGCAAGCCCCCCAAATTTATGTGTGTATAAAATGCAACACTAAATCACAGCAGCACGTCTTAAAATAACTTTTTATGCATCTTGGCAGCAGTAGAGACGCATCGGGAAAGCTAGAACAGAGGAGTGGGAGTCGCAGATACATGATAGGTGCATTGGGGAGCTCATTTGCGGGTGGTTAATGGCTTGGTCCTTAACAATGGCTTTTCAGGAATCCATTTGCTATGGGAGTTTTATCCCTTCCTTTTGTATGCAGATTTAGTCACAAGTCCAACATTTACGAAGTATTATTCAATCTCTTTAAACTCTCTGACCTCCCTCTCAGGTCAAGTTGAGGTGATGATACAGAACATGGGAGCATCACGCCTGTAATGACCTAAATCTCCTTTAATGTGCATCAGTTAAATGAGGGATTTTCTGTGGACTGTAAATTAGGGGAATATAATGTGAAAGGCATGAATGATGTTGTCTAAATCTTATAGAAAAACACACAATCAGTGATGAGAGGACCAGTCTAGCCTGTGCTCTGTTTGCAGCTTATGGAACTTTTACCCTTTGACTGGGCTGGAAGGATCCCCAAAACCGAGGCAAAAACAAGTCTCAAACACCGAAGTTAACTCCTATCATGCAGATTTCTTTCCAAGTGTTGATTTACCTAAGAAGTTTGGTTTTAACCTTTTAACACTGCCATTGACAGAAGTTTTAACTAATGGGGTTCCTGCAGCGCTGTGGGCACCAGATTATCAGAGCAAAAGAAGGAACAGTGATTTTAGAATAACGAAGAGTCATTGAACTTTCCATAAACATGAGTCTGTGATTCAAATCCTAACACAAATCTGTCTCACAGTGGACTGGACCCACCTGCAGGAACTTGGTCAGAAGAATGGGCGGCTATGAATACTGTAGATTGCTCAGCTGCCGATGAAGGATGCAGACCTCTCCTACATGGTAAGAATGTTTTAATTCTGCTTTCATACGGTAAAAAGATGGGATGCAATATCTATCTCTATTCAATCAAAAGGTTTGAAACCCCACAGGCACAATGGAAGTGCTGTGAGACAACTTAACTGTGCATGTCAAGTACTGATGTGGATAAGTCTGTTTCAGCAAGATGGTGCAAATCACTTACCCTGAGCCCTCCCTGGCTGCAGCAGGCATAGATATCTCTCCTTTGGGGGGTGTCGTTTCGCCTTCATTAGACAGGACAGCTTAAGAGAGACAGATGAGACAGAAACAGATGACAAGCACTGATTACTGTTGAGGCCAGGAATCAGTCCAGCACTGTAGCGTCTGCACACATGTCACCTGCTCTATCAACTGAGCTAAACTGCATCCACATCATTAGACACATTTTTATGGAAGAGTCTGTGAGCATCAGTATAAACAGTCTGTTTTATAACCATTTTAAACTCCTCATGCTGAGTTTAAGAAAAAAATCACTCAGCACTGACTTTTTTTTCCACATGGGGCTCAGACCACCTCCTCCTGGGCGGCTTGACCCATCCTTCACCCCAACTTTATCACTCTGTCTGTTGCATAACCTGACTGCACACATGCTGGGCGGGACAACTGAGTGACAAATATTGCAGTGGATGGGTTCAAATTGGGGTTACTCTAAAGCCTGGTTCTTCTGCATCTTCTGAGGGGTGCCTTTAAGAGTCCAGACTTGTCTGCCTGGGAATGATGATGAACTACATTTAGCAATTGGGGCAAAAGCTGCATGAAACCCCACAGAAAAGAACTAGAATATCTGCAAAATGGGCTCATATATGAATTTAGGCGCATAACTTGTCATTAGTTTGGGTGCAAACACAGAATAAGAAACACCAGATTCAAAGGTGTAGTTGCCTCTTAGTTCCAGTGTCAGGTTTAATTTTGTAAAATTGGGTCAGAAAACAGGTTTCATTCACATAAATATCGGGAGAGTTCAACAAAGCAAAAGCAGTTTTTCCCTCCCTCTGTCGCTGAGGCTCTGAGTTTTCATTCTTTGTTTCATTTCCCTGCTATTACCTCATCCCGCTTTGTGTGTGTAGGAGAGCGCGTGTACATGTGTGAGTGTGTGTGTGATGAGTCATACTTTTGTTTTGTGGCGGTCTTTAGTTCCAGCGGATGGTTTTGGACTGCTAAGGGTGACAATGACACACACACACACACACACACACACACACACACACATACACACACACACACACCGCCTTTAATTCATGCGAATGTGGGGCTGCAGGAGGTTTTGGGGGTGGAGGACGCTGACATGCATCACAGCAGCCCCTGAAAGGAGACCCCCCTCTGACTCCTCCCCCTTTGCACCCTCTCATCCCTCTCTATCCTCCCCTTTTTCTTTCTCCTTGTCCTCACTTCTCTTGACTTTACTCTTCCACTTCTCCTGTTTCTTTTTCCACCGTTTTTCTCACTTTTCATCACTTCCCTGTATGAGTTCCTCCCTATACCGCTTTTCTTTCTTTCCTTTCTCAGTTTTGCCTGGGCTTCCCTTCTTTTTTTCCTCTCTACCAAGCACTTTTATCACCTCCCCCCCCCTTTTTTTTTTCCAATCTCAGGCTGAGGACCTGGTTTTCACTTGAACCCTAGAACCAGAATGGATGAACTTGAAATGGTCCCACCTGTTCATCCTCCTCTGATTCATGCTGCACCTGTTTCATCCATCCCCCGTCCTTCATCCACCTCTTTATCACCCTTTTCCTCTGCTCTTCACTTTCCCTCTCTTTCCCCCTTCCCTCATCTCCTCCTCTGTACTCACTTCATTTCTCCCATATTTATTCCTCCTCCTTGCTGTTTATCCTCTGTATCTCTCCCATCCCTCCCTTTCCTCCCTCCCACTCCTCTCTCTCTCTTTCCCTCGCCTGCCTTCCATCTTCCTGTCCTTCTTTCCCATCATCCTCTCCATCTTTCTCTGCTAATGCACATCATTTTCATGCTCTTTTATTTTCCTTCAGGCCTGACTTGTTCTCTCTCCGTCACACACATTTGTCTATCACTTTCACACATTTGCACTTCCTCTTCTCTCCCTCATTGTCATCTCCTATCTCCTCGCTTCCTTTTCCTAGTGCCATTTCCTTCTTTCCTTCCTCCACTCTTCCTCCTCCCTCCATCTCCCCATCTCTCCCTCTGTTATTCCACCAGTCAACATTGATTAGATATCGAAGTTAATCCTAGCTAAACTCCTCCGCTTATAGCTTACCCGCCTCAACCAATTACAAAGACGCTTGCTACCAGCAGGGGCTCTAAACTTTGACCTGATTGGCTGACGGAGCGGCAGGCTGCCGCACGAGTACGCCACACGTCCGAAAATAAGCGAGCAGGGAAGGATGAGCAGGAAATTAATTTGACAGGTAGCGCTGAGAGCCTGATAAAACACACACACTCTCACACACCTCCCCTAACCCTTGACATACACCCTTGAGTACATACACACACACACACACACACACACACACACACACATGCTCACTCACCCATTCAGTTCAGCATGAAGACGTGAATAAAGGCTTTATGTTGTGGATGTACGCTCACACTTGCACGTACACCAGACCTGCTGAACCACTGGTAGAGTATCGTTACATTATACTGGGAAATAATCATTTATATGTAGGTTTAAATAATGTCCCTTACTTTGTTACTATTGAAAACAAACTATAATCTTTATTTTTAAGCCCTTTATAACTGATGTTAAACATCCGGTGTGACGTGTGTTATACAGAGTAAATCAGGGTGTGTCAAACCACATTTTGCTAGTTAAGCAGCACACAGTCTGAGCGTTAAGCGAGCTACAGGGCGTAAAGAGGTTGGAGTAAGTCCCATGGCTAAACGTAGACATGTTTAAGATATAACTTGAATCAGACCATTATCAATAACTTGAAATAGCCATGTCCCATTTAAATCACTAGCCACAGTCACAATGCCAACAGGTGCTAGATGATGCCATAAAAAAGAAATTTAAGAGCCGGTCTAAACACAGCTAACTGAAGTGTTAAACCACGTCCTAGTTATGATTTACAAATAAAAATGCCTGGGTAGGAAAGAAGGAATGTCTGCACAGGCAAAACAATTAATTAGATGAACACTTTGGAGAGTTTGATGTTTGCATTGGTGTTTATTTCTACATCTCTCAGTAAATGTAACTTGTGCCAACTCGTACACCTCTAATTAGGTAGTGTGACATCTTCTCCTACTATTTGCTTTATCTGCAGCAACCTGCAGCACACTCTTTGAAGCCTGACTGATTATAGTATAGGAAAGACTCAACACTGAAAATCTATAAGGATAAAGCAGCCGAAAAGCTGAAGCGGTCCTCTTTAGCCCAGCTGGGTTTTAGTGTTTTTATGTCATCCTCAGCATGATGTCTGATTTTATATTTAAATGGCAAAATAGATTTTTGGTCTCACACAGGACTGAAACTTTGGCTGTTTGGATGAATCCTGCAAGGTGAAACTCCTGTGTTCGCCCCTGAACTCCACTTCAGCCTTTAGGGTGGATACATGGTGGAAATAAACCGAGACATATCCTTCTGTCTCCTTTTCTTCTCGACCTTTAAGAGCCATTTCCAGGGTGTTATTGTGTAATCTGTTTCTGGCATTACAGCTCATCTTTCTCGGCTGTGTCCCATTCGAAACCAGAACAGAAGAGCAACCAAATTCTCCACATCCAGACAGCTGCTGTCTAAGGGGCCTTGGAGGGAGAAATGGTGAGAGTAAGACTTAAGAAGAGAGGTAGAGGGGATTTTGATTCTGTATTAAGATAAGAGCATTTTAGACCGAGTCGAGGACAGATATGAGGGTTTGGTTCAACATTCGGTCTCTTTTTGTAAAGAATATCTTAAAAGTTATAATCCCTAACTTTGCAGTTATTTTTTAAAGCTCAGGCTGGGTGGTAGGTGGTTGGATTGACAGACAGAAATCTGCCTCCGACCTCTACCAAGCAGGGTTTCATGATGACAGTCGATCCCCAGACTAAGACAAGAAGCATGGTCTCTACCTGATGATACCTTTTTATTCTGTGTAACATGATCAGCCTTAAAGGGACATTTAGGAAACAAGAGGAGGAAAATAAACAGAAAGGCACTAACAAAGGAGATTCGAATACAGTCATGGTATAAGTGGAAGAGACGTCTATCAAATTGAAGAAAACAGATGCAAAGCATCTACAAATCAGAGAGCAAGATAGGTTTCTCAAGAGGACCTTGTGTTTCTGCATGTGTCTGCAGACCCTGAGGTTAACATTTCAGTAATTTTTCATTTTGCTGCTGCTGAATGACGCAATCTACTGGAGATCGACTACAACCATCAGTCCCAGAAAACAAGATCCCGAAGAATTAAAAATAGAGAACAGGTTTAAAAATACCCGAAGCAACCTTTAACTCTGGAGTTAGTAGATCAAAAACAAGCCTTTTTCAATCATTTATGTGGCGCTCATGTGTATTTTAGGAGGCATGGATTATTGATGTGCTTTTGCAGATAAGAGTATCTTATATGAGTAATTTCTGATGACACATAATAAACACTTGGTGTTCGTAAGTTCAGTTTGTATGAACGAGATGATTACACAGAGGGATACACTGTACAGAGAGGCTCGTGAAACCCACTCACACACATGTTGTCCAACACTCACACAAAGCTCACAAGGTGTTTGCACTAATGTGAGGTGATAGAGTGTGTAGGAGGGAAGAAACATGTGTGTGTGTGTGTGTGTGTGTGTGTGTGTGTGTGTGTGTGTGTGTGTGTGTGTGTGTGTGTGTGTGTGTGTGTGTGTGTGTGCTGGTCATTCGAAGCTGCCCGCCCAGTGCAGAGCTAAGATAACACACAGAGATGACTTCACTGTCAAATCCCCCACAAATCCCTCCCTCCATGCGTGTGTGTGAGTGTGTGTGTGTGTTTCTGAGTTTGTGTGTAGGTACATGCCGTCCATGTCCTGCTTCATTCACATAACATCATCCTCTCTGCTGACTCTTTCTCATTTCCTCTTTAATCCCACCTTCTTCTTCATATCTCTTGTCCTGTAGCTTCTCCATCTAACTTTGTCTCAGTTCTTTCTCTCCTTTTTAGGGAGGATTTTCATCTTCAATTTGCATGTTTCTCTAAAATAAACAAGGCAATATAAACACAACAGAAAAGGGAAACGTATTTGATGTAAAAGGAAATGACTGTAGTTGGGATTTATCCAGTAAAGCCTTGCACATTTTCCCTTAGTTAGAGAGATACATATTTAACGTGGCAGCTGAGAGAAATGAGGTCAAGTTCTGACAAATTTAGTCCATTTTCACAAGCTCCAACTGCACATAGGCACTTGTCATCCAGCATTCAAATTCTCTGTGGAGTGAAATAGTTTGAGTTTATTAAAATATCACTGACTATTCAAAAGGTTGATAAAAAACTTTAAATGCCATAACAAACACGATTTACTTTCCCCAGAACTGTTAATTATATTTCAAACAAGAACATGTCAGTCCTTGTCAGTCCATTCTGTCAGTGACACAGAACTTTCAGTCCCACCAATACCATTTACCATCCCTGTAACCAAATATATGCACCACATTTGGCAGCCCTGTCTGTGTTGGTACTGATTCATCCAGATCATGGTGATCCAATGCTTATTCCAAAGAGGTAACTGAACTCCAACCAAGTCCAGTTACCTCTTTGGCCCATTTACTGTCCCTGAGACCATATACCTATAAGCACTTCCTAGTACAACAACCACAATTTAGTCTTTTGAAAGAGTTTCGGTCAACACTACTGCTCACAAAGATAAGCGCCATTTGGTATCCTATAAAACACAACTGTCACACCATTAACACCCCAACCAATACAACACTGTTTATTAAGGTTTGATTACTTGGGTGTTAATTCAATAACTGAGTAGCAGGTCATAAAAGAAGTCACAGTAATGAACTAACAGGCTAACAGGTAAATGGGCCTGTGCAGTAAAGCATACTGTGGTTCTGAGCCATCTTGGATCTCTGCAGGGGGAATTCCTTCTCTGCAACAGCCCTACTCAGAGCAATTCACATGCTGTACCCAAGTAATAGGGTTTACTGATCTAACACCAAAATTCTGCCAAGAATATTACCAAAGCTGACTTGAATTTACAAGTCCCATAAATACGCAGTGACACATCCCATTCCCCATTTTATGTACTCGAAAATATTTCTATAAATTCCCAATTTCCCCAACCCATTTACCAAGCATACCACCATTTGGTATCCCTACATGTCATTTTTAAATCTCTCCCTCCATGTCTGTCGTTCCTCATCTCTCTCTCTCTCTCTCTGTCTATCTGGTTCGTCTATCTCCTTTCTTCTGTCTCTCTGACACCCCAATGGATGTTATTTATTACCCAGTAGCCCCAGCTTTGGTCAGCCATGCCAAGGCTGGTCGGCTGTGTCCTCAGGCAAACTCATTCTCTCTCTTTTCATTACCCTATCTCCCTCGCTCCCAGTCGAAGCCAGTGGCTCTCTACCTCTCTCTCACACTTTTATGGTGCTGTCTGGCACTTTTTCTGTCTCATTTCTTCCCCTGCCTGTCTTCCCTTCTGTCTGTTGTGTTTTTGGTGTGTTTTTCCCCTCCTGTCACCCTCCATCCTCTGTTTGTTTTTTCCTGTGTTCGCTTTGCTGTTTACACACACACACACACGTACACACACTGCTGTCACCAGAGGCAGAGGACTCTCTCTAGACACCTCTCTGTCTGGTGACATCCAGATGACATTGGACTGTGTGTCTGAATTTGTGCTTGTGCATTGTTTTCCTCTCTTTTCTCTATGTCTTAATATCTATGTGTTAATTAATTAAATAGACAGACAGACAGATAGATAGATAGATAGATAGATAGATAGATAGATAGATAGATAGATAGATAGATAGATAGATAGATAGATAGATAGATAGATAGATAGATAGATAGATAGATAGATAGATAGATAGATAGATAGGTTTCATTCAGTTTTCCTAGCAGCAGGATATTTTCCAATCAAAGAGCAGGGATGGGGTGATGGAGAAATGAAAGAATGGAGGCGGTAGTGGAATGAGGTTGAGGTGGGGGAGGGGGGGATTGAGATGAAGAGAAAGAGATAGGGGCAATGGTGGAAGTGAATGCGTAGGTGTAGATGGGGGGGGGGGAGCGATGAATAGAGTGATGAGGAGAAAAGAGGAATAGAGAGGGACTTAAGAGGGAATTAAAGATGAAACCATGTTGGCGTGTTTGTCAACTTTGCCCTGAAGCTCAGTATGTGTATGTCTGTGTGTGTGTGTGCGTGTGTGTGTGGACGCGTGCGTGTGTGTGTGTGTGCAATTACAGGCACTTACAGCTGTGGAGCCTAATTAGCCTTCGACAGCACACTCATTAGTCTGGTTCATACTGCAAGGCCAGTGAAGGAGATTTGTCGTCTACTGCAGGGCCAAAGTGCGATGGTCTGTCCTCAACTGGTGGATCAAAGAGGATAGTCTAGTTTCTAAAGCAGGGCCTAAACTAGCTGGAATAGTTTTGTGCTTCATACAGATGTGCAAAACAGTGAAGCAATTTAGAAAATGATGATATAAGACTAAAAACTGTACTGTGTAGATGTTATTTTTTCAGGGCATGCAGCACAAGACTTTTCCTGTTGATTAGATCTTTATTTTATAACCATGCTTCGTGTAAAACCCTTAGACTGCATAAAACTCTAAAGAAGCTCTCTGAAGCCCCGTAATTGTGGCTGCCATGTTGGAAAGCCGATTTAAAGGGATATTCCGGTGTAAAATGAAGTTAGGGTCAAACACACTGTAACCCTGTTGAGAGATGAATGTTGCAGACCACTTGCTTCTCTGGTTATACCAACTTTAGTAACAAATGCAGATAGCAATACAGAGAGCTATGCTCACAACCAAAAAGCAATTCTATAGCCACAAATAATGCTCAGAACAGCACCTACCTTCATCAACAGTACATATATGGTCCCAGCCACAGCACTAGCCACCAAACATCTTTTTAGCTTTGCCTAATTTCTTCAGCAAAGAGACTAAAGAAGAGACTAAAGAGGCTAAGAAATGAACAAGAAGCTGAATACAGAGATCTGATAAGAGCCTTCAGTGACTGGAGTCACAAAAACTGCCTCCTCCTCAACACCTCAAAGACAAAGGAGATGGTCATAGACTTCCGTAGAGCCAAACCCCCTCTTCAGCCAGTGAGTAGACATCAAAGTGGTGACATTATATAAATACCTAGGTGTACGTCTGGATAATAAGTTGGATTGGTCTAAGAATATAGACTTCATCAACAAAAAGGGGCAGAGCCGCCTCTTTTGCCTGAGAAGACTAATCAATAGACATCTGTAGTAAGATGCTGCAGATGTTTTAGCAGTCTGTGGTGTAGATCTACAGTGTTCTGTTCTACGCTGCAGTCTGCTGGGGAGGAAGCATCAAACACAAAGATGTAAGACGTCTTATCAAACTGGTGAAAAAGGCTGGCTCAGTGGTTGGACTCAAGCTGGACTCAGTGGTGGATGTGGTGGAGAGATCTACACTGAGGAAGGTGGAGACTGTTCTCAAGAACATGGGTTACCCACTACACAACACCTAGATAGACCAAAGGGCAAATGGTGGTGGACGGCTCCTCTCTCTTCGCTGCAGGACAGAAAGATTTAGAAGATCTTTTGTACCAACAGCCATCAGGCTTTATAACTCTTATGTAAATAATAAATAACTTTTATAGACATATTATGTGAGACAACAGACAATTGAATTTCCCTTCGGGGATCAATAAAGTTCTTCTTATTCTTCTTATTCTTATTCTTATTCTTAAACACAACTCACCCACTCGCTTCCAGCAGCCGCTTGCTTGTGCAGAGACCTCCAGGCGAATCCATCGACTGCAGCAGGGTGACACAGCTCAAGGAAGAACATTTATGATAATTTCTTTATCATTTCCTTGAAGTCATGATCATCATATTAATCATTTTGCACTGCAGACATGGTAGTTCTTCTGCCTTAGCGCCTCAGTCTGACTGCATTTTCATGAGGAAATGGTCATAAATGTTCTTCCTTGAGCTGCGTCCCCCGCCACTGCAGTCGATGGACAAGCGGCTGCTGGAAGAGAGACAGTGAGTTGTGTTTAGTCTCTTTGCTGAAGAAACAAGGTGAAGCTAAAAAGATGTTTGGTGGCTAGTGCTATGGCTGGGACCAAATATGTACTGTTGATGAAGTTAGGTGCTGTTCTGAGTATTATTTGTGGCGATAGAGTGGCTTTTGGTTGAGCGCGTGGCTCTCTGTATTGCTATCTGCGATCGTTACTAAAGTTAGTATAACTAGAGAAGCAAGTGATCTACAACATTCATCTCTTAAGGGGTTGTCTAACTCTGTGTTACCGTGTGTTTGACCCTAACTTAATTTTACACCAGAATATCCATTTAACCTAACTTTTGGTTGTCCAAGAAGATCCAGTCAAAGAGGTGGAGCTGAGGCTGGCTGAAGTCTGATTTATACTTCTACACCCTCCGTATATATCTGAATATGTTCCTCCTATAAAATTAAAGTATGTGTGCAAATGCAGACAGCAAGCTCTGTGATTGGGTAGCATTGTATTTCCTGCATTGACAACATTTCTGGAGTCGCTTTACATTTGTCACGTACTTCATCTTCAGACGTCTCTTCTCTTTTTTCTGTGCAATAATCACAGTTCAATCAACTAAGACTGACCAGACTTGCTCAGACTCAGTGGCCAAAGTTACAAGATCAGGTTTTAATTGTGCTGTGATTGTGAAGGGTGACATAGGCCCTGGTTAAACATTTGATGCTGTTTGACTTATGGATCGCATCCTGCAGACACCTCTGCAGACTGACCAGTCGCCATGATGGCTTTGTGCACAGTGACATGAAGGGAAACTTACACCATCGTAAATGAATCCACTTTTAATTCTAGGAGACAAACTGCTCTGAGGCAGGGTTCGGTGACTTTATGCAAACTCTGTTCTATTTGTTATGGTCCTTTTACAGTGAAATGCTAACACTGATTTCTAATTGACTGTTCTGATCGCTTTATTGTAATGCTGAAAGAAGCGTTTTGCAACTGTGTGGATGGTCAAGTCCCCCTGTAGTCTAGAACTATCCCCTATATCCACTTAAAACTGAAGCCCCTTCTGTGTTATGTGTGAGGAGGACTTTATCTGGGCAGCCTCAGACAGACAGTAGGAGTGTATATTCTGTGTTGGAGTGTGAGAGTGTCGGTCTGTCTGGTGTGGAAGCCTCATTAGGTGAGCATATGGACTGATCTGCAGACGGTCCAGCGGTGATGTGGAGCAGAACGGGTCTGACTCAGCACTCCTGCTGCTGAATTACAGCTGCAGGTTTTTCTCTTCTGGACTTTTTAATACAGCAGAGTCACTAAAACTCGCCGACTTGCCTCCACATATCTGAGATGCTTTTATTTCCCGGGTGAAGATTTTATGATGTTTTTAATTGGTAAAAACTGAACAGCTTTAATTTAATTTCTGACCTTTCCTCCAGACAGAGAGCGAGCGTCCTCTGAGTGAGAAACTACCTGTTACTGCGGGTCAGTGAGCAGCTCTGATGAGGGCGGCGGCAGATTGCTCAAAGGCACATCGAACAGAAGAGAGGAGAGCAGAGGAAGCAGGAGGGGGAGGAGAAAAGGAGGCTGCTGGCTGTCAGGTTGAATCATCCTCTTAATCACTTCAGACGGAGAGACGCTCTGAGTGACACATCTCTGTCTGGCCTTCTCCCTCACTCTTCCTCTCAGTGTCCCTCGCTCAGTTCTGATTTCAATTAATGAGCTTCAGCAATGAAGATGGAGCTGCCAAGTCTGTTTCCAGGACCACATCCAGTCATAACTGGCTGTTTTAAAATCACACTCTTAATATGAATGAAAAAGTGCCACATTTGCAAGTCAACAAGTCCGACCTCTTCCTCATAACAACCTGATTTAGAGAGCAGAGCAGATGTTCCAGTTAGTCTGGCAAAACCCTTTGTCTCTCTAGTCCCTTTCACACACTACACTGCTGAAAATTTCCACATGTTATACAGGTGGGCTGCACCAAAGACAGACAATGACCAATAACCCACCCTGTTTTGTTTTTTTCTGACAGCCCCTGAGCAAAACACCCATGTAGAGCTGACTGATAGTTTCTGATTGTGCATGTGCAAATACATGCACAATCAGAATGTGTTTTTTTCTGCTTTGACCTCTTAACTGCAGAGCCAGCTTACAAGCACAGGGTGAGAAGGTTATTATTGACAGAAGCCTGTCCACCTCTTCAACAATAGGTCCCCGTTCACGTTCATTAGGATCAGTGTGTCCCCTGGTTGACGTGTCAAAACAATCACCAAAACCCGCTAGCAAGAGGCTACAGAGATGTACATCAAAGAATAAAAACAGATTTTTTACAGATCTATATGATGGGAAAGTTGCTCTTTTTTTTACATTCTTTCTTCATTTGTCGAGATTTGTTTGTTTAGTACTTGTAGCATTCAACCCCCAGCTCAATGCCTGGGATGTGAACTCTGGAGCGTGCTCAGAATGCCTCGACCAAACTTAGTCTGATTAAGCCTTATACTTCCCGTACTGTGAGATGCATGTGTAAAAGCCAAGTGTCTGAAATTAATCAATAAATGTTGAGAGTTCATGCAAGAATGGAGCTTCTATTACCTGAAAACTAACTTTATTTTCATTTTAGGCTCATTCCTCCCTTGGCAGTCTCACTTTCACCCCCATTACGACACCCTTGACTGAAGCAGTCACAAAACTTTGTTTTCACCACTGAGAGCCCTAAGGACCAGTGTTTGAACAAACCTAAATCCCACCAACCACTTCCAGTTCATCAGGTGTTGAGATGTTGAGATACCAGCAAACTTGTAGTTTTATCAACTTAAATAAAGGGAAACATCAACTTAAATGTAGAGTGATGACAGCAGCTGAAGAAAGCCGCTGCTCTACGGTGACAGTCCTGTCCACTTCTGACTGTTCCCTCAATCCAAAGACATCCAAGATAACAGCCAGCTCTTGAGGAAACAAAGATATCAGTGTAAGTATTTCTCTTTTTTTATGTTTCAGCCCTGTAACTGCCTGGTGATCTGTTAAAAGTCTAACCTTGCTTGTCCCCCATTTCTTTAAGATCAGCTCCAGCCCCCAAACCTTTAAGTGCCTAGTGTCGAAGATACTGGCTGCATGATACACTTTGATTTACCTGCAGGTTTAAAATGCTAAAAAATTTACTATGAAGTGATATTGATTTATGCAAACAAAAAAAGGACATCCTTATTTTCTTTTTCTCTCAAGTCTGTGAATAGAGCGAGAAGGAAGCTGCACAGTTACTGTATAAAGATAAGGCTGCACGCTGCACTGCATTCATATTCTCATAAAGGAACGTTAAAGATGGCTGTAAACTCAGTCTGATCTCCAGACTTTAGACTCTCTGCTGGACTTCACTGTAAAACTGTCAGACCTGCAGAGGCTGTTGAAACCTTTTTAGACACAAACTCATGATGATAGGAAGAATTTAGGTCCTGGCTTTGTCCTAATTGATACCTTTCACACATGCAGAGCACATCAGGACACTATGACTCCTGAGTTCTCAGGAAATACTCTATGCCGTACTCTTGAACCTGAGCACTGAACCAGCTTATAGAAGAAAATCTATTAGCTGACTCCAGAGGAAAAGAAGAGAGGACATTCATAGAAATGTAGTGAAGTTAAAAGTACAGTGAGCAAAAATATAAACATAACACTTTTGTTTTTGCTCCCATTTGTCATGAGCTAAACTCAAAGATCTAAGACTTTTTCTATGGACACAAAAGACCTATTTCTCTCAAATATTGTTGAAAAATGTGTCTAAATCTGTGTTTGTGAACACTTGTCTTTTGCTGAGATAATCCATCCACCTCACAGGTGTGGCATATTAAGATGCTGATTAGACAGCATGATTATAGTACAGGTGTGCCTTAGACTGGCCACAGTAAAAGGTCACTAGTTTTATCACACAGCACAATGCCACAGATCTCACAAGTTTTGAGGGAGCATGTGATTGGCATGCTGATTGCAGGAATGTCCACCAGAGCTGTTGCCTGTGAATTGAATGTTGATTTCTCTACCATAAGCCATCTCCAAAGGTGTCTCAGAGAATTTGGCAGTACAACTGGCCTCACAACTGTAGACCACGTGTAACCACACCAGGCCAGGACCTTCACATCAAGCATGTTCGTCTCCAAGATCGTCTGAGACCAGCCACCTGGACAGCTGCTGCAACAATTGGTTTGCATAAGCAAACAATTTCTGCACAAACTGTCAGAAACTGTCTCAGGGAAGCTCATCTGCATGCTCGTCGTCCTCATCAGGGTCTTGACCTGACTGCAGTTCATCATCATTACCAACTTGAGTGGGCAAAAGCTCACATTTGATGGCTTCTGGCACTTCGGAGAGGTGTTCTCTTCACGGATGAATCTCGGTTTTCACTTTACAGGGCAGATGGCAGGCAGCGTGTTTGGCGTTGTGTGGTTGAGAAGTTTGCTGATGTCAATGTTGTGAATTGAGCGGTCCATGGTGGCAGTGGAGTTATGGTATGGGCAGCCATATGTTATGGACAGCGAACACAGTTGCGTTTTATTGATGGCATTTTTAATGCACAGAGATACCGTGACGAGATCCTGGCATTTCACTGTGGCCAGTCTAGGGCACACCTGTGCAATAATCACGCTGTCTAATCAGCATCTTGATATGCCACACCTGTGAGGTGGATGGATTATCTCAGCAGAGGAGAAGTGTTCACTAACACAGATTTAGACAAATTTGTCTACAATATTTGAGAGAAATAGGTCTTTTTTTGTACATAGAAAAAGTCTTCGATCTTTGAGTTCAGCTCATGAAAAATGGGAGCAAGAACAAAGTGTTGTGTTTATATTTTTGTTCAGTGTATATCTGACTCTTAAATGCAGTGGGGTACAAGTTATCAGTTCCCCCTGAAAGAGAAAATACTTAGATTATATACAGGTACTTTGCCACTGTTCACTTCTCTTTGTTGGTTGAAAAGCACACTCTGCTCCACAAAGTGCTTCACATCACCAACTTCACAATGAACTCTGTCTCTCAGGAAAGTCTGCAGGACAAGGACTTGGGGAAAGTGCATCATTAGGTGTTGCAGGATGAACTCCAGAGTCCTGCGCACCTCCGATTTTGTGAGAGCAGGAGTGCAGATAGTGAGAAGTGTGTGCCTAATGAGGGGGACTCTTCTGCTGTGGAGACTGTTATCCTGTTGATATTGATACAACAAACGTGGACATGAATGCCATTCAATTTAAATATCTGAATGCAGTTTATGGAGAGTGCAAGCTCGACACCCTGCAACTTTAAAGATGCCAATAACATGCCTACCTGCTCGCTGCAAACATGATTATTTGCTCTTTTTACACACCAGCTCAGTTAGACTGAACTGACATCAAACTTGGAGCTTTCAGGTTAACATCTGTTCAAGGATGATTTCGCTAATTTCGATATTTCAGTCTTCAAAGCAGGGTGACGTTCCGACATGTTCAGGTGTAACACATGTGTAAAAGGAGCTCAAAGAAACAAAAGCAGTTACTAATGCCTGTCTGGGATGACTCTTTGTAAGCCAGACTGATATTACTTGAAAGATGCATCAGCAGTATATACAGTATATGAGTGGGATTCTGGTAATTTGTTCTGCATGCATGGTTGAAGCGGGCATCTAAAACACCAGGGTTAAGGCTGTGAATGCAGGACTGTAACTCTAGTCTCGTGCATGAAGGAAAGATGTCAACAGTTGCATAACAGACATCCAGTCTTGGTTGTGGATGCTGGTTTTGACTGTAAAATGCTGTGGCTCACAATCCATCTCTGTGGACACAACTCCTCGGGATTGTGTACAGAGTAAAATATGACATCATCTTGGCTGAAGACAAAGTGTCTGCAGGAGAGCAGACTGCATGAAGATGCTCAGCTGCTGAGAGGCTTTCAGTGGATGTCTGTAGCGTGACGGGGACGTGACGAAGCTGCAGTGTGGAACTGGGACGCGGCGCAGAAACATCCAGAGAACATCCGGGGCTGCTGAGGGCGAAAGGGGGGCCAGAGCTGAGAGCAGAGGGACATGTGCGATTATTCTTTATTGAGCGAGCAGCTCAGTGTGGACATCTCTGAGTCCGTCTGACTGTGTTCAGCTCACTCTGAATGGGTAAGGTTTGAAAAAAAAGGGGGGCCTCTGCTCTACACCCTCCCCCTCCCCACCTCCTCTCTCCCTGCTCTCCCCCCTCTTGATGCTTTGCCCCCATTGTTCTCCTGCCTTCACACACGAAAACACACTGGTAAAAAACAATGCCTGAAACGTGAATGGAGCAGCCACCACAGGGAGAGTTGTAAGATGTTGGCGCCCAGACTAAAGCCGACTCTCTCTCTTTCTCTCCCTCGCTCTTTCCCTCACCTTCTCTCTCTACCTCTCTCTTTACATCTCGCGTGCATCCTTCTCTATGAATCCCCCATTTTTTAAAGCCTGCGCGCACATCACGGTCTGCTCAGCGGCGCGCAGGCAAATGAACCCTCGAGAAGATAATTTCTCTCTAAACCCTCTTAACTAGACGATGAAATTTAGGGAGGGGATGAAGAGAGGAGGGGGGGTCTTTGCAAAGGGGCGGGGCTGGTGGTCTTTATAGTTGCCAGGGGCAACCATAGGGGAGTGAGGGACGTAGAAGGCGTCCTGTTTGAGCGTGCATGTTGGCGGTGTGTGTGTGTGTGTGTGTGTGTGTGTGTGCGTGTGTGTGTGTGTGTGTGTGTGTGTGTGTGCGTGCGTGTGTGTATGTGTGTGTGGGTGTGTGTGCAGCGCACGCGTTCAGGACCTGCCAACGTCCTGCTGCGCGACCCCTCGCGCCAATTCTATGTCACACAATTGACCAAGAGTGAGAGAAGGAGAGAGAGACACACGCTGAGAAAGAGAGGGAGAGAGAGAGAGACAGACATACAGAAAGAGAGAGAGAGAGAGAGAGAGACGCAGACGCGCAGTGAGTGAGCGACAGACAGTGAGAGAGAGACCTAGACAAAGGCGTGGAGAGAGACATAGAGAGAGAGAGAGAGAGAGAGAGAGAGAGAGAGAGAGAGAGGATGGCTGGTAGGATTTAGCCCCGGCAGCGTCTTTTCCCGTCGAGCACAACAAGCTTATTACCTTTCTCTCCACGCGCCTGGAAACGGATTTACGCGCACGAAAGGAGGTTAGTTTAACTCATTTATTCACATTTTCTCCCCTTCTATCACCCCGCTGCTGTTTGCATTCAATTTTGCCTTTGATTCATATTTTTCTTACCCTCTAAATTGACCGTTTTATTCGCTCCCGTCGGTATGAGGCTACAGGTCGCGGGAATGCGTTTAATGGCGATTAGTGGGCGGGTAATTAGCCGTTAACGGTCATATTAACCTGGTAGTAGTAGTAAGAAGGAGAGGTGATGGTGACTGGGGGGTACTTGTGTAAGAAGGTCCTTGTTTTTGTCGTGGTTAGAGGGGAGACTGAATGAGTGGCGGCGGTGGCGGAGGGGGACAATAAGCGGGGCTGTTGTTTGGCGACGCTGCTGCGCGCGCTGTTGCCCCCAAACCGTTGATCCAGCCGCTCCAGGGAACGACAGGAGGGGAGAAGGAAATGAAAAATGAAGGAAATATGCAGCTGGAGGTTTAATTGTTTTGTTCAATCAGAGCAGAGCCCGGATCAGTCACAGAGACTGGCTCAGGTCTGGTCGGAGTGTCTGCTCGGTGGGCTGCGGGAGGGTTTTTGTGCGCCGTTTGGAGCAACAGAGGCGGATAATCTCCGTTTTTTGTGCTCATATGTTCATGTTGGAGGCTTTAGCTGTGAACTCACGTGGGGTCTTCTTTGTGCTCTTACATCGATGCTCTGTGACATTTCTGTGATATTTCTACGCTGTAAAGGGGCGTTTGTTGCTGGGGGGGGGGGGGGGCAGACATAGACGGTCAAATGTTAACTCTCCTGCCTCTGTGCATCTGACAAGTGTGTCTGTCATCTGCTGTCCTGTGCGTATGTCTGTGGATATGTGCGTGTGTTTGAAGCGCGCGCGGTCTGAAGAATAATACCACCAAAAATCCCAAAGGCGCATGGAGTTGTTTCTGCGCCTCGACAACAATAACAACACGAGTGCAATAAACCAGAGAATATTACACAATGCGCGCGCAGAGAGACAGAAAAAAGGGGCGGGGGAGGGGGGCAAGGGGGTGCGAGGGTCCATCAGCCATTTTTTTCCGATGAAGCGCGTGTAAAAAGCGCACACACGCACGCACATGGCGACAGACAGGCTGAAAACATTATAATCACAGCCGGGCGTCCATGTGTGAAATGTAAACGAGGTCAGCGAGGAAGAGGCTGGAAACACGGTTATTTACAGCAGAAATCACACATTTTACATCATTATCATTATTATTGTGATGATAATTTTTGTTGTTATTAATCTCATGAATGTGTTTTGCTTGGAGGAGGTTTGATGAGTGCGCATGCCAGCCTATCTCCCCCCACAATAGACAAGGGGGCTGCTTGTTGGGAATTTGGCGCTTCACTTGTTTTGCTGAAAAAAGAATTCAGTGTGAGCCCCTCGCTCTCTTTATCTCTCTCTCTGTTGTTGTTGTTCATGGAGAGCCCTCTATGAACCCCTCTCTTGCTGCTCTTTTAAAGCTATTGATCCTCGTTTGTATCCCTGTCGATCGACTGATTAATTGATCATTTAACGCTCTTTGCGCGGCTCACTCAGTGTGTGTCGACACACTCAGCCGCCTATTGTTTCCACTGTAAATCTGATTGTAATAAACGCCTTAAAATCGCTTCATTAACCTAAATTAATCGCCTCACAAACATTTTCATAATAAATGGACGTTATTATATTTTATGTAACGCAGTTGGGGGGATTTACAGTCCAGGGCCAGTCAACAGTCAAGTCTTGCATCATGTTTCTGTTGTTATCCTTGTATTTTAGCTAGAAATATCTCCAAAAACAACCTTTTTTAAATGTTTGAAATGTTTTCGCCTAAATCGATTTTTTCCGACTTTCTTCCTTTGTTTTCTTCGGTGCCAGTAAAGGAAGATCAGAAATAAAAACAAGTCGCCATATTAGAAGCTTTTTTTGCCCCCCAAAATGGAGGGGGAGGAGGCTCAGAGGAGCTCATTAGCAATGCAAATTAGTTTTTCTTCAACGGGGCTCGGGCACCTGCTGTCTCGAGCATGCGCGCACCCGGCTGGCTGGCTGGCACCCCCCTTCCCACCCCCCGCTCTTCTGTCTCGGGAGCGCGCCTCCCTCCCTCTTCTTCATTAGAATCATGTCCATGGAGCGCGCACAAACGCGATTGGAGCTCTGACGGATATAAACAAGAAGAAGAGCCCGAGCGCTCTCCTCTCCGTCTTTAAAAGCGTCTCTGTGTGTCTCGCGCTCTCTCTCGAGCAGGAGCAGCCGTTGGCATAACAAAGAGGGAAGGGGATGGAGAGAGGGAGAGGAGAGATGACAGAAGAGGAAAAGGGACGGCGAGTTTATGAAGACAAAATTAATGGAGAAAGATAAAATAGAAAGAATGAAACTCAGGAAAGAGAGTGAGGATGAGGACCACACAATGTAAACATTCACGGTCTTTTATTCATGGCTTTAATATGTAAAAATGACATAAATCATCATTAATTGCCCTCGTAAACATCAGTCCTTATTAATAGTAGGAAACATGGCTCTAGCTGTTAAAAATACAGACATTAATATTTAAATGTCCATGTTACACCAGAGAGTAGTATAAATGTATGGTATAATGTCCAGGCTATGTACTGCTATTGGATGCTATACTTCGGTTCTGATAAAGTTCTGGAGAGTAAGGTTGTGAAACGTACACAGAAAAGACTTCAGGACAACTAAAACAGATCATTTAAAACTGGCAAAAAATGTCACGAAAATTAAGGTGGAAAGTTGACTGAAATTATCTGTATTTTTACACTCACCCTAATTAGAAATTCACAGAGAAAACCCACACTTTCCAGGGGTGTGTCCAGAGGTGTTCATGGGTGGCATGTGCCCCTCTAAATCTGATTTTCCACCCCACATTCTGCAATTTTGATTGACTGTTTGGCCAATATTTAGATTACAGGTAACTTTATTTGCCTCTCAAATGTCTAAGCAAAACTGTTCACCCCACCTCTTGTTAGTACCTGGCAAAAAAAGTGATGCATTAATTTTGTGCATGTAAAATAAAGATGCGTGTTACTGAGTTTGAAAATATTGGATATCTGCAACAATCAAATGTTGTGCATCCCTTAGTTTGAGGTGTAACCTCTGATAAGCATCTTCATTTTGACTATGATGAATTCAGCATTGTAGATATTAGTAAGTTACTCTCTTACAGTTAAAGATGTAGACAGGGTTCTAATATCTGTTTATGCCACCTGTGCATGAGTCAGGGTCCCAGCCAGACCACCTCAATCAAATAGCCTGGACATGCCCCTTCCTGTATGTGCCTGAAATATGGAGTAGGAGCTTTCGACTTGTGTCAGTTTTGGTGCCCCCTATGGACAAAACAGTCTGTGCTAATCTTGTCCTCTAAATGCTCTGGTAGTGGCTCATCATGGTTTTATCATTCGTCATCTCTTGTGAATATTTGATGCATTAACAGTAAAAAGAGGACTATTTCTTTAGTTGCTTGGCCGATACTTTCCCTCACACAGATTTTGGCCATTAAAAGTTATTCTTGTTTATTTTCTGATATCATAAAACCACATCGATATGAACTTCAGTCGATTTTACAGTCAAAATATTCCACAGGAGCTTTAAATCACTGCAGAGAAAGACTCCAGATTCATTGATCAAAACAACATTTCTTCCTTGCTGAGCTCAGGAGTTGCTGGTTTACCTCTGATTCAGTTTGTTAGTTCAAATTTCTTAGAAAAAACTAAAACTATAGCTGCAGTTTGGCCTTTTTTTTTTTTTTTTTTTTGCACAGGAACAGTGTTTTAAGTGGCCTTCAAAAACGGTTGCCAAAGTGGGCTCTTAGAAAATGTCACCACTTTAGTTGCTGTGTATACACAGCAATGAAAGTGGTGACAGAGTATACTCTGGTAATAGGCAGATCCTGTGGAAACCGTTGCCGTTATGCACAGGTGCATGTTGATCTTCGTCTGTGTTTCACTGCAGAGTTGTACCCCCTTTCTTGCTTGGCATGCACACACCAGCATTTTCAGCTGTTTCAGCAGATCCATGTGCACAGGGATCATGTTTGCATTGGCAAACTCATAGTGAGCAGCACTATTCTGGTCTAAACAAAGCCTTATTATATGTTCAATGAAATTGGGTCAGATCTGAAACACCAGAGCTGCTCCATCAAGGCAGAGGCAGACCAGCAACCCCTGCTCAGTTAAATTACTGCTTTTGTCAATGGGGTTTGGTTTCTTTGAAGGGAATGATGAAATAGCTGTTCAGGGATCAAAACAAACCCTAACCTCAACACAACCTCTGGCCCTGATCCGTTAAGCCCATAAAACAATAAAACATGAAATATGCTGTTTGTCTGGCTCAATAAAGGAGCTTTATGGTCATTTTGCTGCTATGTCACATGAGTTAAACAGCCGGCATAAAAAATTCAAAATCCTAAACAATGAGGGAGTACAGGGTTGTTGAGAGCAGGACAGCAGAGAAGTTAGGATGCAAAAGGGCAGAGATGAATGAGGAGAGACAAATCAAGAGTGTTCGAAACAGAACAAAAACAATGGATGAACAAAGGACAAAGGATAGATGTTTGATTTAAAAGAAAAAGAAAGAAGAAATGATCTGAGACTGAGGATGGAGGGATGACAAGACAATTAAGGAAAGATCTTAAAGAAAGAGAAAAGAAGAGAGAAGAAACATAGAGGAAAGGTAGAAGAAAGCACAGGAGACTCATTTACAAAAGATTCAACTGAGGTTAAATGTCAGGAAAATAAAGCAGAAGATGAAAATTAGGTTGAAATGACAAATTCAAGGAAATAAGGAAGGAAGCTGACAAGAGGTCAAGGAGGACACATTAAAAGGAGGAGAGGAAGGGTATAGGAAACACAACTGGAAAATTGGTTGATGGGGTGAAAAATAAATCCAGAACAGTAACAAATGAGGAGAAAGTGAGAGGAAGGCGTGCAAAGACTAAAAAGGAGAAAGAAAATTGGGGTAAAGATGGAGGAGGAGAAGAAGGAGGAGGAGACCTTCAGGTTTTTTGGCCAACATGATGCTGAAGGTGCAGATGAGGATGAAGAGGAGGAGTCTGTGGTTCAGTGTCTGCCTAGTGCTCGCCATCTAACTGCAAAAAATCAGACGGGCACACTGAGGGTGGAGGATGGAAAATGGTTGTACAGACAATGAACATGGCGTCTGCTGAGGCAACACAAGGAGGAAATTGTTCAGTGATGTGCGGCACATCTCCCTTTCATCACATGCACATCATGAGGGGGTTTAAATCAGTACAATGCATAAAACCGGTGTGCAGAAAGGATTCACTGCATCCTCATGCAGGTTCATTGATAGGCCACTCTGCACATGTGCAAAGGAATGTAACATTTTTCTTCTCGAAGCAATTTTGAGCATGAAGGACGACATATTATGAGCTTTTCAGATTATTGTCATTTTCAGAAATTAAACAACTTAACTTCACGGTTTTATGAAAGGATTCAAAGCTTCACTCTGCTTGACCACAGTATTTCAATATTTCACTCTAAAAGGACCATTCCAGAGGTTTTTTTTTCAGCAGAAATAGCTGCCAATCTTGCAGTGTGATCTGCTGGCTTGCATGTTGACATCCTTAACAACAGTCACATTCATTAAGCATGCTCCCTGCTAAGTGCAGTGTTTCTCTCCAAAGGTTAATGTTTAATTTCATAAAAGTGTAGGAACTGTTTTATAGTGTGAGTAGAGCCAATCTTTTTCAAACGGGAAATAAAATCCTGCAGAAATGTAGCTTTTTTTAAACGCACGCTCTGATACTGCAGAGCACACATTCCCTAAACTGACTGATATCTATCTTTGCAGGCTGTTGATCTTGTCAGTTTATTCAAAATTCACTTTGACTTACAGAAAGCGTTGCACTGAGTTTCATAGATGCAGTTTTTCTCTCAGCTTTACCTCACAGTCGCATGTTTAATGAAGACAGATGGTGAAAGTCTGTAATCCATCATCACAGAACAGTAACATCAGCCTGACATGATGTGTTCAGTGTGATGGATCACTCAGGTCCAGGTGAATAAAGTCTCTGCAGGTAGTTTTTTTACACTGAGGCGTGAAAATCACAAAAAAAAAACAAGACGCTTTAGCCCCACAATGGATCATCTTCATCATGTGCACACATATTTTTACCATTGTGCAAACAAGACCACTTGTGCACCTATGCAGTTTTTCTTTTGTGGAAAAGTATGGAAATCACCTTTGCAGAACTCTCTGCAGAATTCAGAAGTACCATTGGTGGGATTTTTTTAAAGTTACTGTAGAGTGAGGTCCATTGAATGAACATTAAGGCCACAGTATATGAAGGAAATGTTTTTCAGGAAGTGTCTGGGGCAGTTATTATCTAATTTAATTGTTTGCTCAAATGAGGCAATGCATTTTTTATTTATTGTGTGGTGCAGCTACATTAGGGCTGAAGAAAACATCAACACACTTCAGTATCCTTTTTGTCATTAATCATTTCCCTAAAATTTTGCAGTTATGTAGTTTTTCTAAATACAAAAAAAAAAGCTTTTTAACTTATTTGTGCACACCATGACTGCATCACCATGATCATCTTTCAAAAGTCCCTGTCTTCCAGCTTGACAGCATGTTGCACAAAATAGTCACTAGAGATGGGAATCACTTGTGGCCCCATGAAACAATATTATTACGATACTTGGGCCACGATACAATATTATTGCGATTTTTAACATTTTGCAATACAGTGAGTATTTTGATACGACTTACTGTGATTTATACCATTTTTTTTTAACTGTTTAGCTAAATTATCATTTGTCTATTCTTTATGTTTGTCATAGATTTCATCATACTGTTGGTCCAGAGAAAATCTTTCCAATTAGGAGATTGTTCATAAGAATTAGACTAAGCCTTTAGTGTAATGAAGCCAAACTGATCCTGAAGGGTCTCAAAGCTGCATTTTTCTAACGACCAGCAGGAGCTAACTCTGCTAGTTACTGAAAGGGTCTTGAGCGTGCAGAAACTTACAAGAAAAAAAGCCGAATGTCACTCAATATTTCAACACAACTCTTTCTTCTCAGAAATGATAGTCTTTTTGGTCTCTTGGTTCAAGTCTGCTCTGATACAGCAGGATGCTCATTTTGTTAATTATGGTCCCATTTAGAGTCAAAGACACCAGGAAGCAGGGTGCTACCTGTGATTGACAAGTTGCTGAAACTGTGACCTGCTTAGTCAAATTTAAGGCCTCAAAATACCTTAAAAAACTTCCACTAATGCCCGTTTGTCTGCTTCTTTCACATAGAAATGCTGAACTGACGCTGTTGTCTGAGCCTGTCTCTTCAGTGTCTTCTGTATCTCAGGAAACATGCTTGATTAGTGTTGTTCTCATCTGCCGTTTTAATGACCTACTTTTGTTGGTCAGTTTTTGTCGGCGCTCATTCATGAAGCAGAAATTCCCCAAATTCTCTCTGGCTTGAGATTTCAACATTTGAGGATGTGCTGCATTTACTTGTTTGTGCATCACAGTCTGCTGGGTTTCTTTTGGGTTGCATTGCAGGTCAGAAGAAACAAGTTGTTTCAGCAAATGATGAATTAAAAAACAATGGATTTAGTGGGTGTTGCAGCTCCAGGGTGGATTTTTGTGCATTCTGGTGGTTTGGCTCATAATGCTGCAGTCCATCCTTACTTTCACAAACACTGATGTGTCTCCCAGCCTGAGAGCTTGAAAAGACAATGCTGGAGCTCCACCAGTGGACAGGGTCAAAGTTTGGATGCTGCACAGCAGATATGAGGAGATTATTTGACCAGAAAATATAATATGGAGAAAAAAACCCTCTGCTGGAAGACTTAGGAGATAACATCAAATCGGTATTAAGCTACACAGACAGATAGCGTTGCCATGGATAAAATATTTAGCTGGCTTTCCAAATCAGCCTCCCTCTCCTCTCTTCACTCTGCATTTGTGTGTGTGTGTGTGTGTGTGTGTGTGTGTGTGTGTGTGTGTGTGTGTGTGTGTGTGTGTGTGTGTGTGTGTGTGTGTGTGTGTGTATGCATCTTCCCCCCAAATCCTAACCGGCATGCCTGTTCGCTGTGGAAAACAGGGTCAGGCCGGAGAAAAAAAGAGAAAGAGAGCGAGCACATGATGGGCAGATAAAGGCTTGTCTGTGTCTGAGGGAGAAGAGAGCGAGGAGGATGAGAGGAGGAGGAGGAGGAGGAGGGCAGCGCGATGAAGGGGCCTCTGTTGAAGGAGGGACTCGCGGCTCTATAGAAGACTCCCAGGGTGGACAGAAACAAGGCATTTAGTCTGTGAGTCGGCCTCGCTAACGCCATAATAGGCTCTTATAATGATGCCACTATGGACAGGGAAGGAGGAGAGAAAGCGCAGAATGTCCCTTTAAACTGCAGGCTGGTTGTGAGGAATGTGGATATAGTGTGATGAGGAGGATGAACTGGTGGATGATGGGAGGAAGGAGAAGAAGATTGGATCTGGGTGAGGGTGAAGCAGAGTTAGTGGCTCATAAATATGAAACTCAAACGTGTTTAAATTGATGATGATATTGAAGAGTGGGAGTGGATGTTGAAAAGACATGTAAAGAAGAGCTGCAGGTTCAGGTCTGATCAGTTTTGGGGGCTTGTAGGCTGGATGAAAGGGGGAAATCAGCTACGTACATCTGCAGATAAAGTAAATTCACTGGAACATATATTTATTGCAGAGAGGATTCTACTAAAACATTGATTTATTTATTTGCAAAGAAACACCCTGCCAAGCCTCTTTGTTTTGATAAACTGAGGTCGTGCATGCAGACGACTTTCAGGAATATTTTATGCTTTCATGACCTTAAGGTGAGCGCATTTTTAGCTTTTTTGCAGAAATTAGTTGGCTCTTAAAGTGACACGGACACATGTTTAGGACTTCAGAGGATTGTGACTGACTTTAGGCATGACCCATACAGGCATGACGATTATATTGGATATTAAATGCTGAAATTTAGGCAAAACTTGACATTCTGAAAGCAGAAAACTTGTGTGAGGTTTTTAGTTTGATTGTTGCAGCCCCAACTTGAAATGCATGAGACACAATATGTAATCCAACCGCTTGAGATGCAGTATCAGCTTAGGTGGAGCAAAGAAGTGTTGTCAGACTACAAAGGAAATACAGTTTGATATATGATTGATTAGATGATGTTACATCCAACCACCTTCAGAAGTCTGCCTCAGAAAAGCCTCAATCAAAGTGTGACTGTGAGCTGTCACAGAGAGGAGGCAGAAGTCTTTAAATGAGGAATCATACACAGTTAGAGAGTGAACCAATTCTGAAAAGTAGAGCCGACACTGGTCTTCAGAACAACATTTAGCTGATGCTGATACTTGTGTCTTTAGCAGTACTTTTTAGGATTATTTTTAGTCTGATTTGCAAATGAGTGGTGAGACTTGAGACAAGTTAATAGTTTCTAGACTCTCCTCATAGGTCCATTTAAATGTCTGTGGATTATGTTTGAAAATTGCTGTCGTCCATCTTTCTCATCAACATTTTCTTTCATGTTTGTCCTGCAGAGAACTTTTGCTGCCCTTTAAGAAACTTTTCTGAATCTGTGATACGATGTAATAACTTTCTAGATTTACATTGATGTGATGAAGATAAAGACAGGATGCTGCAGGAGACAGATGTTCTATAATGTCGGCAACTGACATAGGTGCATGACATATCAACTGTCCTGTCAACAAGGCCAATATTTGCAGATACCGATGTTCAACCAGTTGCATCAGATCATCAGATTTCCAAACAGCATTTCCTGGAGGACACTTGTAGAGTAGCATTTGGTTAAATCCATTTTGTGCGTGTGTGTGCAGTATTTGGTAAATGGAGTCACTTTTCGGTCAGTTTTGCCTCCATTAGATGGGTCAGTTGAAGAGAGTTTGAAAATGCAGACAGCAGTGGAAGACCAGCAGCAGATGGTTATGGCCTGTAGTCCAACCAGTGCGACACGCTCTGTGCATGGGGGTGCATGCTTCAAGTGCAAAGTCAAAGCAGCCCCCTGTTTCTCTTAACGTGTATGTAACACCAGGCGGTTAAAGTGCATGTCCCACATAGGAAGGCAAAAAACCTTGGTGCAGCAGTCGAAGGTCTGACTCCTGCCCAGACCTTTTCTGTCACTCTGCAGCTCTATCATCGAAATATCAGAGGTGGGAGTGGAAAGATGAGTTAGGAGGGAAAAACAATCAGGTCTGCGGTATCTTGATAATGTTTTGGTTCAAAGAGTTACAGATTTCATTCATTTCATTTCATAGATTGAAAGTTCAAGTTTTAAGGCTTTGTCTCTAAGGAGGAAAAACCCTTATAATTTGATTCATTTTGGATCATGGTAGATGTGTTTGGAGCAGATTGTATTGTTGCAGAAAGAGAGACAGAGCTGAGTTTGGAAGATGGATTTTTTGGAAAGAGAAGATGGCGGAGGTTCAGTCTGTGATGCTTCTCTGCCTCCAGTCACCCACAGTTTCATTCAGACAGCCAGTTTTGAATGTGCACGTCTTTTTGTTCTTGACTTGGAGGTTTTCCTGCAGATTTAGAGAATCAGAACTCAGTGGGAAGATTTTCACTTTATTTTTGGAGAGGAGATAAAGTTTGAGCACCAATAAGGAGGCGTCTTTCAAATGAAATTTGGCATCTGCTGTCATTATTGTCAGAAATGACCTGCTGTACACACTCTACTGATTTGCATGGTTTTTATGAACTCCTAGATGCTTAGATTAGGTCAGGTGTTAAAGCTTTGATTGATAAAGATTGGATTTCGTAACTGTAACTACATAGAGTTTTAGAGTTTTCTTTATGGTTGGACTGCTGAAAAGATGTCATTAATCTAAAGAATACTGAATTTGTCTTGTCATTGTGAAACTAAATTTGAGTTTGATTTGCAGTATTTTGCAGGACTGATGATAAATCAAAGTTTTTCTCTGTTGAAATGTTCAAATAAACCCGTCAAAGGCCTGCATGCACACAGCTCCAATCCCAGTCCAACCTCTGTGACTGAACTGAATCTCTGCTGTTTAGTTGTACAATTAAATCAAACAAATTGCAAGACATTGAGTTTAGGTTTGCCTTCTGTGTGACCTGTAACCACGAGAATACAGTACATCAAATTTATTAAAACTATCATCAACAAATAAATCCATGAGGAGAATAATCCTGGACCTCGGAGCTGCAAAATCAAATCAGTTCTGCGGTTTGAATCTTTCCTCTTCTGACATGCTGACAGGTTAAATACATCAGTGTAATAAGGCTTGTACAAACATAAAAGGGAAACGCAAATGAGTGGAAATGCTGCACAAAACACCCATCAAATGAAGAGTGTTTCAGTCTCAGACCAAGCAACAGAGGTGAACAAACGTCTCCAGGCTCTCTGCATCTCCATGATGAGGAATAACATTTAATTATCTCCGCAACCATCATTTTGTTCCCTGCAGCTACAGAACAGATAGTCATGGAGGGAAAAGCATGAAACTTTATTAAACTGTCTTCACTGCAGGATCTTGGGATAAACTCCTACTGCTCTGAGGGCCGCGGCTTTTAGATTGTACGTTTGTTCTGCAGCTTTTCATTGTAAAACTCAGAGGAAACCTGCGCCAACGTCTGCTTGAAGAATAGCCTCTGTGTGTGTGGGTATGAAGAAGTTTTACAGGTGTTTCAAGCTTGTTTTACTTTCACTTTCAGGTATCCTTAACCAAAGGTGGTTAAAACACAAACTCTTCAAAAGCAAAAGGTGACTGGGTCCAAAGTTCAGTACCCATCCTCAGTACTGCTTTTGTACTTCTAATAAATCACGGCAGCCTCTCTGTTCATCATGAAGAGGAAGAACAAATGCATTGATCATACCTGCTCAGGTGTGGCTCCTTGTCCAAGGTGCCATCACACTCTGTGAATAAAGCAAACACAAATGATGGCATTACAGTGTTTGACAGAACTTCTTCTATTTGTAAAAGCAGCTCATAAAAATGTTCCTGCGGCTCTGCAGGTGTATCTTAGCCTTTCTTCAGTGCTGCTTTCCTTTGTTGTTATAAATCTTTATTGATGGAGTTTTTCTATATTTGTCTGGTGGAGACACACAGCTTTTACTGCTGGACGTTGTCCTTCACATCACAGATAAACAGTAAAATCTATCTCGTCCAACTCAGTGCAGGTATGTTGCTAAAGGCCACAAAGCAGCAGGTGCTCATTGGTGGCCTCTTGCTTTCTATCTTAAGACTATCCAAGAATTGCAGTTGCAGGATTGTAGTCCTGAAACAATGGCTGCTGGTTGCACAAACTCATAATGTGCGGAGGAATTGAAATATCTTCTATTCAACTGACTTAAAGTTAGAAAACGTAAATAAAGTAACACTGGTGTAGAAAAATATCAATACACTGAAGTGTCCTCACTGTATTTTTTAAACCATCTTGATTCATTGTTGAATAAAGTTTCATAAGATTTTTCTGTTTGTTACAAAAGTATTGAAATAATATAAATGATGAAATGCAAAACAATCAAGTTCTAGGGAACTATGGAAGTAGCTCCAACATTCAAGCAACACAAAATGTTCGGCTGTCATCATGTGGGACGCTGCAGAGACTAAAGGTCCCTCTGTTGTGACTGCGTCAAAGATCAGCCCTGTTCGCCTATATTTCTTGCACATTGCTGCATATTTTCAAAGTAAAAGTCTGCAAAAACATGATTCACATCGATTGGTGAAAACCTTCGATTGGGAAAGCTGTTGTTTCACCGGGATGAGATTAAAATGACACAAGATGTATTTAGGCAAAGTCAAAATGCTAAAGTTAAAAGATCCTTTTCATCCACACTCGGTTTCCAGTGTTTCAGCGTCAAAGTTAATCCTGCTGAGTTTGTCTTTCATGATGTGCAGCAGGCTCTGTCTGTTTGCTTCTATGTCATCTCTAACAAAGCTTCTGCACTCACAGTAATGATGTTTCTTAACTGTCAGTTTAGGAAGAAAATATTCATATTTGGTGCTTTTGTTTGAATAAGGTTTAAAGATGTATCTGCAGGATGACGTCAAACCTGTTAACTGAGGCGACTCAGGATCTATTTGTAAGTGGGACTGCAGGTGAGACTGAGGGAGTCTGAGCACAATCATATCTGTTTCCTCATGCTCTGCAGACATGTGGTTAACGTGTTGTGGTGCCCTGAGCTGCTGTGTGTGTTTGTGTGTGTTAGTGTTTAGCACAGATCCTCCTTCACATGTAAACCTGCGTGCAGTCTCTCCTGATCCCTCTGATGGATTTAACAGGCTTAAATCAAGTGTCATGTAATTTGAAACTTTATTGCTGCATACAGGAAAATCCTCTTTTTTTCCAGACCACCCCAGCCAAAGAGGTCAGAGGTCAGGGGTGAAGGTCTCCTGCAGAGCTGCAGCAGGCCTGCAGGATTAGTTTTTTTGTAGGAGGAGAGTCAGAGATGGAGTTAGAGGTGTTTTTAGTGCAGGGGGCGGTTTGTGGGTGTTACATCATTCTGCATCTCAGTCAGCAGGTTAAAGGAACAATCTGGGGTTTTAATCAAAATACAAGAGACGCTTCACCAAAACACAGGATTGGATCTGTTGTCAGCTCACAGCAGAGCAGATTTAACAAATAATTTCATCTCATTCAAAGTCAGATTTTTCTCTCTACTGTGGGGTACTCTGATTCTACTAAAGCTGTTACGCAGAGCAACTCTTACTGGCCTTATTTGTACTGCCGATCCAAGCCCCTCTTTAGTGTAAATGTCACAAAGGGGAGATGGTTGGACCTGTTTGTCCAAAACCTGGGTAAAGTCAGAGCAGGACTTAGCAATGCTGTGTGTGTGTGTGTGTGTGTGTGTGTGTGTGTGTGTGTGTGTGTGTGTGTGTGTGTGTGTGTATGTGAAGCTCCTGTACTGGATTGCAGATTCAGTGCAAAGGTACCAGACATGGAGAGAACAGAAAAATACTCGCTCTGAATAAAAAAAAAAATACTATTACTTTTATGATAAAACTTCCAGTTTGTGAATCTACTCAAGTAAGAGTGAAAAAGTTCTACATTTAGAGTTACAGCTGGTTTAAAATGCAAGAGAAAAAGACAATCCAGTAAAAGATGTGATCACTCCTTATTTAAAGCTTTTTTACCTGCCTTTATCGCCTCACTTGTCTGAGTTGTTGCACCAGCATGCTCCTGATTCTCCAAGGATCCAGGCTAAATAAGCTGCTGTAGTGTCTGTTTTCACACTGTAATGCAGTCCACTCTTAGATATAGAGCTAAACAGACTCTCTTTAAGGTTTCAAATGATTGCTCTGATACCTGTGTGTCTTTTATCGTGTTCTCATTTGACTGGAAATATCATTCATTCTTTAAAGTCATACTTGAGGTGATGTGGACTCTGCGTCTATCCAGGTGAAGTAACTGAGTATTTTTGCAGCTTCTTTAGTCAGTTGTTGCCTTTGCAGATGATTCCTGCACCCTCATCAATTCTTGTATTTTTCTCAGTCTATATTAGTTGGGAACAAAATTACACCATCAGTTTTGATCAAAATCATGTCGCCCTTGTTACTTCTTGCCCCTGGAAAGTCCTCAGGAGTTGGTGGAGCTTTGCCCTGTCACTGTTGCAGACCTCTTGTATAAAACAGGCTTCTGTTTAGGCTGGGATCAGTTACTGAAGCGCCTCTTAGACTGAGTGGAGGGCTCAGATTTCACTGCATTTACTGTAATTAATCTGCATGTTCAGAATTATCTCCACAGAAAATAATTGATCAGTTAATTGATCGGTCAATACAGAGGATGTGATCAAATGTTTCTGGATCTATCAAATCAATTTATCATTTCCTGCATGGTTTGCATTCAAATATTGTGCTGCTGTATTATCTATTTGCTCATATTGAGCTCAATATTTGGTGTGCAGTCTGCTGTGAAATCTGAGTTTGCAGGGACGGAGTTGCACATGGCTGCAGATCTGTTTGAAGCTTTTCTTTAGCTCTGATTTAATGTCTGCTGTGGTATTTTTCTTTGCACTTAGTTTCCAAACATTAGACGGTTAGAGTCATTTTTCTTACTGTACAGCTTGACTGTTACCTCAGTGTCAGGATTTGTATGATGAGATTCTTGGTGATTCACGGGCATGCTCTCCTGCAGAGTAGTACGTTCATTAAAAACATAAATGTGTCTGTAGGCGACAGTGCAAACAGCATAATGTCAGAGGGATTTTCTGCTTTCACTGCTTATTTAATGCATAGAGTTAGATCTTAAAGCAAACAAGCTGCTGCTCCAAAACTCTAGATGAGAAACATTAGAGGAGACTTTGTGTCATTTCTTTGTATATGTTCAAAAACATCTTTTACAGACATGAAAAAGACATTTAAATTCATCCAAAAGAAACAAAAAAGCAGCTTCTGTGCAAATGAGTGTAAGGAAATCCACATCAGTGCATCTGCTTTTGTTAAAAGGTCTAAAAAGCTCATTACACGAAGGGCAATGAGCCGGCCAGAGTTTGGGAATCACTTTAGTAAAAACCTCTCAAAGATCTTTTCTTTCTTTGGAGGTCAAACAGTTTTATGATGTACAGGCTTACAGGCCAAACACACATTGAGGTTTTAAAGAGGTTTGAGCAAAAACTTCCCACAGATCCCTCATCAACTTAAACTTTATTGTCCCAGAGGGAATATTTGTCCTGCAGCATTAGGAGCTCTGTGGGAAATGATGAGTTAGATGCATCATCTGAGAAATTTAACGTCTTTTTAACAGCCTGGAAAAACAAAAAAACATCAGTTTGTTCATGCAATTGAAGAAAAAGACTCAATGTAGCATCTTGCATGTAGAGCATGACTATCTGTGCAGAATTACATGTTTTCTTATTGGTGGTCTTTTCAATCAAAACAGACATTCAGTTGAAATCCCTCCAGAAATGCAAAGCTGCACCTCTTTCTCTCCTAGAGTGATCCTGAACAAACCGTCTGCTGTGAACCAGCACTCTGCTGAGAACCCTGCTTCACATTTTTCCACCAGAGTCACTGAATTGAAAATAAATGGACCCTGACAGCGACGCACATGAGTGCCTTTCCAGATCAACCCCCTTCCACACCCCGACCCTGCCCCTGCTGCAAAACTACAACAGCAGGGTTAATTAGGGACTTTATTTTGAAAATATAGGTCTGCATGTTAATGAAAGCAGAAAGAGAAATTCAATTCGGCTGCAAAGAAGACGAGTAGCTTCAGGGTGGATAGTTGAAAAAAAAGAAGTATGAGTGTGGATAAGGAAACAGATCTCACACTGGGCCACGACAACATCTGCAGAACCTGAATAAAAACAATTTATTAAACCACAGACAGTGTGTCACCAAAAATCTGATACACTGATTCATCTCCAGATTAAATTTAGTGAATCAAACAATCAGGAAACAGAAAACAGAAGTAAATAGGCGCTATACTTCATCCTCTTTATGAAATTATCCAGAAATCGAAGATAAAGAATGGACTAGTTTTCGAATAAAGTTCAAACTAAGCCAAGGGCTCAAAATGTTGAAACAAAATAATCTTAATAAACTCAAAAGGAAAATAAAATTAAAAGTCTGGAAAAACGTCCATTGAAAAAAAAAACAATAAAAACAGGAGAGCATGGAGCACATTTTATGAGGGTGTTAACTTTCTTCAGTTCAGTGATTATTTTATGAAAGTCCTCTGAGTTTTAAAAACAGGGGGAAAAAAAAAGTAAACTTACGACATAATTAACATCTAACTCAGCCCTATGAGAGGGGTAACATGATCTTAATGAGATGACTTTTAACAAATGTGAGCTGTTCCAGGTAAGATTCATCATGTCTCCGAACACTTTCCAGACTTTGGTCTTCCGTATTTAACTGCTAGCATGGAGCCCACTTGCACTAAACAGAAGCTGTGACCCATAAACAATACCAAAGATGGTTTCTGAACATAAAGTTTTGCATTTTAACTCAAGTTAATCTGCTCTGTGTAGTTTTTCATCTAATAAAACTTAAAAAAGGAGGGAAGAGCGCTTTCACTCGGGACTATGGATCTAAATTTGGCTCTGTAGTTAGTCTTTGCAGCAACAGGGCGGTGTTAAGGGGGATTAAACTGCAGCGTTTCTCTTCATAGTATTAAACAAACATGTCATCATGTGTAACAGGCCAGTTGTTGCTGTTTGTATAGTGCAGCTTGGAGCTCTAAGGCGCAGAGGAAGAAGTAATACTTGTTGTTTGGGTATGATACACTTTGTTGGTTTTGAGCTAGCAGGGGATTTAGGACTATCTCGAAACACAGAATGTAAATAGAGCCGATCTTTAAGGATCCGAATGTAAAATGCTGAGATATCATGCACATAAAATACAATGAGAACCATAAATGGAGTGTTTGTAACAGACAGACAGAAAATATTTCCCCAACTGAGTGATGTGGCGTCCTGTGGGCTGAATCCAGTTTAAATTGGCTGCTCTCCTCAGTCTGGATTAGACCTGGGCTTAATACCTTTACACTAAAAGGCCTGTGTGTTCCCTCAGAAGGCAATCTGCAGCAGGAACACACCAGGCTTTAATCCACAGCTACAACAACAACAACAACAACCATTTATCTGCCTGAAGCTTGCCGCCACGCCAGGCCTGCTCATCCTCGCTCCATGTCAACATTTTGCAGCTCACACGCCTTTCATATGATGAAGGCAGTGAAGAAAACTATGGGAGATATGACCAAAAAGTGAGTCGAAAGTGTGGCATGGATTATGGAGCCAATGGTCAACCAACATTTGTACTGTGGAGCCAGGCTTTGGTTTCTAGCAGCCATCTTTGTTTGGGTCAGAGAATAAGCCTCATGTAAACCAATTTCTGTTGCAGCAGAAAAAGCAGGAAAATGACTCAAATTACTGGGAAAGATTGTATGAGCAAGATTGAAAGTTTGTCATTTAATCATAATTTAAATAAAAAAAATCCCCAGATGTAGTTTCTGCAGAGTGAAAATTCGTCATTTCTAGTTTTTCTTTTTTCTTTTTTTTTGTCTGATGATCGAACAAAACATTAATTTTTATTTAACAGAAATTGTTGTTAATTTGAACTTGAAAAGCTTCAGGGTCCATAAAGTTATACTGCCACCAAGACACTGTGTGCATAATGCTGTAAATACATGCTGGAAGCAGAAGGAGGTCACAATCTGGCTGAGGGAGATTGTTGTTGGTGTGATCCTGTTTGAACTGATCTAAAATGAAAACCATAATCCATAGCATAACTTACATAACCTCAGGCTGCACAGATTTCAGAGATATTACCCACCAAGAAATGACATTAGTATGATGAGAAACAGCAAAGTAAACACAGTTTTCTACTGCAGATTATACTGTGGAGAAAAATTGACTGAGCTCAGTAACACATGAACAACTCCAAAACTAGAATAGTAAGACTATTTCAGTCTATTACAATCTGTTTTATGTGTATTGAGTTGAAGTCAATGAAAGATGTCCAACATTGTCAGGTTTTCAATGAACAGTAACACTTAAAAACCTGCCTCAGTTATTATAGTTTGTTCAACTTTTAGTGATTGTAAGGAGGGATATTAGAAAACCAATACCTGCATACCACTAAAGAGACTTGTGGATTGTTTCTGAGGCTGTGTCATATCATGTCATGTTGTATCTTATTGGATTGTACATGCAGCACTGATATAAATGTATGAACTACCATCATACTATTAAAATTTGCTTTCCAACTCCTGAGCAGATGAAGTAAATGTTAAAAAGTAAAACCACTGCAAAAATGCAAAAACTGCAGTTCCTCGTGTATCCACTTGGGGCATCTGCATTAGAGCCCATGTGTAAAAGTCCCATTTGTGTCCTGTACAAATGAAATGAATTATTATTATTTTTATTATTTGTAGCAGAAACAAGAATGTGCACAGCCTGGAACAGATATGAATTTCATAGCTACTTCAGTTTTGAGAAGTCAAGGCTGAGTCTCGTGTGTTTGTGTGCTTAATATGGGGCATGGTGAATTGATGGATATGTGCACATTGTAGCTGATTTTGAGGAGTTTTAAGGTCCGCCTCAGCTTCACCTCTTTGCCTCTGTAGGGAACACATGAAGAAGGAACTTTGCAAGATACCATGGTTTGTTGTCAGGAAACTTTCAGGAGTGCACACCTTAAAAAAAGGTTATTACAGACGTCAGAGGTGTAATTTTAGACAAAATCAGCCTCTATCTTCATCAATCACTTGTTTCTGGATCAGTAAGATGCCGTTGCTTTGTGCAGAGCATCCAATCAGGTGTCTGTTTGATACAGAGCCTCTGTTTAACTTTGATCTGATTGGATCACAGACAGTCATGTGTACGGTGTCCAGCAGGGACAAATTTTAAAGGAGGCGGAGAACAAAGATGTAATCAGGCATTATCATTAATCAAGGCAGTCAAAGTGATAAGGCCTTTGTATCTGTGATTCATCTCACCTTCACCTGCCGTTTGTTAGGAAAGTTAAAAGGACTCTGATTGGACTAAACGTTTAATGCAGGGTTTTAAAGCTGTCCAGTGTTTTTCAGCCTTTTGACTTTCTTTGTGCACGGATGTGTAAAGGAAACCTGTTAAAGCAGCTACAAAAGAGCTGAAATGTTGCTGCTGCTTTGACTCAGAGAGGCAGCAGTGCAGAGCATATTTCTCAGCTATCATTACACATCCAGCTGCTGCATGTCAGGTCCAAAAATCCTCCAAATGAAACTGTAGCAGAGGGAGATCCTCGGCTGATGTTAACTATGTCAGCAGGAGGAGGAGGGAGGATCCGTTTGTCTGTCCGAGGGCAGGATTTTGTAAAAACTCAAACAAATCTACCTGATTCTGGCAGCTGGTTTGACCTGATGCCACAGAATATTGATTAGATTTTTATTGTTATTTTTTCTGGGATTTTTCTGTGTAGTAGTGAGAGAAAGGTGAGCTTTATTTTTTAAGTCTTCAGTGAAGTTTGCAGAGAGAATTAATCCAACTGATCCTAAATAAAAAGGAATAAGACCTTAAGGGTTTCTGTGGGACAGAAAGGTGGATTTTATTCAGCAGCAGGTCTGCCTCGCTGTTCTTAATCGTGATATTAGTGCTGGAGTGGAGTTGCTCTTGGGCCAGTTCACCAAATATGAGCTGTGCCCGAGTCACTGTGGCCTGAATCAGAGAGTGATTCAAGTATTTTTAAATCAGCGCTTGTTTTATGTATTTTGAGGCCTAAGTGACTAATGGGTTTAGAAAGCTTACAACTTGCTCCAGCATTGGCTGTAACTAATCCATGGAGGCCAAAGTCCCAGATCAAAGATCGCCAGCTAAAAGTTCTTGTTTTCATCACTAACAGGCTCAACTGAGTGTCTGACGACATTCAGCGAGGATCCCTACAGAGATAGACCTCTTTGTAAGAGAAGTAGATTCTGGGAAACAGGAAGAGTCTTATTCACCAAAATTCACTGAAACAAACAAACATGAACTTTCTGATCTCATCCTGTCTGTTCATCAGATTTTGGTGTTGTCGTGGATCTTTCAAGAGTTCTGTGAGACCTTAAGCTTAAAGACAATAAAAATAGCAGAATGTTTCACCTAAGTCCTCCTGAAAGCTTAAAAACTCTCAAATTCATGACTTGGGCTTGAATGATGATTCAGAACGATGACTCTCATTTAGGAGCAGGACAGATTTTAAAAATAAACAACAGCCTTTCTGCTCATTCTGTCCCCGAGCTTTTCAGACACTCTCCCTGCTCTTTTCATCCTCCCCTTCTTGCTCTCCTCTCTCCTCTCTCTTCCTGCTCCTCTCACTGCTCTCCTCTTTCCTCCTCCTGCTCCTCTCCCTGCTCTCTTCATCCTCCTCTCTCTGCTCTCCCCTCTCCTCCTCCTCTCCCTGCTCTCCTCTCTCCTACTGCTCCTCTCTCTCCTTCCCTCTCTCTTCCTGCTCCTCTCTCTGCTCTCCTCTCCTTCTCCTCTCTTTACTGTTTTGATCACCTGGTTGGTTTTTGTCACCTGCTCTAAAAAAACCCTCTGAGCCTGTTTGTGATGAAAACATTTCATTTTGTGGATCCTAAACTTTTCATCATTTGGACTCAGAGATATGTGGAATCTTTTGAAGCACCTTAATTACTCATGTATTGTTTGACCTGTTTTTTCTCAGACAGGTGTTTCTCGGCCTCTTTTTGCCTAACAGCCTGGCTGTGTGAATGTAAAAGCCTGCAGTCCTCCTTCTGCCTGCCTCCCTGACTTTCCAGCAAGAACTCTGTCTTTTGTCTGCCTTTGTTGTATCCACACAATGAGCCGTACAAACAGAGATAATGGCTCACACTCACACAGTTTCTACTCTAACTCATTCATGCTCTTTTACGTGGTCGCAGAATGAAAAAAAGAGAGATTGAGATTGATTTTACATTCCTGCACACTTGCCTGTTGTGGATTGTTGTGGACCATTTTTGGATCGCCTCTTTGAGAAAGTCACAAACACTTACAGATGCAGCTTTCCACAATGCTGCTTTCAAATGCTTTGAGAGTTTTGTACTACGTTGTTCTCATCTATTCAACAGAAATAGAAACGTCTTCCTCCACAGCTGCATCCTTCCTAAGTAGATTTAGGGTTTCTGCCACCTTTTTTAGACTTCCCTAAACACCTGAAATCCTAAAATGCCCGCTTTGAACATTTATTGGAAAGGTCTTAGAAAGTTTAAGTGCCTGAGAGTGACACTTTTTCTACCAAAGTCAACATTTCACTGCTGGATTTCACCTTGTATTTGACTGAGGCTCAGAAAACTGCTGCTTTACGATGGGTTCAGACACCCCGATCTTCCTGAAATCTAAAAATGATGCATCAGACACTTGTGAAAAGGCCTAGTGAGGCCTTTAAAAATGGTCATACAAAGAGATGCCATTGAAATCAGGATTCAGTCTCCAGATAGAGAAGACTTTGAGCCCAGCCTGGCTGGAAATGAATTAAACCAGTGTCTTAAACCAATATGAATAATATTTGGTAGAGATTTTCCTCACTCCATGAATCAAAATCATGTCTGTTGCACCTTTTTTTCTTGAGTTTAAGCTTATTAAGTAAAAGGCTCTCTTCAAATCTTTATTAGAGTCATATTGTGTCATATTCAGTGCCTTATAAAGATGAAAAGCAACATCCTGAGAAATGTTTATCTTCTGATCACAAGATCTGCGTCGGTCTGCCTGGATAAAAGCCTACTCACATTTATAAAGCATAAAAACCTGCACCACCATCTCTCATCTCACTCCGGACACAGTTTCCGCTCCGCTTAGCCCCCGACTGAGAGGTCAGAGGTTCAATTCCCACAGCAGCGGCTGTGTCCTGGAGCCTGAGTCTGAACGTGTACCAGCTCTTTATCAGTGCAGCTCTCACTCGGCTCTGTGAAGTGTGAACGTTTTCCTGCAGGACTGATTTCATTTAATGTGACTGATGGGTTTGATTAGAAAAAACTACACTCCCTCAGAGTTCAGGGCTCCATATTTCATGACTACATCTCCATATATCACCTGAAATGTCACCTTCAGTGCTATTTTCATACATTAGGGTTTGTCAGCATTATGATCGCAGCCTTATAGAGATGTTTTTTTTCTGTAAATCAAAGGTCATCCACTTCTCCTTTTAAAATGCAGTTTAAGAGAAATAAGAATATGTTTTTTTTTTCAGACACAAAGCTCAATAATCATGAACGTGTTTTCTGTTCCAGTGGATTAAAACGCTCTGTGTGTTTGTGCATTTGAAGTCTAAACCCAGAGTCTTAATCTGGTAATAAGTGCACATTTTTTTAACCTACTTTGATTATTATTTTTGAGAGCTCTGTTGAAGCATTGCATGTCTCACCGTACCACACAGATAGCCCGGCGACGGTCAGTTTGGACAGATTTGAGTGAAACTGTCTTCTGTTTGTGAGCAGCACTTTTTCCCACACATTTCGCTTACAGGCAGAACTTGAACACTGGCAGAGATTCAGTTAAATTCAAAACCTAATTAACAGTAAACTGATGTGCAGCCAAGCTGCTTTATAAGCAAACAACAACCTTATCAGAAATGCATGCAGAAGAACAAGGCCAGCAGAGGAGACCTCTGAGGAAGAGTCAGAGCAGAGGACAGCTCAAGTATCTCAGTCAGCGTTCATCTTTGGGTGAGAGGGCTTCATGGCAGCTGCAGATGTCTTCTTACTAAAGCAGGACAGAGTGACTATCTTCTGCACTAAATTGATTTGCAGGGAAATGCAAACATCTGCACCAGTGTTTGCTTAAGAGCTCATAATGTTGACTCCATTTGAGGCTTTTATTGGTCATTACAGAGAAAGCAGCTCTTTATTTTTTAGACTTTGTTCTGATTTCTGCATTATGCATCATGTTTTTTTCCCTCTGTTTGTTTCACTAATTTGGACTCTTTTCTCTTGTTAAGAACTGCGCATGCAACTCTCATGATTTATGGTCAAATAAGAGCCACAATTCAGTAAATAAGGAGATGCTGCTCCAAAGCAGCAAGTAACTGAGTGCATGACTCAGCCATTTAAGCGGGTAACTTGTGTGATTGTTGAGCAAATTTAAGTCAGTAAAATGTACCAGTTTGTAAATGATTATTACATAAATTCAGAAAAACTTAAACCCTGACCTTGACAGATCTGAAGAGTGTCTGATTATTGCTCGTCTCACCTTTACTCGACACTCAGAGCAGGAAGAGGACGCTGCATTTACACATTTACACATTTACATATCAAGGCACTGAAAGGAAAGACATCTGCACCACAGAGGGTTAAAGTGAGAACCAAAAGCAGTGTGTTTGTGTGTGAATGCAGTCCCCCGATGATAGCAGGAAGGTGTGAAGAGAAGGGCTATTATCACAGTGTGAAGAGGGAAACTGCGATTGGCCACTCGGCCGGCTCCCCATTGACCTCCATTATAGCTGCATTAACGGGAGAATTAGATTGTCATCATGGAGGGAAACACATGCAGCTGGAAATGCACCCGAGAGGGCTCACGTAATGACAAGGCTCTCTGCAGAAGGAGCTGTTTGCTGCTGCTGCTGCATTCTGAAACTTTCAACAACAAACAGAGTCAATCTAAAGACAGGACACCATCCATGTAATGAAGCATAGTATTCCATTGTGATGGAAATATTGGACCTGATCCCCAGGAAAACACCTTACAGAATAACACCTATGTGTCTCTAGATGCAGCCTGTCATGAGTTTTATTTATGTTAAGTTTGTAAGTTTTCAGGAGATGTTTTTGGATGTGAAGCTACAACTGAAATAATAATGATGCTTGTAACTTGTAACCTAAAAGAGCAAACAAGACCAAAGATTACTCCAGCAACTACCCGCAGACTCCTGCAGGTTTAGACATATAGCCAAAATATGTCAACGTGACCATCCGGCAGGAAGAGGCAGGTATGAGTCTGTTAGCAGGGTAAAACACTTTGCTGTGGCTTGTTTGTGAAACTTAAAAGCTAAAGGATTAATAATCTGTGTTTCTGTGATAGTGTGTGTCTCTGAGAAAGTATTTGCAGAATTGTAACATACATGTAGATGGAATCAGAAAAATATTCCCTGACTACATTGTTTTTATTTCTCGCCAAAGACGTCGCCATCCTCTTTAGTGATTAACTGAAATCAGAATATAACCCGAACAAAGTCGAGGAGCTGATATTGCAAAACAACAAACCAGCATGCAAACACCAACACTGGACTCTGTTGTAGTTTTTCTCTGTGTAACCACCATGCATGTGAGATTATACACTGCAAAAATGAAACCCCTGGGAGTGTTTTTGTTTTATTGGATAACTTACTCGGCTTCATTTACATCATTCACTTGACAAGGCCAAGAAAATTCTGATTTGAAGATACCACACACCAAAAATAAGAACTCAAACACCTGTGGCGAATTAAAAAAAAAAACTGTCCAGTTTTTTCTTGAAATAAGAAAATGTCTGACTTTTGTCTTTTTCAGATATTCTCTAACCATTACAAGAGATTCAGGTCTGATTTTCTGTGCATCACATCTTGAAATATCTCGGTTTTCTGAGACTTGTCTGGCGAATGTGACTTCAATTTGGCCTAATATGTTATTCTTCGTGATGAGACATAAAACTTGCTAGGTTTGGATTTTTGTAGCCTGTGTCTGCAGAACTAGAGGCTGCAGTTTCAGGACTGCAACCCTAGGACCCTTGTGTTGTTGGTGAGGGTTGGAGTTAGACACTAGAAATGTAGTCTGTGGAAATCCAAAGCACTCTGTGATGTTGTTTCCAGCAATAAAGTTCTTAGAATTGCAGGTCCTGAATGTGCAGCTTTCTGGTCTGCACACACATGTGATGTCATCCATGTGCACAACATTGGTTTGATACTTGTTTACAGGTTGACATAGACTGTATATACTATGGACAACTTGGTTCCGCCTAGTGCTGGACGATAATTCGATAACAATATATATCGATCGATAGACGTGTGGTGCGATAGAAAAAAAAACGGGTCGATAAAAAGTTCGATAGAAAAACACAGTTTCCCTTTCTTTTTCATCATAGCCTATCATGTAGCTTTTACTACAGTCATTACTTCCTCCCAACCAATCACAAACGCAGGCCCAGGTACGCTACGGCACCAAGCCCAGCCCCTATCAAACCACAACAGACAGCACGTGTATTAGAAAAAATGTTACAGCAAGGAGAAGCGGAGGACATTGTCCCGAAAAAAGGTTTCAGTAGTTCACCAGCATGGCAATGTTTTGGTTTCTAGAAGTCTGACAAAAAGCGAACAGCGGTCGTTTGCAAAATTTGCAGAGAATTAGTAAAAACGAAGTCTGGTAACACAATCAACTTGTTTTACCATCTAAACCGGTCGCACCCGCAGGAGTACGAGCTGTGTCGGCCGCGCCGTGGCTCCACGTCGTCGGAGGAGGAATCCTCTGGAACCGCTGCCAGCACCAGCACAAAGCAAGTGAAGCAGACCAAACTGGACTTCGTTTCTTGCCAAAAATACGACAAAGCGTCCAAACGGCATAAGGACATCACCCATGCAGTAACATGCTCCATAGCGAGGGACATACTGCCAATAACTACCGTTGAAAAGCCTGGCTTCAAACAGCTTCTAGCCACTCTGGAAACCGCGATATGAAGTGCCCGGCCGCAAGTATTTCTCAAACACAGCGCTTCAGGCATGAAAATGGGTCAGGGGTTGAAAAGGTGAGAAGGGTGCGGAGGAAATACGTTCCGGTGTTGTGCTGTAGAATGCACCCCTGCATCCCGTCCACTCATAAGCTTCTTAAAGTGGAAGAAAATGAGCTCATATTTTACAAAGACGCGAGTATTTGGATCATGGCTACTAGCAGGGGGTGCATTCGGCAGGGGTGCATTCTACGACACAACACCGGCGTGGATAAGTCCTGCTTCTCGTGCTCAGTTTGCGTATTAGGTCAATCACATGATAATTAAAAAAAATAAATCTCCCGACCCCGGGTGAAATATTTCAGTGTTCAGACACCAGGCTGTGGGCAGTTTCCCACACAGTTAAAACTGGTAGTATGCTATTCCCACCTAAAGCTATTCTGTTTATTTATATATTTGTTTGTTTTGTTTATTTTCATCAAAAGACTATTAAAATATTTATCAGATTTTCTGGTCACTTTAGTCTTTATGTTTGTCAGTTATGTAACACTTAAGTTGATTTCTTTTTTTTCAAGTTATTTTTTAAAAAACTTTCAGTTGTGGAAAAAAAAAAGGTGGTTGAACAAAGGTTTGAATTTGAATTCAGTGCTTGTGTGTTCTTTATTAAAAGTAGGTCATTAAGCAATAGCATAAAACATCCAGGGCTGCAATTAAAATACATGTTAAATAATTATAATAATTATATTGATAATTATTGATATCGATCAATATGATTTATTTTTTATCGATATGCTTTTTTTCTATATCGTCCAGGCCTAGTTCCGCCTACTGCCTGTATAGGAATTTGAAGCCAAAAAGCTCTTGGTATTTCTGGGATTTTTCTTCACTTCCTGAAACCAGCGCTGCGCAGTAGCGATGCGCGTATTCGGCCGTGCAGTCGCTGAGAGTTGCTGTGATGACGCTCTACTCAAACAGTGTATCCCCGGGGAGAGCGACGCAATCCCTGAACGCCCATAGGCTGTATCAGGTGTCAATCATAGAAAACATGAACCCCCTAATAACTTTTAAAAACTGAGCTTCACAGAAAAAAGAGGACTTGAGCACAAACCAGTCTTACAGTAACTACATGTCAACATCACAAGCAGGGGGGAGAAAAAATTATGCTCTGTGTAATAAATTTCTAAAGTTGTCCACAGCATCATAAGGATTGCTGGCAGAGGCAGGATTTATGACCTATACTGCAGCCTGTTGCTAGAGTGCACTGTTCTCGGAGTGGCTTCACCCATCGAGGAGGCGGACGCTGTCCATTCTACATACAGTTTATGCAGTTTGACTGTTTTTGGCAGCAGTAGCATAAAGTAACAGAGACACTGCCCCCTTCAGGCAAAGATGTGCATGCTGTAGTCTTAATTTTGCACCATCTGCAGACTGCCTTTCGCTCTGAACAGCTGTTGTGTGTTTTGTAGTCTTTGCACTGATGTAAACAGTGACTTAAACTAATACAGGGGTGAATTTTGCATCCCAGTGTGTGTCTTAAAATGAAAAATCAATGCAGTAATAGTCCGGTTAAGTTTTAGCACAAAGGAGCAAAATAGAAACATGATTCAGAGATGGTGAAAGCTCAGACATGCTGTCACTGGGTTTCTTATCTTTGAGCTGCTCAGACCTCACTTCTGTTATAATTACTCCGGCTTGAGTCACTACAGGAGGCTATTGTGGGAGAAATAGTGTTCAATTGTTATTGTGCAAATGCATTCATTAAAATGTTTTCTCCTTTTAGTAATAAAAACAACATTACGTTTTTTTCACAATGTGTTCGTCGTTGTAAATTAGCAGATAACTGCAGGAATATGAGGGAACTGTTGTGTCTCAATCCCATTTTAATGGAGATACAAATCAGCTGTAATGGTGCAGTCAAACATGCAAACACAGCACCAGACAGCCCCTTGTCTTTCACTCAATCTGTATTGAATTTCCACTGAACCTCGTTTCAACCTGTTTAACATCAGCGATCCAGCATGTCCTTGATTTTCTTTCTCAAATCTGACTTTAAAATGAGGTCACAGGAATGATTGCTCAGATCGCGCTCTCTTTTGTGAAGTCTGAAAAAAGGGGAAGATAGATATGGATCTGAGGAGAGACAGACAGAGAGAAACTGATCGACGAAAAGAGGGATAGAGAGTGACAGACAAGGAAAGGTGAAGAGACATGCGGATAAATGGAAATAGAAAGGAAGAGGCTGACTAAAAAACAAATGACAACGTGTGAACGACATGAGGACAAAAAAGACGGCAAAGACAGAGATGAAAAGAGATAAGAGACAGAAAATGAGACGTGATGTGAGAGCTGAAGGAAACGCAAAACTGGAAGGATGAAGGATGGACTGAGAGTGGAGAAGGCAGAGATGGAGACAGATGAAGAGAAAGATTGAAGACAAGGTGAAAAGAAATGGAGACAGAAAAAAGAGACAGACGAGCAAATTCCAGACAGTGACACAGACAGACAGACGGAGGGACGGACGGAGGTGGAGTATGAAAGGTAGAATCAGGCGAGACGCCTCCCAATCAGCCTGTCTGCACCAGTCCTCCGTTTCTTCCTCCCATTCTGCAGCCCCCTCCTTTTTTCCCTCCCATCCCTCCATTTTGTCGTCCTCTCTCTGTCTCTGATGCTGTTCCAACACCTCAGGGCTTCAGCCTCACATCCACCATCCAACACGCTAATGCTCCTCTGCTGCTGCAGCGTAATCACCCACCAAGAAAAAAAAATCCTCCCAAAATAAAGAGAAACTGAAACAAAGACGAGCAGGGTCTCGTGTGGCTCAACGTGCCTCAAACAGCTGGAGAAAATCCAGAAGAATCTCACATTGATTAAAACTATGACTGCTCTTTGAAACCGTACATTTCAGGATTTTTATTCCCTCGTCTTCTGCCGCTTGATTCACGCTCAATCCCCAATTTTACAGCCTGCTTTGCATTTCTGTTGTCAGAGAGTCATTTTAGGAAACAACCACCAACTTGAGTGTCCAGTCTTCAGTCTTCTCCTACCTCTGTGTGGACAATCAGCCATTTAAAAACAACATATGCTTAAAAACAGCCGCCAATTGTGGCATTTAAGGTTCTTACAGGGAGCAGGGTTGAATCCTGATGGTGCAGTATCTGCTGAAAAGTCAGTCAAAGATGGGCATTGCATGTTTGTGTGTTCATGTCATTTTACAGATATTCAGAAGCATTGAAGGCAGCTTCACACACACACACACACACACACACACACACACACACACACACACACACACACACACAATCCCGTTCCACCCTGTCCGCTCTGAGGCTACACATGGCCACCGTCTTACCCAATGATACCCCTGTTACTCTGAAACCTGCACCATCCTGAGCACTGCAGACTTCTGCATTTGAGGGTCTGTGTCATGCTGCAATACTCCACCTATGTGCTAGTTGGCAGTATGATGCCTGTGCTCGTTGTATCACCAGGTTTTGGTCCTGCTACATTCATGACACCTAGACTTACAGGAGGGACAGAGGCAGAATAACTTTTCTCTACATTACACCTCCACAGGTTATTCAATGCAGATGTAACAGGGTCTTTTAATAGTAGCATGTTGTTACAGCCAATACACTCATGTCCAAACAAAAACCAAATCCATTAGTTTTGGTCCTTAAACCTTACCTATCATTGACTTTACAACTCCAAAGACATGCTACCCATTCGAGCAGTATAATCATGCAGATGGAGGTGTGTTGCTGGCCATCTTAAGATGTGACTGTTAGGAAACTTTCCTGTGGAGAGTGAGTTTGATTATTGGAAAATGACAGAATATGTCAGACAGAACCCTGCTACTTCAGGACAGGGTGTGTGGAGAAGTGTTTCATTTGATGTTCGATGGTTTAACAGGCACTTAAGGTAGAGGAAAATTCTGCTTAAACTGGCATTATCCAGGGAAAAACTTGGGCCATTCAATTTTACAATTCATTAAGTCCTCATGGGGCTTTGAATGGACTTGCTGCAGACTTCTGAAGGGTCAGCTTGGATGCGTGGAGCATTTGCATTCACATTCATTGAAGGTAGTGAAGTGTAAAGCTCAATATTGCATTGCATTTTCTTTCCTCGTGAACCTCTGTTGTATTTATTGTTGTCACCTGAAGAATAGCGCACCAGGAATGACATCATAAAGTTCAAGGTTACCTTCTGTTGAGCAGATCCAAAATAAAAGCAACAAAGTAAGGCAACTTCAATGAGCAGGAGAGCAGAAATGACTCTTTTTATAAATCCAGACACCACAGGCTGAATTATTGATCCTCAGAATATTACATCAAGAGCTTCATAATCTAATTCAGCTGCTAATGTGACTCTCCAAACATCCTGAGCAAACCTGTGGCTGAAGTAATGAAAGCCTTCATGGACTGTGTAGGTGCAAACATAAAGTGAAGAGCAGAGCAATGAGCAGCCCTGACAGCGCTCCGCACTAGTCTGGGATGGATGGATCATACATCACCGGCTGACCTCTGAAAAACAAATTTGTCCTCTCCATCACATTAAAAAAAAAAAAGACACATGAAGATAGTCCCAAGTATGTGATGTGAGCGACGTCGTTGGGGGTGTTTCTGCATCAGTCGCTCAGAGACTTATTTGTGCTCATCCCTTGCACCTGCTGAGTAACACTATTTGATTCTAACACCACCTGATAGTAACAGTGTGTAGCTGTTTTTGTGTGTATGGTGGAGGTGTTCATTTATATCCCAGGGCTGTCAGTAGAGTAAATGAACTGTGCGCATCAGAGCTAAGAGGCTACCAGCAATTTGAAGCTCAGTAAACAAGAGGCGGTGCAGCGCCGAGGGCAGGACGAGGTCACCGGCCGCTCAAACAACAGGCAGGTTCATCAGGTCATGTTTGCCTGCAGACCTGCTGCATCTGAAGATTATGAGAGACTGCGCCAGGTGCATGTAAGACTTGAAATGAATATTAAGCAATGTTATAAAAGAAAGAAAGTACCTGAACTTGAAGTCGATAAAAATCCCACCACCTAAGTTAGCTGACAGGACAGTGAAGGAGCCAGTCATTTGGATCTAAAACAAGCTAGGTTGTCAAGACTATAAGGCTGTTTTATGATCTAGAGGGGCTGGTCCGAATCAAAGGTTCTTGAGTTATACTTTCCACACACTGAGAGGATTTTAAAAGATGAACGTCTGACACCCTCTCACATCTAAAGACGATGTGTCAGCAAGTCACAAAGTTTTTAGTCACAGACTGAGGATTTTGCAAAGCCAGGGGATCTTGCAAGGTCACCAACTATAAGACTACAATTAAATTCACAGCCCCAGTCTGGACAGTGATTAGCTAGGTAGCTACAGTCCAGAGGATTTTGAGGGCTACATGAATTTTCTGTCTGAATTTCTCAAAGTCAACTAAACAGTTTTCTTTTTTTTTTAATGCAGATGGTACAAATTAGGGTTTTGGGGAAACACTCAGGAACTTGGTTCATGTTTATATGTCTTTCATATTCACCAAGATGCCAGTTTAGAAAGTCTTGCTGTTCATTGGTCTTTCATCTATTTAATACGCCTCTTTTACACAGATTGCTGTTTCCAGTCTCACATTTAAGAGGATGCATGTGTGCAACTTTCTTCCATCATGTTCTGAAGTTGATGGTCTTGCATGCTTATATGACCATTCTCAATCCCCTCATACAAACGCTTTAGACCTCAACCTCTTGGAGAGTCGTCCTAGGTTTGATTCGGAGTTGTGGTCCTATGCAGCATGCCATCCTCTACGCTCTTTTCCTAGATTCCCAGCCTAAACCATTCACCACCCTAACCTCTGAATAAGTGAAAAAAGCCCAAGCTTGGGTCACTTTGGGGAGTGCAGAGGATGGCATTGTTCCAGTTGACATTGTGAATCATATTGTTGGACCTGCATTAGCCAGGTCTTGGTATTTTCTTGCTCTACATTCATCTTCATTAAGGTCTTGGTTTTGTCACATACTTGATCCATGCGGCTCTTGGTCTCAGTTTAGTGGTCTTCACAACAAGTGTAGTAGAATAAAACCCTGTTCATGTGTGCTGGCAGGATTTTGATTGTGGAGCTGGTCTCAGCGTCTTTGGTGGATGTCCCTGTGTTTTTTTTCATCGGCGCCCTCTGGGTGAATAACCCAGTTATGCCAACACAGTTGTGTCATTCATGTGAGTGAAGAGGCTGCTTTTTTTCAGGCATGGCTGTCGTTTGTCCGACTGTGCTGTTTAAAAAAATAATCAATGAGTAAACCAACCAACAAGCCAGCCAGTCAGTCTGTTAGTGTATCAGTCAGTAAATTAACCTTCCTGACAGCCAACTCGACAGCAGTCAGGAGCTAATGGGAGTAAGTCGTCCAGTCAGTCAGTAAGCCAGTCTCCGCCCCATCTCCCAGGCAGTAAGGCAGCAAGCACAGCCAAGATGGCAGCCACTCAACCAGTAAGCCTTCCAGTTGGTCAGCCAGTCAGTCAGTTGTGGCAACAACAGAGTGAGATTATCTGGAGCATGTGATGTATGTGTTTACACCTCGCTCTCTCTCTCTCTCTCTCTCTGTCTGTCTGACTGTATTTTCCTCTCTCGCTTGCTCCCTGGCTCAGCCCTCCATCTCTCCTGTGTGATTGTTTCTTCACCTGAGTGCCTCCCTGTTGGCGTCTCTCTGCCTCCCCCGTCTGACTCACTCTTTCACTTTCTCCTCTGAGAGTGTGTGACTGTGTTCACTAAACGTCTGGACTCCAGACTCTCTCACAGCTGAAAGTCGGCTACTCCACATCAGCGTGTGACTCACAGATTCATTGATCTGCTGATTCATTCATTGACTTCTGCAAAGGTGTTACAACTCAGCTGCATTCAAAGGAGACGTCTGCTTTACATGTTAATGACAAACACCAGAACTCTAAACTTTCCTCCTGAAACTCCCCACACTTTCATGCTGCACTGATCAGGTCCTCTGCACCCAGTCCACTTACCTCAGAGCCGTTTTGAACTCAATTGGATCGTGTTTTCTTGTGGTTTTAACAGGTCTGACCCTGATGATGTAAGAGTGATGTCAACAAGTTCGTCTCAGCTTTGGCTCAGAGATGACATTTATTTAACCATAAGTGTTTAAAGGTTGTTCTGTGGGTTGATTCAAATTATATGCATCCCAGGACTTAAAACCCACAGACAACAAGGGGAGTACTATTTATACACTTTTGTTGTAGTTAACCAAGTCCGAGTCTGTCCCAGTTTGAAATGTTGAAATGTGAAAAGTATGCATCACTCAGACCTCTCAGACCTCAATTTACCTATTCTGTCTGTTTTAGTGAAGATCTGTGGAACTTGCAGGAAAATACATGCAAACCTTTTTTTTCTCTAGATTTTCAGTCCATGACATGAACCCAAGAGGAGCTGCTCACACCGGTGATCGAAACGGCAACCAACATGGGCACAGTTGGCTGTTGAAATGAAAGCAAGATCAGGGTTAATCATACCAAACATTGCTAAACCATACCAAACAGACTAGCTGTACCCATCCAAATCAGGCCGCTTGATGGAAATGCATCAATTGACCAAGTAACTTAAGCTAGAGCCGCAATTTATGCTACTTTGACCAATACTTTCCAGAGTGCCATGCCCTAGTGTTTTGCCCAAAACACCTATGTATTACAGCCTTGAACAGTCTTTGCCTTTTTTTGAACCAATTTAAGAAACAAAACAATGCAGCTTGCTTGCAACACTGATATCTTTGTCCATCTGTGTTGATGCTAGGCTGCTTAAAGCAATACAGACCAGTAGAAATAGAAGACATCCCTGATTCACTGCGAGCCAAAGATTGATACCAGTTTGTCTGGACAGTCTCTGCAGGTGCACAGTTGTTGCTAGCTAGCCCAGCTTATCATACTGGCAGAACCTGCTGTGAAACATCAAGTGGGCCAGTTTTTACGCCAAAAAGGAAGTCAGCATTTTCTGACAAGCTCACAGGGAGTTACAGCTTCCACCGAAAAGTACCATGCTGCCAATATGATGTTTTGCATGGACTGCAACCGTCCATTTTCAGCCACCCTCGATGAAGCCATATTAAGACATGCAAACACAAACAGTGAGTAGATGCTAGAGGGAGTTCTGTTGAATCAGGAAACGCCAATGTGAACATCAGTGGGATAGTTCATGCTCAGATATGTGGGTTTGCAGTGAAATATAAGGTTCTGCATTTGGAGGGTTGAAAATATGGTCACATTGAGGTGGACTGACAATTTCTTGTCCTAAAGTTGAACTGATTCTGACACATATTACTGATTGAAAGGTATGACCGTTAAGAGTTTCAGTTTCCTTTGAGTCTGCTTTACTGCTGTCAGGTAAATCCTCTAAATATTTTTGTGTTGGTTTGCTAGTCCTTAATCAAAGTTTTTGGCTTTTAGACTTGATATTCGACTTACACCTCACCGCATAAATAACCTGTCTGAGCTGGATGGGACTTTCACACAGGGGGTGACTACTAAATACCTGGACAAGCACCAACTCAGAACTGGTGAAAGGAATCATCTGTGTGTTTGAAGCACCAGCTGATGAAAGTCAAGCCGAAAACACATCCAGCAGAATACTAATGCAGCCTTTTAGGATCTGAATGCTGCTACAAGTTTTGCACCCTCCAGCTTTGGTTGTTTTAATTAAACAGAAAAAGTGTGAGAGTGTGTGTCCCACATCGTATTGTGAAATTCTGAAGTATGAATGATTAGGAAACATCATAATTGCGTTGCATTTCCCGCTGAGATTCTTCATTTTGTTACACTTCATTCCCCATTCAAAGCACAGTCTAGACCAGACTAATTGAGTGTCTATGGCATTGATTCAGACTATTAACCATCTGTGCCTCTTCCTCTCTCTGCCCCCGTCTCACCCCCATTACCTCCTGTCCTCTCTGTCTCTCTCTTCAGGAGTTTGGAGGACAAGTAGGATGCTGAGTATCTTTCCTCCACGCCACTGTTCTCCACCCTGCTCTCCATGACCTGAGAGCACCATCACAGCGGGAGGAACGAAACACCAGAAAGAGAGAGGTAGAGGAGGGCAGAAGGCCAGGGAAGAAAGGAAGGAACCCATTTTTTTTGTTGTTGTTGTTGTTTGTTTTCCTTTTTCAATATGGCGGCGACAGAGGCCAACGCGGCGCCTGTAGTCCAAGAAGATGGTAAAACCCCTGAAAGCAAGCCAGCAGAAGCAGAGCAACCGACTAAAAACGCCAACGCAAACTCAGAGACTGTCAATAGCGAGGTCGTCGATAAAGATGGCACGGCTGTAAACAACGAGGTTGTCGACAACAAAGAGACTGTGAATAACGACACAGCCGCAGGAGCTGAGGAGGCAGAGGCAGCAGATAGCGGTGAGGCAGCAGCTCCTCAGAGCTCAGAAAACACCTCCTCAACCGAGCCCAAGACCTCCTTCTTGGACTCCTTCCTCAACAAGAGCGGCCTGGGGAAGGTGATGGGAGGAAGGAAGAAGAAGGAGCAGAGTTCAACAGCTACCGGTGGAGAGGAGAATGCAGCTGAAGGAGGGGAGAAGGAGGGAGAGAAAGGAGCAGAGGAGGCTGCAGCAGCTGATGGAGGAGCAGAGGGAGGTGCAGAAGGAGATGCAGCAATTGAGAAAGCTTCAGAGAATGGAGAGAAGGAGGAGGAGAAGAAAGCAGAGAAGAGCAAACCGGCAGAGGCCAAATCCACAGTGCGAGATCTGATCAGGAAGCCTGTGGCAAGGATCTTCTCCCATCGCAGCACCGAGAAGAAGGACGGTGCTGCAGAACCTCAGAAACAAGTAAAGGTTCGGTCCAAGTCCCTCGACCGGCTGGAAGACGCTGAAGCACTTAACACCACCGCTGACTCCACCATAGAAGAGGGAGGAGCAGCAGGAGGCACAGAGGGAGGCGTAGAAGGCGAGCAGAAAGCCTCGTCCTCCTCGGCAACCACTAAGCACATGAAGCGCTGGCACTCCTTCAAGAAGCTGATGGCCCAGAAGGCACATAAGAAGAGCGGAGGAGGAGGAGAGGATGGCAAGGAGGAAGGGGCAGACGGAGAGGGAGGTGGAGACTCCTCCACGTTGGACTCCAAGGAGTCGGGACAGAAGAGGTGGAAGCTGAAACGCTCCTGGACATTCCAGGGTCTGAAGAGGGACCCGTCCATGGTCGGCATCAGTGGCAAGGCCAAGGGCTCGGACAAGGACTCTGCTGACAAGCCAGAGGAGGGAGCTGCAGGAGTGGAGGAGGGAGAGGAGGCCAAGCCAGATGGAGACGCAGAGGAGGCGAAGACAGAGGGAGGGGAGGAGAAGGCTGAAGGAGGGGAGGAGGAGAAGGCAGCTGCAGCAGGAGGCGGGACAGTGACGCAACATGCCAATGAGATCTGGACATCCTTCAAGAAGCGTGTCATCCCCAAGTCCAAACGCGCCAACACAGAGTGTGCCCCCAGTGCAGAGGATGATGCAGCAGCAGCTACCGGGTCGGGTAAGATGACAGCTTTCCCTCCAAAAAAAGGTGTAAAATGGTCTTTCAATTTTTAGGGCTGAAATTAACAACCACGTACAAAAGTTTTTGAATTGCTCAGGTGGCGTGCTTCAGCCTGCAGCCATGAAACAGACTATGGCTGCATCTTGATCCTTTCAGCTGTATCAAAGTCAGTCCACTAAAGGTTCTCAAGCTTTTTGTCACTAACAGACTCAGATTGTTATTCTTCTAGAACTTCAGTTTACCAAAGGGAAAAAAATAGATATACCTCAAATGTTGATCAATGATACAGTGCAGTAGAAGCAGAAACTGTAGTTCCACAACTGTCCACTTGAGGCTTGCTCCAAACTCCCAGTAGGTCCCATTAACAGCTATGTTTAAAATACAAATCTGTCAAGCAAGAATTTTGCATAATGAGCCATGATTCACTAACATCCATATGAACGCCAATGTAAGCTGAGCAAATGTGAAAGGACATTGCATAGGAGACAAGCAGATGGACTACAGTGCGTTCCCTCAATTTAACACCATGCAGCAGTAACTGTTCTGTCCTATTTCTTCTCACGACTTTGTTTACATACTGTTTTATTCGTCTGCAGGTCCTTGTAGACCAATAAAACTGGATGTGGATTTTAACATTCTGACTGAAGTTTAATCCGAGAGATTTAGGGTTTGTTAGGAAGTGAAAAGTGGGACTGAATTTCACATGCCAAGTCAGTGAATCTCAGAAATGTGGCTCCAAGTTGGAATCAGTCTCACTACCCAAGATCCAGCACAGTATTTGTGAAGAAACCCACCGATCAGGGGAGCAATAGTTGAGCAGCAGTGGTGAGAGCAAGGTCAAATAACTGTTTCTGCCAGCAGAGTCTGATGGCTCTGAAGGGAGTAAGGAAAAAGTATATTTTATAGCTGTTGGATATTCTTTGATCACAGCCAGTGTAATGGGCGCCACAAGAAGAAAACTGCTGGAAATGTTCCCAAACTTTTCAAACATGAAGCCAAAATGTGTAAAATGAGGGCCAAGACTTAAGAATAACTAAGGCAAATCGTTAAGACAAATCCCAGGCCTCTGCTGTAAAACTGCCTCCATTCATGTCTGTGCTTTTCAGCAGGTTTTTTTTAAAGCTTACCTGAAGATATCAGGCATTCACTTGTAGGACAAAACTTTCATATGAACCAAGGAGTCTATGAGGTTTTAAAACAGCGAGCATTTTATCACATATCCTGGTGCACTGGAGTTCAACATGAAGATGGATAAAATATTCAGACTCAGAGGCTGACAGCATGTTCACACTCGCTCCGTGTCCTCCCTTGTCCTGGGAGCACAGACAGGAGTTAGTGGCTTGCTAGCTCTAGAGGAGGTAATGTAATTGAACATTCTCCAAAATAAAATATTCAACATCTGATGTGAAATTCAAATCTCACTGCGGCTTCAGTCAACAGCAAAGACTAAATTTAACTTGCCTCCTACCCCTGGCAAAGACAGAAAAATGGAACCAAAACACACAACCCTGGGCTCTTTGTATTGTCTTTTCAAAGGAGGATACTCATGTTGTTTTAAACACACAGACGGTTTCAGGCTGAAACTTCCACCTTTAATGAGCACAACTCTCCTTCTGTTAAAAGAACTGAGTCACAATATTGTGAGGAAATATGAGCGAGATGCTTAACGTGAACCAGGATCAAAACTACAAAGTTGTTACTCTGAAAAAGATTTTTACAATAAATTCCTTTGGTACAGAGTTTTATTGAGGAGTTGAACTTCTTAACAAGATGGATATCCTGTATTATTTGAGGCATTTCAGAAAAAAACAGCCAAAAAAGCTCTTGAAACAGACTTCAAAGAGAGGCTGACCTGGTATTTGTGAGAAACATCATTTGAGGTCAAAAACATCATTTCTGCGTTTGATGACACAGGGTTACCTTTACTTTGCAGATCTGGATTATATACAGAATATGGGACAAGGATTATTATCATATATGTAGGATAGTTTACACAATTTTGGAACTACTCGTGTAAAACTTTTCTGACCAAGCACTCAATGAAAAAAGCTGCTTTTCTGTCACTCTGAAACTGAAAGCTTTGCAGGAAAAATCATGTTTGATAAAAAAGCTCTAACCCTGAACTGTCCTCTTCCCTCCAGGCGAGGAGGGAGCAGCAGAGGAAGGCAAAGACGCCAAGTCAGCCAAGGCCAAGCGCTCACATTTCGGCCGTGCAGTTTCCCTGAAGAACTTCATCCTGCGGAAGGGCAAGTCCACCAGCGTGGACATGGGCGAGGGTGCCAAGGAGGAGGAGGAAGCCACAGAGGCGGCGGAGGGAGTGGAAACAGCAGAGGAAGCAGGAGCTGAAGGTGAAGCTGCCAACAAGGAGAGCAACGACAAAGACGCGGCGGAGAAGACAGCAGAGGAGGCGGTGAGCGGAGAAGAGGCACCGAAGGAGGCAGCTAAGGAGGCAGCTAAGGAGCCAGAGAAGACGCCGGTGGAAGCTCCAGTGACCAACGGAGAGAACGGCTGCTCCAATGGCACAGGGGAGGAGCACGCCACACACAATCACCAGGATGAGGAGAAGACGACAGGGAGCAGCCCTGTAAAGAAGAGCAAGGAGGCAGGAGGAGCTAAAGAGGAGGCCAACGCTAAGATCATCAATGCCACAGCAGCTGTGAACAGCGGTGAGTTAGAGCGCGCCGAGCGGGACTCTGATGAGCCACAAAACAGCAGCAGCAGCAACAAAGAAGGAGATACTAACAACAGACAAGAACCAAAACAAGCACCAGCACTAACAAACCACAGCACCACACTAACCACAGAGCCTGAGTTAGCATTAGCTGTTAGCAGGGAGGAGGAGGAGGAGGAGCTGGAGGAGGGGCAGAGAGGGGAGGCAGAGTCTCCACAAAATGGAGGTTATAACCAAAGGGCGGATTCATATGACCAGGGAGATAGAGAGGGAGGGACCGAGGAGGAGGAGGGGGAAGAGGAGGAAGAGATGAGGAAGAGGGACTTAAGAGAGGCAGCGGTGGCTATCGTGCAGAACGTGATGTCAGCAGCGACTGACCAATTAGAGAGGGAGCTGTGCGTCGATAACGGCATGAACGGGTGTTACGATGCCGACTTGGGTTACTGAAACACACACGGTCACATTTCTGCACAAACGTGTAAAAACTGTTCACTCTAACGTGCCAAAAAACACTGGAGTCAGCACAAGCTAACACACACGGCCGCATGAAAACACACTTACCAAACACGAAATTCACATTTTATCATTTCATTTTCAAATACTGAAATTACATCAACGATATTCAAACGGTGTCTGTGTTGGTTCAGAGCTGGAGGAAGGACATAGACGAGCTTAGCATACAGCTGCATGATGCAGGGGAAACTCTGTATTAGTCCACGTACCAGCTTCTGCAAGAGCCAGACTTTCTCCAAACTCCCTTTTAAGTACAGACTTAAGTAAGGATAAAAAGGATAAAAATCACTTGTTACATGATCATCTATTTCTGTGTTTGTTACAATCAGGCGCAAAAAGTGCAAACACAGAGATAATTCCAAAGCTGTTTATGTATTCAGCAGCCTTGTCCTCTGTGCAGTACTTCGTGTCTACAGAGCCAGAGTTTGCATTTTCATGGTACAGACATACCAGACGCGTCTTTGGTGTTTTCTGGGACTCTTGGCATTGACAACACTATATAGACTTTCCTTCATCATTATGTCCAGTATGCCTTAGTCAGTGGCATGTTCGGTCTTAGGATATTTTCCGACTGTTTGCTAGTTTGATCTTCTTCCACACTGCTGGCGTTTCAGCCACAAGCTATTTAACAAAAACTGTTGTCATCAACATCAAGTCGAATTGCTGGTTTTGCAGCAATTTCGATCACAATGGGCAGTTTCAGTCACTTATTGGTGTAAAACTTTTGCTCACTTGAGCTTTCAAAATGTGAAGGTTTGCCACTTTTTTTTGGGGGGGGGGGAGGCAGTCAGTTAAGTCTTTAGGGGTTTTGGACTGTCAGTGCTACACAACAAGGATGAATTTGGGCTACAGGGAACTTTTTTAGACCTTTTAACTGATTTTGAACCAATAAAGCAACAGCCTTAAAACATAATCTAAGACAGGCCAGCCAATATTCCCTGGTTTAAGTTTTTATGAAAAAGCTTATCTAACTATTTCTGAATGGAAAAAGCGCACACTTTATATTGGAGTTTCAGGAACACTTAACCTCTTTATATGCAGAACAACATATACATGGGCATGTTTCCCTGAGAGGATTGCATGATATAAATATTATGTTAGTTCTTCCTAAATCCCTTTAAAAAAAAGCTGTTGTGTTGTTTTTTCATAAATGTTCTTCAAAAGTCAAAACCAGCGAGTATTTTATAGTAGAGAGGTAAAAAGAGAGAGAGAGAGAGAGAGAGAGAGAGAGAGAGAAGTATCCCTTTCATTACTGATTGCTTACTTTATTAAAATGTCAAGTTCACCAGCAGCCAAACAGTAAAACTATTTAACGATAACAAGGAATCAGGTGATGAGCGTGGATTCCCAGGGCAGCTGCAGTCGAAGGTGCACTCTTCATGAACCTCTACTAAAATATAAATATCCAATTAACTGCTACATGACACAGCCGGGCAGAGTGCACGTTAACTACAGCCCCCATGAAACATCGGTCTGAAAGAGTCAGCAGGAACATGTTTGATTTAATAAAAGTACTGACAGTGATGTGAGGAAATTTGATGAAGAATACGTTCCTTTTTTTGAACATTTATTTATCCCACGGGCAGCTCTTTTCCTGCAGAGCCTCACCTCTGTCAGTGCTGTTTTCACGTTCCCACCTGAGAGCCACTCAGAGCAGCTGGACACCAAACATCAGGAGGTGAAGCGCCTCTGAACCAGGAGGTGATCTTTTCCCTTCTCTATTATTTATCACTTTCCAGCCTCCACTCCATTCAGAAGTGAGTGAGGCTCAGTGTCCAGCAGCCCTCCTCACTTTGATCTAAAACTGCCCAACAGATGTTTGACGGGAGCATCATGGCTCCCGCTGCTGCTGTGCAGTTTTACCTAAGGACTCCTCCAAGCACAGAGAGGTTTGTCAGACTCAGACAGCCAACTTAAAGCTAAATGAGGCTGGAAAATGTGCAAACTTCTGAACAGTATTAAGAGAAAACGCACAAGCAGCATTCAAATTAAGCATGTGACATTCAAAGCAAAGTAAAAAGCATATCGGATGTAATGAAATAGGATATGATACAATAACAGTCCATAAAAATGGTGGTCACTGGAAAACCACTACTGGTCAACCACTGGTCCTTATCCATGCAAAAATAGTTTTGTAATCTATTCTTATAAGCATGCTCAGTCCACAGTTTGAAAAACCGATGAAAACAGTTTCCCAATTATCAACCTAAATTTATGGGTATGACTGGAGTGTTCGGCATTCAGTTAAGAATCCAAATTTGTGAACTGATACTGATCAGTCTGTTATTTTTGCTGCACTGTCGGCATTTCTTTCCATGGTGTCTGATTCGACTCTCTTTGCCTCACTTGATTTTTTTACCCAGAGCTCTGATTTATTAGTCAGATGTCACATGATACACTGTTTATTTACACACACAGATAACTCAAACTATGGTTAGACCTCAATTAGGCAATTTAACTGGTTTACCGTCCTTGTCCCAGTTTACATGCACCGGGTAAGAGCCAAATTCCTGCAGAAGCATATCAATTTCTGCTCCCAGTTGACCTGTTATATATGAAAGCAGTTGACAAATCAAGCTAGCAATAGGCTGACCTTTTACAGCTCTGTACCGTTTGTTCATGAGATGGGAAAGTTTTGTATTTTTTTAATCTGTCTTTTCTAGACCTGTCAAGGTTGTGTTCACTACTGACCTTCCTAACAATCTTTTAGTGCTACTTAACTTTGGGCCCAAAGCTCAGAGACCAAACTGTGAGCATGTGCAGAACACTGAGGCCAGTTTGGGTCTGTTTCAGGTGTTTAGGTAGGAGAAAATTGATCTCACTCAGCATTATCCAGGAATGATAGTCTGACTGTGAGAAGTTGGATTAGGGTGATGTCAGTCATTCTAAAATGTTTCCGAGTTAGTCACATTTAGACTGAAATGATTTTCAGTGAGGGTGAAAGTTTTGATCATACTTTTTCTTGAGGAGTTTATCGTCTTTCAAACCTAATTTTTGATGTAAATGCACGTTGGTTTGAGCTATCAGTTGTTGGTCCCGCGAATAAAAAGCATCAGAATTGATCTCGAAAAAAAAAAAACTGTTGGACCCCTCATTAAAGCTCCTCTCGTTGCCCCTCCAGCCTCCTCTCTGCTTCCTCTTAACTAGCCAAAGCTTAGATAGTTAGCGCTCTGTTTGCGGCAGAGGATAAAAGCTGGTTTAGTAGACATCAATAGAGTTGAGTCCATCAACGGATTAGTGAGCAAAATCAAAGTGTCACGGAGCCTCTTCAACAAGCCAGATTAACTAGCCTTCTCTCTCTCTCTCTCTCTGGGGGAGGGTGGGCCAGAAATACAGACAGACCACACAACAGGGGGCGGTCAGGTTGTTTTATTTAAGAGAAAAATTTCTCCCACACAAATAACAGAGGGAGGAAACTGTGAGGACAGGTTCAGGGAAAAAGTAAGGGTGAATGAACAGGACAGTTTGTCCCTCTGTCCATGTGATGATGATCCCTCCATACTGTGAAAACCCTGTCATATTTGATCAAGCTGTTGTGTTGCTGTTGTTTGCTTTTAAATTAACTTAAACTAACCAACACTAGCAGACCAACATCTGTACTAAACCACTAAACACACATAAGACACATAACCCTTTTTATATGACTGTTATTTATTCTTATTATTCTTTTTCCTATTTTTTAATACATTTTTTCAATCTCTTCTGTTATCATTTACCAGACAAAAAGGCGGGAAACGTGTGAGGCCACACAAAGAGGATTAGAACTGCCCGGGATTCGCTGAGCAAGGAGCTCTGAGCCCCGCCCCCCTCACCACCCTCACCCTAACTCCTCCTCCTCCTCCTACCCCCTGCCCTTCCTCCTCTCTCCCTTCATCCCTCCTCCCTCGTCCCGAATAAACGGAGTAATCACGTGTAAACAGATCACCACGGTGAGAACGAGAGAGAGCGAGAGAGAGCGATTGAGAGAATGAGAAAGATGCAATTCATGTAGAAGAGAAGTGAGAATTAATAATCACTCAGAAAGCAATAATTCAAGCCCCTCTTCCTCTTTTCATCCCCCTCTCCATCCATCCATCTATCCATCCATCCACCCCCTCCGTCCGAAACATTGCATACAAACAAACATGCACATCCAGTGTTTTTATTTTTTCTTTGCTTGTCTGTGAGATTTTATATTGTCTACGAGAGAAAAGAAAAATGCAGAAATGTAAAAAATGAAAATCGAGACATTCCACCCCTCCCTCCCTCCCTCCCTTTCTCCCCCTCTCCTCCCCTCCTGTTTTCCCTCCTACTTTACTCTGCTCTCCGTCTCTACCGACTCCTGATTGGTGGATTTAAAGAACAAAAAATGAAAAAAAAAAAGACTGTTAGTTTTATATTGACGGCCATTTTGGTTTGTAGTCCCCCCCCCACCCTCACCCCCCTGATCCCCCCCTTCGCTCCCATCCTCTTCCTCCCCCGTCCGTCCCCGTAGATATTTGACAGTACAGCAGGACCATGTTGCTACAGTATATAAACTGCCCTGAGGACTGCCACTTCCCAACCAACACTGCAATGTCTTCAGCTTTGTGTGTTTAATGTTTTTAGACTGTTATATTGTGTACATGACTTAAAAAAAGAAGAAAAAATCACCATCGAATATTAAAGTCAAATGTTTTTTTCTTTTCCTGTTCGGTTTGGAATTTTTCTCTTTTTCTTTCTTGTTTTATTTTCTAAAAACACATCTTCTCACTGTTACCGCAGTCTGACGATATGCTGTAATTAAAAAATAATAATAATAATGATGATGATGTTTTGTTGGTCCAAGTTTTCACATGTCCGCTAGCAAATTGTCAAGAAAAAATAGTACAATAAAGACTAAAATCTAACAACTAAACTGCAAGTCATTGTGGGCTTTTTCTCCATCTCTGTCTGCATGCCTGAAGGGCGGTGTGCAGAGGGGCGGGGCAGGGTTCTACGCTGGCTCCCCATTGGACGCTCATTAATCTGTGCATTGATAATCTCATCCTTTTACGTAATGGGTGGAATAATATGAGATTTCTTTGTATTAAAGTAGATCTGTATGTATTATCTGGCAGCAGCAGCAGCAGGCGGGGGGACGTCCATATGCCAGCCACAGTCCTGTTATATTTAACACACTCAGGCTGAACTCTGTGCACTCTGGCTGCACCGTCAGATTCTCATTTTCTTACACAATGAATAATCTACTTGTGTCTAAACTGAAGGGAAAAAAAAAAACCCAAGTAATTCTAATGGACTAAGCGAAGTGTACAGCATTTTTAGTTTTGTTTTGTTCGTCAGGGTTCATTCAGAGGAAATCCTTTTATATATTTGCTTCAGGGATTTTTGAGGATGTGTATTCCTGGGACGTCCTGCAGAGCTATCATTGAGATCTAAGTGGTCTCCAGAGGATTGTCAGGATAGATAATATTTATTTGTGTATAAATTTCTAATAAAAATGGATCTGAGTCAAAAGAGGTCAGGAGTGGTCACAGGAAGGGTCGGAAAAGGCTAATTGAGGTAAGAATAAGACAGCAAATGTGGTGATTTAAAGTCAAAAGAAATACATGGGATAATTAATATCTGACTAAGAGAAATACAAAACCTTTTTACACGTACTCCTGAAATTAGGGTCTATTGTAAGGCTTCTTTATGAGTAGTTGAGTTGGTAAAAGGAATGATCAGTTTTCTCATTATGGTCCTAATGTTCCTTTGAATTCACTAAATTTAAAAGTGGATTTACCAAGAATTATCCTGATATACTCTGAAATTCATTAAACATTAAAGTTTATTAATAAATAAAGACAAAGAGGTTAATGCTAATAATATAGAAATATACACAAGATTGAAGTGAAAATATCAAAAGAAAAGTAGCTTCATTTATGTTTCATTTATTTCATTTAATAAAGTACATATTCAAATTACTAGTTTTTCAATTTAGTTTAAGGCATTAAACAGTTTCAATTTTAATTTAGGGCTCTACAAGGAGACCTTTCTTAAATTGGAAATTATCACTGAATTTAAATAGTTTATTCACATTTTAATCACATTGTTTAAAGTTTTATTTTTTAGATATATTTTTAAATCTACAATACAAAGCAAAGCCTACCATTACGGAGATTTTGGCTTATTTACCGGTTAATGCAGCAGCATTTGCATCTTTCAGGAGTGCTTGTTTGGTGTCATCCTGTCTCATACAGATCCCAGTAAAAGTATTAGGGCACACAACAGAAGAGTACATAAACTGCTATAGTTTACCAGTCTAAGAAAATTCTAGTGTAACGGGATTGAAAGTTTGAATGTTTAGCCTCACTGCTCGCACATTTTTTGGAGGTACTGCAATGTTGATCTGTATCCACAAGTTTGCAGAGTACATGCAGAATTCACTTTTCTCCTTCATTTCATTCATACTATGCTGTTTAATTGTTTAAACCTTTTGTGTTTGTTTGATTTTACAGATTTTTTGTCTTTTCCTTGGAGGACAGAGCACTTTGTCATCTTATACTGTATATATTTCTATATATATTGGCTTTGTTGAACTCTTCTTTGAGGGTGAAAGACTCATTTCTGTATTTTCTGAGACATCATCAAAAATTAGCCTGCGCAGTAGCAGGTACATGTATTTTTGATGATTGGTACCACCTTACAAACATAAAAAAGATTTTTTCTTGCATAAGCAGTTTTTTAAAAGCAAAGTGATAACATTTATCCTGTTCAACTGTGACTTCAGATGAGGATGTCAATATTTACAGGTGTCTCAAAATAAGCTTGAGTAATTTCCCTTGAATAACAGCTTTGAGAGCAGAGGCAGAGCTGAGAGCTGTTTGTGAAGCCGCTTGTCAAAAGACGCTACTAGAAAGACTGAAACTGTTGGTAGGTCTGAATTTGAGCTCCTGACACCTTTTAGAAATGAACAAAAAAAATTGAGACAGGTCAGCGAGATACGGGAATGAAAACATTGGGACACAAAGGTCATTAAGAGGTGAAATATCAGAGCAGACTGTCAGACGTCATCATGTTCAGGCTAAAAAAATCTGAAAATGTCAGAAATACTCATGAAAATCTGCTCCAACAGTTGTCTTCAAGTTAGGTACTGGCTCTGAACTAGTCCTGTTGTTTGGGGTCCCATATCATTGAGCAACTCCCATCCACCTAAATACAGAAATGTGCATGTACCACTACTGCAGAAACATGGTGGTGCACGTTGGTGGCCTTTGTAGACTGGAACCCACCTGACGAATCCTAAACAGTTTTTGTGTATTCAGGTGATTATAAGCTTTTTATACTCTGCTCAGATAAAACCCACACAGCTTTAAACGGAGTGAAATTTTCCTTCTCAGGTCCAGAGTGGACAGTTTGATGGAGTGGTAACAAAAATGTCTCCTCGCATTAACCTCAGGATCACTCCAAACTTCGCTCAGCCGTAAACTAACACTGCCAGTGTCCCTCAGAGAGCTGATGGGCCACATGTTGAGCCTCACAGCAGAAATAATAACACACGTCCAGCCGTCTGTGAAGTGTGCGCTGACGATAATTCCCTACTGTCAGTTGAAATCGGCAGCATACTGTCTCGCTGTCAGGCCAAATCTGTGGGATTATGTTATTACAGCCGTAATGCCAGAGTACAGTAGCTGTGTTCACACACGCACGCACACACACACACACACACACACACACACACACACACACACACACACACACACACACACACACACACACACACACACACAAACAATGTGAGGAAAACTGCATCTTGGTGCTTTGAAGACGGTTTAATTGACAAAGCGAGAAAATAATGGAGTCAGTTTTGATGTATGAATGAAGAGATGAGCTCACACTGATCTGAAAGCAGTTCCAGCAGCAGATGGAGGAAATGTGGAGATAATTATGATGTCTGAGCGTCACAGTCCTCTTCAGATTTGTCTCTCATTGGGTTATGGTTAAGGTCAGAGACATGGAAGTGGCAGAACAGATGGATTACATGCCAGGATTATAACATAAAGACTAAATATAGAGTGGACAGCTACACGTATTGGGCTGCTGTCTCTGCTGTAGCATGAAAAAAAGGACATTTCTATATCAGAGAGGTTTATCAAAAAGAGCTGGGACACTTAGGCAGCAGCTCGTATCAAAATCAACTTAGAGCCTGCAGGTGGAGGATTTAAAGTCAGGAGTAGAGATATGAGAAAAGCACTTTAAACACAGCTGCATGTGTGAAATTGTTTGTTTGATAGTGGACATACATCTGTTATCCCATCTCTAGAGCCCCCTAGAGGCTGATCAATTTAATGCACTGGGCCATATAAATGCAAGTGGTTCAAAGGCTCATTGGTTCTGATAGAGCTGCAGGTGAAGCGCCAAAAATTGCTGTTCCTATAGTGTCCACTAGAGGCTATGCCCAAAGTGAGTCAACCCACATACAGCCCCATTGAAAAATGTGCAACTTGACACGAATTCACCGCTTGGTTTTGCCCTCCAAGCTTAGTTCTTTATTCATATCTGTGCAGGTTTTATAACTTACCCCAGTAGATGATATTCAGGCTGAAAGTTAAGCATTATGGGAGCATGTCCTCTTTGAGTGACAGATGGGAGCAGCTAGCTATGTGTAAGGGGTCATTTTTTAGCTGTTTCTGGTTTAAAGTGTTTGTGCAAATACAAAATAACATTTTCCTGCCTCTAAGTTTAGATCCATTTTTAGCAATGAAGATACAAGAAATGAAGTTGATACTGATACTGATGCTCAAAATACTGAGTAGTATATTAGCAAAATCTAATTTATAAAAACTCTTCAAATATGTTTCCAGAGCGGCAGATTTGTAACTGTACTGCTTTCCACAAATTCTCAGAGGACAAAAACACAAACATCAGAGCAGAAGCAAAAACAAATAATCAAGTCTCAGAGTTTGAATTATGAGTTTTTGATTTATTTACAAAGCAAACAGCACGGCTCTTTACATAACCAAATCTTCTTGGACAACAGCTAGATGCTGCTATGTGACATGAAATACACAGAGACAAATTGGAAAATATTTCACTGACAAAGTCAAACTGAAAAGCTTCTTCCCAAAATAAGACACAACCATCAGGATCCACGCCGAGTCTTTCAGACTGCATTACAAATACAGTGATTAAAAAAGAGCTTACCATGGAGAAGTGACCTGTAGAAACTGCAGAATGCTTTTGAATCGAAGTTTAACTGTCCAAAAGATGAACACTGACCTCAAATGAACACTCAAGTTTATGTTTTTAATGGCTCTGTGCTCCTGCACACTGCATATAGATGAAACAATACTGTCAGGCGTGAATCTGCCTGACCAATCCTCAGAAAACTCCCCTTTTGGTAAAATACTACCAATACTGTGTCAGACTCAATTCCTGAAGAAATTCAGTTAAGATTGTGATCATTTAGGAAACATCTTCATCATGTCATCCAGAATTGTGGTTTAAACCCTCGCTGAGAAAGAAACAGCCAAAGAAACTCCGTGTGTGATGAGCCTGCAGACAGAAGGGACTCTGTGGCTCAAACTGCTGATTGCATGAAGCATTTAGTCCATTAAGACCGGTTACTGTCAGACTACACAGCTTTTACACACACAAGGTTGTGTGTATGTTAGAGTGGCTGGTGGTCCAGGCCACTAAAGGGCAGAAACAGCTGCTGTGAAAGAACCAGCGAATGTTTGTGTGTTGATCAAAGAAACAAAGGCAGCAGATGAACTCCAGTTTTGTGTCTGTTTATGGGTTTTACAGTCACAGATGACTCTTTTATGAAGTGTTGTGTTGCTGGTGTGTCCTTTTGTATGCTCACATTAAGCCCTCTCATTTTAAACAATCAAATACATCACACAGAGTTTTTCATTGTCTGTAATTGTGGTTTCACATAGAGGTGGTTTTGTCCTTTTTGTGATCAGTTTATGTAAATACTTCAGAAATGTTGTCTCTTGTAACATCAGCCTGTAAACAGACTTCATGAGGAAGACTTTACTACTTGGCAACCAACAATTTTTCTCCTCAAATTTGTATTTTTTTTTTTCAACTTTAAGACTTTTTTTCTTGAAGTGCATAATAAAGAAAAAAATAAGGTCTTGATTGGTTGAATATTGAGCACAAACCAAAAACACCTTACAGCTTTGATGGAGGAAAATCTAAATGTTTACTGTATTAATTTGATATTTGGAGTTTTTTCTCCTGAACATGAGTGTCTGTAGAAACTACAACCACTGTGAGACTGTAGCTGGACTGATGCCCTGATACCTGGATCATTAAAGTTAAAAAAAAAAAGCCTCCAAATGCCTAAAGGTGGAACCTCAGTAAACTCTTTAAACCTGGAACACCTGGCTGAGCAGCCATTCAGAGAGAGCCTCATCTACATGTAGAGATAGGTTGATTGATCTGGCTGAACAATGGTGTTTTGAAATAATCAGCATCGACCAATAGTTGGGCACAAGGCTGATTATGAAAATAAGCAAATCTCGTCTGCAGACACTGCAGGCAGCTGCTGTCCAAACAACAATATGACAGCAGCCTAAATCTAACAGTATTTGACATGTATTTGTAGAATAATGGAGTTTAATATTTCCTCTGATATAACTATGTAAATGTCTGACATCTAAAGCATAGCACAGTTTACTCTTCTTTCTGTCGTCAAAATTCCTCTGAAACCTGTTTCTGGCTCAGAAAAGTGTGACAGAGGATTTTGCTACTCTCGGAATAACAGCTGTAATAACATTGTGGTTTCTGTGTCATATATTGGCCGTCGGCGGATCTGCTCTGTTATGGGTAAGGTGAGCTGTAAAAAACAGCATCACAAACAAACCTCTCTGAAACTTGAACTCGCTTGTCTGAGTTTTTATTAAAATAAGAGACAGTTAGACCGGGTTAGTCAGCCAATCTGGTGTCTTCTTTACGAAATCTGAAAGACTCTTTTTCAGAAGACACACAAAAAAACAACATTAAACTGTGATCTCAGAGAAGATGAGAAAATCAAACTGTCTTTCATTTACATCCATATTTTCTTTTTAAGTCTCTCAGTTTTGTTCTTTCAGTTTGAATGGGTCCAAATGAGCTGCAGCCCAACAGGTGGGACTAAATAAAAACTCTACAGAGATACCAAACGGCTGTGACAGCGAGCACTTTTAGAGAAAACACAAACATCTGAAGACGCAATATCTGAAAATCACATTTCCACATGTAAACGGAGAGAAGGCAAAAGGAGCCGCTTCGTAGCAGAGACCCTCGAGGACGACATCAAATCTGTCAAAATATTCTGTATATATAGAAATATAAATACAAACAGGCAATAAAAATAAAAATAAAAGGATCTGTGTGGCGCTGTGATCGATTTGACTCCCAGTGTATTTACAATCAAGGCTTACAAAGCTCATAACGTCAGGGATTAAATCACACACCTACACCTGTCTCACCTCCACCTGCTTCCCTCTGTCATCCATCCATCCATCCATCCATCTCTCCTCACAAGTGCATTTAATCTCGATTCTCCTCCTTCGGTCCACCTCCTTCATCAATACTTATCAAACTGTCTTTTTGTCAAACAGTCCAACTTCTTCTTTGTTCCATCTCTCTTCTGCTTCACTCCATCTTGGACATCTCGAATTTAGTCGTCATGGTTTCCTGCAACAGACAGATAGTGTCATAAGGAGAACTTTTCTATAAAGTATGTCTTTTTCTTTATTCTAGTAAACCTGGCCCTTTTTCCAATATTTTGGTGCTCTGATCATTCAAGTTTTTCAAATTAACGGCTCAGATCTTTAGCGTTTTATTAAATGACATGGAGTGACATTCTTTGCTAAAGCTAAAGACCTCATTTAATAATAATAAAAAAAACCCAACAACAATCAGCTCTCCTTTCAGTAAGGGCCTGTGTCCACTAATGGCCTCTTTTTATGCTGGCAGTGCCCTTAATCTTAATTTCCTGGAAAGTCACATTGTTTCTAATATCTCTAGAACCGTTGGATCATTAGGAGGACAACTGTGATTGAAAGCCAGTTCACAGAGGGTTTTTAGCACAGCTTAGAAGTGCAGTGCTTACAGAAATGTTGGCACACGTGTCCATGAATTTTGTGAAGGTTTAGGGTTCTCTTCACTAATTATCTTGTTGGTAGCATTCAATCGAGGGCAGCCCAACATCCACAAGAAAATTATCTTCCAGTCTTGAAAATAATCATGTCCAAAGGAAACGTTTATTCACAACTTTTACACGTGGAAACTTGTGTGCACACGCTTTACGCGCGTCTGGTAGTTTAGAGTTTCTAAATATTGAAAACGGAACTGTACCTCTTGAGGGAACTGAGGGCTTGAGGGAACAATATTTAGGAGTGAGAAAGGTTTGATTATTGATGATTTTAATTTCAGAGTGTTTATGGTCAAATTCATTTACTTATCTGACATCACTGCCACAAGCACACTCACACAGCCAAAGGCGCCCTAAAACCAGACGTCTTCAGCTTGATTCTACTGGAAAGGGTTGAGCTTTTAGGTGAAGGACTGAAAAGGTGAAGTTAGACCTTTTCAAGTACCTGGTCAATGATGTAATCACACAGCCCTCTTCTGATGTCATTTATGTGATTAAATGCTCTGTGGATTATCCTTTGTTGGTCCACTAAAACAAAGGATGAGGGAGCTTAACAGCTTTATGAGGAAGTACTTTATGATAGGGATGAGTCCTTAGCAGTGCATTTCAGTGACTTTGAAGATGATATTTCATCATGCAGGTTCCAGGGCATTGAATACTGGATATTTAACCTACTAACTTTATCCCCAAAATTGTGAACAATGAGATTACATAGCATTTGATGGTGGAAGAAACGGAGAGTAAATGAGGTGTCCTTTCCTTCCCAGTGCATTACATGGGGTTCTCTCCTCTGATTTCCCTCCTCTCTCCTCCCGGCCACCGTAAGGGAATAGCGCTTAACATGGAGGATCTGTAACTACTCCCAGTTTGGCTGAGAACGGAGGAGAGAGGAGACTGAATGATAGCTTTGGGACTCAAGTATGGAGGAGCTGAACAAGTGTAGAGTGTAGGATCTTCTAAAACACCTACAACTGTGTGATAAGTGGATGTGCAAACCCCTCCCTTAACAGAGGGCACATACTTGGAGCTGGACCTATCACTAAGGATTACTTTAGAGACACTATGAACAGTTTTACCTTCTCACCACTAAGTTATTTAGAGCAGAATAAATGTACAAAGATAGAGTTGTCTAAATAAGCAGATTTCCTTTTTAAGGTATCTTCATGTTCCTCTGTCCTCCTCCCTCCTTATTCAGTCATCTCAGACTTTTTCATGGATGTGACACTCCACTGTTTCAGATGCTGAATCATCCTCCATCCTCTACTCTTCCCATCCCGGTCCAGCCCCCCCCCCATCCTGTACCCCCTCAGTTAGTAGGTCAACGTTGTTAAGAGGATTTCTTTTGTTACAGACATGATGGATGAGGCCACATACGGGCGAGTGACAGAAGAGATCACCGCCGACATGAAGAAGCCAATTTCTCCAGTTTAGAGAAGAAGTCCGGCCTGTGGGAGGGCTAACGGGGAGTTTTTGGTCCAATACTGTAATTTAGCTTCTTTGGAAGATTGATGACAGACCCAAGGGATAATATACGGCTTCAAAAGAAAGGCTGGCCTCGGTTTAAATGTCAAGGAGATCTTTTATTTTCCTCCTTTAATCATCAAAACGTTGAAGGGCAAACTCTGCTTTAGATGCACAGATTAAAATTTAATGAGATGAGGGATAATGAGTAAGAAAAGCACTGATTTTGCCTGAACTACCTCTTAACGACTAACTCAACACAGTTTTATGGACAGGCCCTTTACTGTCTCCACTAAACCCGCTGGGATAGATTCAACTCCTTACATTCCCTCTCTTTGCTGTTTAGGTGGACTGAATCACCTTTTTCCAACAATAACTGCTGTGGTGTCCTTTGTTCCTGGTCTGTTTCGAACTCTCCAGATCAAAGTTTAAAAAATTTCTGTCTGAGCTCCAAAATTCACTCTTAGCAACAACTCCTAAAGTCCAAACAGAGAAATCAATGTCAGGAAAACGTCTCCTTTTTGCAGCAAACAGCTGACAAACTGTTTCATTTACTGTAGTTTGGAGAACTTTGTTTGGCTGTTTGAGTTTTGGAAAAAGAAGTTTGCTTTTCTGAATGTTTCCTTTTAATTCTGATCTTGTGTTTTTATTCTTAAGTGTCTGATTTACTTCTGAAACCGCGTCACAGCCGTCATACCTCACTTTCTTAATCTCTCTGATATTTCAATCCCGGATGAAATGAGATTAGATAAAAGAAAATAAAAGTCTGATTGCACAACAAAGCTCACAGTAAATGGAGCTAGATGAGGTGGAAAAACTTGGGAAATCTGTTAGCGGTAGTGTTTGGTAATGTCTCTATAATCCCAGCCTAACTGAAGAGGATTGCATTATTTGTTATAATAGGTTTAATTTGTGAGTTCAGGTCAAATTTTCCTCCAATTACTCCACTAAAGGTTTTCTAGGTTTTATATTTCTATACAGACTGACTCAGATTTGTTGGAGACTCAGATTTAATTTTCCAGACCCATTTCAAACCAGAACCTTTTCTGACTTTAACCATTTTTATGTAAATTTGCCAGAGTCAGAGAAGGAGTATCAGAGCAGAATCTTGAAAAGCTTATCCAAACTTTGTTTACAGCAGATCAGATTACTCAGTCTGTTCAAAGAACTTTAAAAACAAACTGTTTGGTAACTTCAACATATTTAAAATGTAGCTGCAAGAGTCCTGAAGAAATATGAGCACCTTAGAGCAGACTGAACATTCCTACAAAACTGAAGCTGAATTCAGAGTCTCTGCTGGTTTATGAGTCTCTCTGTGGTCTTGCCCCTCAAAATGAAATCATCATCAGCGAACTTTTATATATCCTGTTGTGCCTCTGTTCTCATGCAGTGTATTCATTTTTTTTTCTATTTGACCGCTAAACTCAACCAAAATTTGATGCTGGTTAGAGGTTTAGCGGTCCATATTGAAGACTAAACACACTCAGATATTCATTTCTGTCTGTTTCACCTTTAAAAGGGTGCACCTCTGTTTTAGAGCTGCTGACTTGCACTGACATTTATTTGTACACGATCATGTATGTGAGGACGGTTTAGGTATGTGCACTGCATGGCCCGACATTTTAACATTTGTTGTATCATGTTGCAAGTTATTTTTTAGCTTAGACGGACAGCCGAAGACAGGGTTTCTATATTGTGGTTCAATGAATTTAATCTTATCTTCCCCTTTGAGACAGATCTCTTTACACTCAGCTTTCTTACTTATTACTTTTTGAAATGTGTTTATTTTACATCTGATCCCACAGTTTGCTTGTCATGAATCATTAATTGATGTCTACGCACTGCAGTACTTCATATCTTTAATGAACGAGCTGCTTTGAATTTACTGCCTCTAAAGAGATTAGGTTAAAGTTGTTTGCAGAAAAGTGAGTTATTGCAGGTAATTTACCTTTGACTCTGTCTGATGTTTATTCAATCATTTGTTTAATTTTGCAGGTCTTAGTCTGATGTACAGAAAATATAAACGTGCTACAGCCTTCAGATTCTTCTAACAGTGTCCCCACTGACCTGGAGGAAGCAGGGTTTCAGTCTCGACCAATCAAAGCCATCAATCTCTGCTCCTTTGTCCTCTTTGACTCTTCTCAGTCTCAGACAACCCATGGAGGCTGTACACACAAGTTCTATGGATTCACGTCCTTTCTTGTTCACACAGCAGCTTACGTAAGAAATTGATTTTACATAAGAGGCACTTTGACGATTACTGGATTCCCTCTGAAGGTTCAGCTTGGAGATGAAAGTGTGAATAATTTGTGAAATGGTCCAAGCATAGAGTCACCAGAGGACATGACGACCAGCTCAGTCCCTCTTTTTTCTGATTGCGCATTTGTTTATGGTCTCCATCAGATCACTGATCAATGCTTTCTCCACATGTAAACACATCGCCATCACTCTGTTCTGCTCGCCATGACAACAGAGGGGAGGATAAACAACAGTATGATGTAACCGTAGCAACAGCTGCTCTCTGCAGATTGTATGCTGCCATCCACTGTTCAGACTAAGTACATACAGGTATGCAACAGTCAGGATTTGTGTGAGATTATGCACGTATGACCCTTTTCAAGTTTTCTATTGCTGTGTCTTTTCCTTTTCTTTGTTTTTATGTCAGAAAAATGAGTAAAGGTTTCACATTTCATTTGAGAAAAAGTAAGAGAGGTTTATGAACAAATTGAAAAAAAAAACTCAGCTTTTGTAACGTTCATCTGCAAAAATAACCTCTCTATTCTGCATCCTCATGATTGACATATATGATTCAATTTTTGTCTGCAGCCATGTTGGTGTAAGAGCCATGAATCCTTTCCAACCAAGCAGCTTCACCCTCAGTTTATGTTTTGATTTTTTTCACCCTGAAGGACCTGAAAGTTTAATCTAACCATGCTGTTGTAGTGGGCTTACATCCCAGGTTAAAAACCAGGTGACCTACCTCATCAGAGTCCAGCAGTGGGGGCAAGGCGCTGTAAAGAAAACAAGAAAGCCTCAGCCATCAAGTCTGGAAAATAAACTTTTTTATATAACGTATAAAACATAAATGTGACGTATTAACATGCCAATTTAATACTGATGATGACTTACACATCTGCCATAGACGAGGGGATGTTCTCCTCCACCCACTTCAGATCCTCATCCTGAGAGAAGAACAACGTCCTGTTCAGAAAACTCATCGCTTTAACAACTTTTGACTGACAAAGATATTTTGGGGCAAAATGCTGCAATATGAAAAAATAATCTAAAAGGGCATACAGTGTTATTAAGGCACAGATGTATCACTGGTAGTTTTCTATAATACAAGTAAAGACATACTTGATTGAGATCTTTAGGTGCTCGTATGAACATGATTGATCTAAAAAAATCACCAGCTAAGCATGTTTTTTTACAGACCAAGATATTAAGTTAGGTTCTTTTGTGATACATATTTGTTATGGTACATTTTATTTAGACCATGATATGTACAAACTGGAAGAGTAGACCAGAACAAAATTCAAAGTCAAATTACTGTTTATTTATTTTTAAATCAGGTTCAATGATTTATAGCCTGAATACAACTCTACCAGTCTTCAGCCATTGTTGTAGAAAACAGTTTTTAATCATCAGACTATTTTGGTTCAAATATTTATCCGCCATGTTGCTAAAGTTACCCACCTAACAGCAAAAGTACCAGAAACAGGTCCTTTGTACGCATAATTTATCATTTCTTGCAGGGCTTTGAAAATGCCTGGATTTTTAATGTCCCCATCAATTATTTATTCACATGGGATGAGACCGCATCACTTTTTGGATTTTATTGACCCCTGAATCAAACTGTTGCCTAAAGATAGAGATTATGCAGTGCAGAAGTGCACATCCCTATTTTTAGTGAAGTTCATGGCAGCAGATATCTACCTGTCCAGACAGCTGATAGAAAATTCTCAAGCTCAAATTAAACTGATGCCAGCTTGATGTACGGACCATTCTCATGTTGTGTTCAGTAACTTCTCAAAGCATGAGCTCACTCTCTTGCGATCCCATGCAAAGTGGCAAAAACACATGACAAATTCTGGATGCTCCGCCCCTCAGGCTGTAAAAAATAACTGGGTTTTTTCGTTCCTCTGAGCTGAGAGCATTCGACTGTCACTCACCACTTTGTTGGCTTTGGCTGTCCCATTGTTCTCGTTTTTCATCCCCCTCATTTTCATCCCCTCTGCAGACACACACACAGAGAAAACACACACACACACGCGCACACACACACACACACACACACACACACACACACACACACACACACACACACACACACACACACACACACACACACACACACACACACACACACACACACACATATAAATTACATATATATAAAACACACTCACATTATTCTGTGATGGATGTACCACAAAAAAATGATACTGGACATGCTTCCTCTTCTGATGTTGACAAAAAACAAAAACATTTAAGACAGACAACAAACTAGTTGGTTGATTAACTGACAAACTAAATGACCAATCCAATGACTACTATCCAGGCCAACTAACAATAATGATCAAAGAGATGTTAAAGTGACTGACCAACAGATTAACAAACTAACAAGCAGTAGAACTGACTGAATAAGTAAAAAGGGAAAATGAAATAAAGATGACCAAAAAAAAAAACCAACTAACCAACTAATAACAGCACACAACTAGACAACAGATGAACTGAAGGACTGAGACCAGCGGACAACCAACTAAAAGGCTAACAGACAAACTAACAAACCAAAAGACTAAGTGATAGACTAGCTAACTAACTAGATTAAAAATAATAATAACAGACTAATCAAAGGACTGAGTGATAAACAAACTACTGCAAGATACCAACTTACAGGTCAACCAAAAAACTAACTAGGATTCATTAATGGACTGACCAGACTAAATGAGGGGCTGAGGATAGAACTACAAAACAGACTGACTAAAGAACTAACCAAAAGTCTAACCAACAGCTTATCTTGAAGATGAACTAACACCAACATATGAACTAAGAGATTAACTAATACTAACAGGTTAAGTTAGAACCAAACTAACAATAACAGGTTAACTTTAAGCCTAATTAACACTAACAGGTTAACTAAGAGACAAACTAACACTAACAGGGTAACTACATAACTAACTAAAAATAACCGGTTCACTAAGACCCTTACTAACTCTAACAGGTTCACTAAGACCCTTACTAACTCTAACAGGTTCACTAAGACCCTTACTAACTCTAACAGGTTCACTAAGAGCCTAACTAACACTAACAGGTACACCTAAAGCCTAATTAACACTAGCAGGTAACTAAGAACCTTACTAACATTAACATGTTTACTAAGACACTTACTTACACCAACAAGTTAACAAAGAAACTAACTAAGACCAACAAGTTAACTAAGAACCTTAATAACACTTAAAGGTTCATTTAAAGTCTAATTAACACTAACAAGTTAACTAAGAACCTTAATAACACTAACAGGTTAACTTAGAGCCTAACTAACACTAACAGGTTTAACATAGAGCCTATCTAACATTAACAGGTTAACCAAGAGACTTACTAACACTAACAGGTTAACAAAGACACTCACTAAAACTCACAGGTTAACAAAGAGCCCAACTAACACTAACAGGTTAACTAAGACAAATACTGTATAACAAACACATACAGGTTAACCAAGAGCCTGACTCATCCTTTCATGTTAACTTAGTATCTAAAACAAACTAGCAGGTCAACTAATAGAGACTACCTTACATGTACAGCTTCACCAAGAAACTAATTGAAACAAACCAATGGGTCAAATAAGAGGCTTACATACACCTCGTAGCTGGTTCACCAAGCAGCTTATCAACAGGCTAACTAGTCGACTCACCCAAGAATCAACTGACAGACCAACAGAGTAACTGACACACTAACTGAAGGATTGACTCAACAGACGGCCAAAATGACAAACTAGTTGACTGACCAATTGAAAGACTAAAGGCCACTTAAATATGAATTGAGTCTCTGACCCTGTTAGTCTTACTAACATACAAACTAACTAACCTACAGAAAGGCTGAACAATGCAAGAGTTACTAAAGCACTGAAAAAAATAATAACCTGATTAACCTCCAAACTAACCTGCTACCTAACTGGCTCATTTCTTACCTCATCAACTAACATTATAAAATGTGTTTGTCTGTGTTATGTTTAAAGTTTTAATGTTTCTTGCTGGAACCTGGACCAAAAGAGCTTTACTGAAAACAAATTCCACCATCCCAGCTGTGTGATCAACAAATGAAATGAAAAACAGATTAACTGATTAAAAACGTGACTAACTTAGTGAGGATGGTGAAGAGACAGAACAAACAAACAAAGGGATGGAAGAAAGAAACTTGTCAGAAAACAAAGTGGCAGGAGAAAGGAGGGAAGGAAGGAAGGAAGGAAGGAAGGAAGGAAGGAAAGTTTCTAACCAAAAGCCTCGTTCATCATGGGCTCCTTCTCCTCTTCATCATTCTCTTCATCCAGCAGAGGACTGAAAGCATACCTGATACACACAGACACACATGCTGACTTCATCTTCAATTAACCAGACAAAAAATGTTTAAAAAGACAGCCCTGACATCCCCTATACCTCTGGTTATTGGCTGATGGTCGCCATAGGAACATGATGACCAATAAAATGATGGAAAACAAGAAGCGCCAGAAGGCGTCAACTATCCACAGCTCCCTCCAGTCCTACAGACACAGAGACATTTTAATGAAGACACTTCAAAAGCATTCAAGATGTTCATTTAAGAGGGGAAAAAAGGCTGAAGATGAGAAACTTCTCTCCCTGCTGGCCTGAATATCTCACCATCTGAGTTTAGGGAATCATTCAAAGACAGACGTCTGTTCAACATGTAGATGAGAATTTCACATCAAGGAAAAGGAAAAGTCTGAGAGAATTAATCAGCTCCTTTTTCAGCTGCAACAAATATTATTTATGTTATTTAATTTTGATGTTTCTCTTTGGTAAACTCTGAGTTAATCCAAGGTGTTGCACAGTAATTTCACCTACTTGTGAGTGACTTGGAGATCAACATTTCTCATATTTCAACTCAATGTTCATCTCATAATGCTTTAAGTATGTGTTGCGGACCTGCATTGCCCCTGAAGGCCAGAAGGGGCGACTGTTCACTATCTTCAGTTCCAGGTCTTCTTAAATACAGTCATTTTCTAAATTGCAGTCTTTATTTATTCATCCTCCATCATCCTCACTATCCCTCCTGCTTGTATGACCACCATGGGGTCATGATCCCTCAGCCGCTCTGACCCCTGCCTCTGGAACTTCCTTCCATTGGACAACCATAACATCAACACATCAACTATTTTTAAATCACACCTGAAAACCTGTCTGTTTAAACGAGCATACTCACCCTGACTGTCACTCTCTTTTGAAAAACTTACATCTTGAACTTCTTGAATCTTTTTTACTATTTACTTCTATCCTTTATGAAAAGGTGCTTATGGTGCATAAACTAAATGTACAATTATTACTGTTATAAAAAAAATGATAACATAGCAGGACAGGATTCGAGGCGGGGCAATCTGTGCAAGACTTTCCTGACCTGTCACTCTGGATAGACTTGTTGCAAGTTTCATCACACCAAGCTCCACCCTTTTGTCCAAATATGGTAACTTCTGGCCACAAAACATATGAAGATGGTGCTGGTCTCTCTCCCCCTGCTTTCCACCTTCTTAAAAATGGGGGGAAGGGGGCAAATGGGCATACAGACAAACTACTTACAGACCGGCACCTGCTTATCCTGAAAGTCTTGGTGGTCCAAATGATGAAGATAATTGATGCTGAAAAAAGGAAATTAAACACATTCAGGGCCTTTAAATTGTGATTATGCTTACCAGTTAATATGAAGCATCTATCTCAGAGTGTTTTTCTTACCTATGACAGCAAAAATGAGCGTGTTAGTGAAGTGTCTGTAGAGAGAGAGCTTCACCACGTTCCTCCTCAGCTTCAGCAGCTTCATAGTCTGAGCCAGACTCACAAAGATGTAATGCAACAATCAAGGAAAAACAGCAACCAGTAAAATAATCAGTAATAGCTGAGACTTAGACATTTATCTAACTGTATCTGACACTTTCCATAAGGTAATCTATTGCAATTATTACCACAAAATCAAGAAGTAAGGCCTGTGAATTCATGCTAAAATATTTACAGTGATTAAGGTTTGATGAAGGAAGAGACATAAACTAAAACTAACATTTCTTATGGTCTCAATCTGTTTGTTCTTGACTGCCTAGGAACTGATTTGAATGGTTTTTAAACCTTTGCACAAATGGTCCGAGGCCTTTTACTTCACAGCAACTTTACAGGACAAAAGGAAAAGTAGAGCAGACAGAGTGGGATGTACTAAAGGAAAGATGCAATAGCGGATATCCACCAGCAGAGGGTAGAGTCGAGTACAGCCAGAGGAATAGCAGCCAGGAGAACTACATCGTCTTCAGCCTTAAGAGGGAAAAAGGACAACAGGAGAGGAGAGATGGATAAAATCATGGAAGAGGGGAAGGAGGAGTTAAGGAGGGGAGTTTGGAAAAGAGGGTAAATGATTGGAGGACAAGTACAGGAGGAGGAGGATGAAGATGGAGGAGAGGTGACAGTGGGAGTCAAAGGGAAAGAGAGGGATCAGAGAGGAAATAAAGGAAACACAGTACACAACAAAAAGAGCCATAAAGGACTTTGTGTTTGTTTTTCTGTAGGTTCCAGGTGGGATTAAGCTTTGGTAAAAACAGTGGGATTAGGGGATTAGATTCGGTCCATTTTCATGTATTTTTTTTAACATGTAGAAGGTGTGAGAGAAGCCCTCATAGAAAAAACAGTCCCCATTTTTCATGCAAATATTCACATTTTACATGCAAATATTCGCATTGGGCGATACCTTACACTGTTTAAACCCAGCAGGAAGAGAACTTACAAAAGACACCAACATGCAGCAAAGAGAAAAGGAAGTTAGCAAACCCTGAGACAAACCAAAACCTCCTCACAGGAGCATCAATGTGAAGACTGAAAATCACCTCTTTGCACCTGTGGCTGTTTCTCTCCTTAACAAAAGGCTGTGCAACCACTAAAACTGAAAGAAGACATGCCTTAGGTGCACTTTGGACCGCATATTTACATACAGCTCAGAGATATCACAGAGGGCAGCATCAACAGCTGGACTCAGGTCTTCATTAAGATGGTGAAATGTTGCTGCTGTCTGAGGCTAACATACATCAAATGAAAGCTGTTTCAAGATCCCACATCAAGTTTGGATCGAATCAGTTCACACAGTTTACTGACTTTGCACTATCACTGACAGTTTTGCATTTTCCTTGGGTGAAAAACTGCATTATGGGAAAAGTAGTGCACCTATACTTGCTCCGGCACACTGCATTTTTATTGTACTGTGGCATAAGTGTGAGACTTAAATACTTGGTGCTGGATCCACGATTTAGCTGCTCTATCCTGTTTAGAAATGATGAAGGTGCATTTTCAGGTGAGTGTGTGCATGTGCATGTTTAAAGGATATCCACCAGAAAGCACAGGAGTCAATGAAGGCCAGCACTATCTCTGTGAGTTTGACGCTGCTTTGGTCACCTTGGTCCTGAAGGGACAAACCGGTTAGATATTCACACCTTCTCTCAGTCACTCACTCACTCAGTCACTCACTCACTCAGTCACTCACTCACTCACACACACACACACACACACACACACACACACACACACACACACACACACACACACACACACACACACACACACACACACACACACACACACACACACACAGAAAAGAGTGTCATGACTCACAGCGTTGACTCTGAGGATTCCCTCCACAATAGAGAAGATCAAGTAGAGCAGACCCACACCGACAACTCTGTGAAGCAATGCACCAAGTCTGGGCCTGGAGGGAGACCAGAACAGAAGTGGGTCATTTTTCACTGATGCAGTCCTTTTACAGTCTCTGATAACTTCTGAAAGTTGTTTTGATCTCTCTTTTACATTTTTCACACCAGTCTTCTTTATACTTTTGAGAAAAATACACATGTTCATATGACTAGGAGTCAGTCAGGAGTACAACTGGGTCACAATCGGGAGAAAGCAAACACTCAAATGTAGGGCTGAACGTTTCTGGAAAATAATCAAAAAATGTTTTTTCTCAATATTGCAATTTAATATGCGATTTTTAGGTCCTCTTTAGGTATTTTTCAACACAACAATAAATAAATCTGTATTATAGTAAACAATATTACATCAATTATACATAAATAGCTCTTTCTGGCAGTTATCATTTCACACACACACACACACACACACACACACACACACACACACACACACACACACACACACACACACACACACACACACACACCATTATATATGTCATGATACTAATCTACACCGATGGCAAGATGTAATGGGGCCCAAAACCCTAGAGTCGGGTACATTCATTCAGCTGTTCTGCCATCACGGTATTGGATGTGTTTTCTGTCATTACGCAGACGTGGTTTGAAGTTAAAGCGCTGGTCGCTTGTGTTTTAGCTTTTCTACTCTCGTACATGGTTTAGTAGCGTTTTTTTCTTTAAGTGTTAATAAAGGTTCACAGTGTTGCCTCCTGATGTAGCAACAGTAGCACGACAGGTTCTGCACACGTTGAGCAGCAGCATCTTTTTTTTTTTTGCAAAATAAATCCACACAACTGCTGTGCTGCCTCTCTTTGGTACTAAACTTTCTGCAGTGTCAGCTTCTGTAGCAGAATTCGACCATCGTGCGACAGAGTTCAGTGTTGACTTCTCTCTCTACCTGCTCTGCTACGCTCCACTCGCTTGCAAGTCATGTGTCCAGATCACGTGACCGGTCAAAATCACAATCTTTGCGGGTAAAAAAAATCACGTTTTATCATAACGCAATATAATCGCAAATGCAATTAATCACTCAGCTCTACTCAAATGTCACTGGTACAGCACACAGACATATTCATGTGAAGCTCTGCCAGTCTAGGAAAACTCTCTGCATGTCTTGCAAAAAGATCTCAGCCTTTATGGTGGTTTTATGGCAGCAGGACTCATGGCTGTCTCTGCCTGTTTGAAACTGTATCATGCTGCAGACTTTACAAAAGTAAAATTTCAAAATCAATCTGCTTACTTGACGATGCCATATCCCAGACTGGCGATGATCACCAACACCCGGGCCAGAGTCCTCTTCACAGCAGAGAGCACCTCAGCAAACACCACGGCCCCATGAACTGATGGAGGACACGTCAAACAAACCATCACTGCCTGATTCTGATGCTGTGTCTGCCCATAAAAACCCTTTCTGTGTGTCCACCTACCTGACAGGCCGTCGTATCTGATACTCTGGAACTCAGCATAGTAAACGGCTTTCTCCAACATGCCCAGGAAGATGACTCCTCCGATCCAAAACTGGATCCTGAGCAGATCCCTCCAGTAACACGCTGACAGAACGAGCCAGAGCACGGCAAGCAGGACGTACACAATACACATGACCATGTAGAACTGCACACAGAACAGAGAGAGAGGCAGAGTCACCTTCTTACAGTGAAAGAGAATCTGCAGGTAACGTCCAAACTAGGAGTGCTGTCCATGATCTGAAAGACATTAGTGCCGCTGACGTTTTAAAAAAACACTAATGCTTTAATTACGTGGACAGAGTTTGGACCTGCAGACCTTACATAGGGTCAATGATTCAAAGAAGCATGAACAAATGTTGGTTTCAGAGTTTTGAATGTGGAGGGTCTGGTTTCTGGTCCTGAAAGTTGAAGTGTTCTTTTGTGCTCTTACCACCATCAGAGGCCATTCAGAGGCTGATATGTAGTCATGAGGACCCTTCATGCTGATCTGAACTGTAAACACAAAGAGGACACATCAGACTGCTGTTGACCTACAGCTAACATGGTGATCCCTCTGAAGCTACAGCAGGTGTTTAATTGGTGTGTGTATCACTGTTACTACATATAAACTAGAGTCTTTACTCCTCTCATACGTTACAGCTCTTAAAACAGAGCTTCAGAGATGACACTAACATACTTCATTTAAAAAATTGGGTTTGGAAACAGACTTTTGGAAACTATGACGGAGAGACCCACTTTCACTTCCTGACAAGGTCTTTTTGATCTGATGATGATCATAACTGCAGGAAATGTCAGACTTGAGTTACTGCGCTTAACTGGAAAAAGATTTCCCCACAGGTGCTGCTGACCTTGTTGTCTTTGTTTGCTGCTGTTTCAAAGTCTGTCCTGCATTTTTACACCACTTCTGTATGTGCTGTTGTTATACACACATGTGCAGGCCTGCTATCCCTATATGGTCATGTGATTTGCATTTCCAGGTGTGTTTGTGAGGCAGACGTTGGATCTGGTTCCACTGAAGGACTCATTTTTACAGGGATCAAACCCTCTACAGGGGTTTCAGGCTGAAATTGCCATTATTATCAGGATTGTAACATCATTTGTGATCATTTCATGTCTTATTATAAGTTTCCATCAACACCCGAACTCACGCTGCAGACTCCAGGGTGCAGGAGGGTTAGCATTGCTAGCGGCGTTAGCATGCTCCGAGGCTCGGCTCTTTGAGTCTTTGTTTTCTGTGATGCTCAGGATGAACATGTAGGGTCCGTCCTCCCAGCTCTTGGCCACAACATCTAAGTGAGCAGGAAGAGGAGGAGCAGGAGGAGGAGGAGGAGCGACCTGAGCAACAACAAATCACATCAGAGATTATGGACTTTGTTTCATCTGTCAAAGTTAAGACTCCACAATCCAGAAAATACAATTTTACACTCCCACAATTTAGGACGGAAACATTCAGTCCAAGAAGTCATAATATGTTTGAAGTAAAAATTTGGTCTGTGGTTCCCACAGGCTGCGCAGTGGATGTAGCCCCAAAGTTCCATCTTTTTAATCCTGCATTGTGTCTAACAGCCAGCAGGGGGCGATCCACTCTTTCCAATTAAAGCCTAATGCTCATTTTCGGTCCCATTAAAAGAACAATACGCCAAAGGGTGTTGCTACCTATGATTGGCAAGTCACTACCATGGCAGCTTGAAGCATATCTTGCTCTAGAGACAAGGATGCATCTACAAAGGTGAAGTAATGTGCTGTCTCCTTATTTCGCTAATTGGTCCTTCACTTGTATCATTTCCTTGCTTCCTTGCTCCTTCCACCAAGGTTTGAGGGAGACACACTGTCATGACGCAAAGACAGTGGAGGGGTGTATGCAAAATGAGAAATTGCTCCTTTACAGCGTCAGAGTAACGTCAGGCACAGCTGCATCTCGTGACAGCGCAACAATACCAACATCAAGAGAACCCACCTCTTTTGGAGGAGCTGCAGACTTCTCGGTTCCTGCTGGAGCAGCGTCCTCTCCTTCCTTCTTGGCTGGAGCAGCCTGAGAGACATGAAAACAGTCAAACAACCACAACTCAACATCAAAATGCATTTAAAAAAAACAAAAAACAGCCAAAATAAAAAACTTTTGGAAATTATTAAGACTAAGACTTTTTCCGCTGTAAACAAAGTCATGATTGGACACTCTGCTTTTTCCCCAATTAAATGGAGATGTCACTTATCCAGGTTTGACTTTTTGTTTAGCTCACTCCAGCTCTAGACAGGTTATTCTGTTTGAAATATGCTGTAATTCCTGTTCTGCTCAACCAGGACTGATAAGTATCTGCACACCTTTGGCGGAGGAGGATTCACCTCTCTCCTCCTCCTCCCGCCCGGCGTCTTTGCTGTCGATGGCTGGAAAAGAAAATGTAGATATGAGAGACTTGAACCTATACTGTAAACAATACTGCCACCTTATCTGACCAACAACAATTGTGGTCCAACAACAAAAAATTTGAGGACCTTTATCAGAGGATACACCTGTTGATCGTGCAAAAACATCACGGGGAAGAAATTTGTACATTTCCCATCATGCACAGTAGAAAAATTTTGTGAGCCCCCAAAATATTTGATTAAATGCAAAACTTTTCTGCAAAATACTAAAACTATTCATAAGATATTTTGGGTTTTGATAAACAAAAATGTGTTTTGCAAATGTTTTTAAATATTTTTCTAAATATTTTTTTAAATATATATTTTTTAAATATTATTTTAGCACTTGCCTTGACAAGGCAAGTGCTAAAATAACTTTCATAGATGCAGCCATCTTATTTCCACCTCCGATTTTGCTTTTTTCTGACTTGGTAACTGAAAGCTGGTAACTCGGGTGTGACGTCATTTACAGCTTGGACCTCTGACTTCCAGGATAACTCGAACGCATCATTATTCCCTCTGGTCAGAATCAGGAGGTTTATCTCACCTTTTCCTTTTCATCTGAAGGCAGCTCCTTCAGATGAATCTCCGGCTGAAAGGTATCCAGGCCGAACTGAGTGAGAAAACAAACACACCCATTAAAATACACAATCACATGCTTTGTTCTCTTTTAATCAGGATGCGTTTGCACAGTTTGTCAGTGTTTCCACTGAGTGTGTGTGTGTGTGTCTGATACCGTGTTGGGATTCATGTGCTGCTGGCAGCTGATGGAAGGATAATCATGAAACATGAAGTATCCACTCCCTCCTCCAGGTTTGACCTCACTTGACCTGAAGTAGCTCTGTGCGCGTTGTGTCTGCAGAGAAACAGCTGATGTGACTTTTGCAAATTTTGCACATTGGTCTCCATTGTACATAACTTTGTAGACCACTAAATACATGCATGTGATGGGAAAAACTGACTCAATAGATCAACCTGCAGATTTAATTAATGAGTGGTGAGCTGCAGCCTTCATAACAACAGATATGGTTTCACTTTGATTTGAGGTTTTATTATCAAATTTGTCTTACGTCCAGGTTGCTAACTTCATCGTAGCAGTGAGAGTTCCTCAGATACCAGGACACATCCAGCTGGACTGGAGCCGAGGTGTTGCAGGTTTCTGACACCACTAGACATCAAAAAGCACAAATAAACAGTCATTCACTAAGAACAGGTAGTTGTGAAATGGCATTTGCAGGTGTAAAACGAGTAAAATTCAGTCTGTGTTGGACAACATCTGAAGAGACCAAAGAAAAAAAATGTCCTCGACTGTCAGACAGAAAACTACAGAGGGGATTAAAGTAAGACTGAGATCAAAATGTATAAAAAATAAGGTACAATCTCCAGACAGGGAGCTCCAAATTACAGCAATAAATCAAGCTCTAAAAACCTCTGACAGGAAGAGGATTTCATTTTTTGTTAAAGGTGCTTTTTGACAGCAGAAGCAAGGGACCTTTTAAGGAACTCTGCACATCTTGATATCAGGAACCAGGGTCCACATGTAGTTCTGGGGTGATCCATTCACCCCTTGAAAAGTCCTTGCACAAGTGATGGTAGTTTCCAAAGGTCCAGGAACTTTGGGGGGAATGGTGTAGACAAACTTCTGTTTAAGGGAATAAATGGTTTCTTGGCCCACTGTTGTCTGCACCTCTCTGGGGGCCTGAAGTTGCAGGTAGATCATGCAGTCGGCCAAGAGACAGTTATGAGGTAGATGAGTAATCGACACAGCTCTTATCTGAGCCTCTGTTCTCACAAACCATGTTGGTAAAAGCTCATCTGTCTTAATTATTGCATAACATCAGGATACAAGTAATGTTTGCTCCTGTACGGTCACACTCTTGGTTCCTCTAACCATGAGCCTTTCTCTATATTTGTTTTTACATATTTGTTTGTAAATTAAGCACTGGCTTATAATGCAAACAAGACAGTCTCCTGATAAAGCCAACCGATGAAAACAGTTTTAACACCTGAAGGCATCATGTGACAGAAAAAATGGGTCATACCACCATCATAATTCATGTATAGTTTTACTGATGACATCACACTATGTGGGTTAAAAACCACTAACTTATCCCTCCTCCTCTTTTTCTTCATGTGTCGTTCTGTGCACGCTCACAGTCACGTAGTTTATATGTAAATTAAGGACCTATTTTTTGATGTAAAAGAAATCACATTCAGACCATGAATTCTCTAAAGGACTAAATTGAAAACCAGTTTCCTGCTGTCAGAATGCAAAGAGCTCCTCAAAAGGTCTTTTCTGGAAGCAAACTTCTTTTACATGAAAAGGGGTACTTCATTTACCATGTGAGCAGAGAGCGGGGATGACTAGATCAAGGTATGAAAGGGAGAGCTCACAAGAGCAGATAATTTCCATAACCTGAAGTTATTTTATTCGAATTCAAATTTTATTTATGCATAACACAACTTTACAGGGACTCAAATAGAGCTGAGAGGGTGACTTCATTTACAAAATAACTATTTCTCTTTATTCAGGCTGCAGTGGAATTACAGAAACAGCAGTCCACAGGAACCATTTTGCTACTGAAAGAGAGATTACTGGTATTTTTGATTGAAAAACACCTTAAAAAGTATTTGAAAGAAAGAAGGAAAAGAGTCCTTACATTGGAGGTGGATGTAGCTGTTGTTGAACAGAGTTTTAGTGAAGAAGAAGAGGGTCTGCTTCTTCAGGGTTTCCTGGAACAACACAAAAAGACAAATACTGTCACAACAAATGGACCAACCGAGATAGAAACAGTGAATCTTAGTTTCCAGATGATCACTCAAGGATATATACACAATTTGCCTTTACTCTCATAGCCTCGAAAATAAAGATCAATCAATCAAAAAAAAGAAAATCTCTATCCTGTGCGACTTATTTTCAAATAATGACTCTTTATTTACACATGATGATGTCTCTAAATGAAAAACTGGTGAGGAAAAACAGTAGGAGGAACAGTTTCCTGTTCCAACGTACAAAGAGGAACCAATGCACAGGGAGACTTTCTACAGTTACAACATGAGATGGAAATGAGTGTAAAGACATGCCCCCAATCATCGATTTTACAAACTGGCTCTTTTTTACAACAGCACACACACAAAAAATTCCATTTATTTCTTTATTTTTTTAAAGTTATAAAACATTAAAAGTGGTATCAAGTGGGACAAACAATTAAACCATCTTGATTTTATAGGACTGGAAGAAGAGTAAGAAACCAAGAGGATGTATTCTGCTAAAGTAAATAAGAGTCCGTGTAATAATGTTGCTAAATTCAAATGAAGTTTACTAATGGATAGAAATGAAACAAAGGAGCTCAAACAGTAACTCAGTAGAGTGTGATCATGAATCTGTCATTTTCATGTTTGTTTATTCACGTTGATTTTTGTTGATTTTGCTCTTTACATAATAATTAGACTTTATGTTTATTCGAGACAAACAAAGATCAGATCCAGTCAGATAATACTCCACAGTCCTTACTCTTCAAAAAAAACTTTGGGTTATTATTCATTATTTTATTGTCCAACTTTAAAACGTAAGAATGAGGCAGCTTTGGACCGTAACTTCACTTCGGTTGTGTCCCGTTCTACCACGCTTATGTATCTAAAATGAAGAACTAAAGCAAACTTAAGTGATCCATTTATTTCTATGCTGACAGAGGCAACAGCTAGGATCAATATCTGCCCCCTTGTTTAAGTGCATACCAGGATAAAATGGGTCACACCTGTCCGAACCTGTCCTAGAGGGCTAACGCTGTTTTCATGTTTCTGACGCAGAGATCAAATAGCAGCTTTAGACCTCCCGAACTTGCAGAAATCCTACAAAGCTCCACTTTAATCCCGTAAAACACATGACACATTCATTTAAAGAAGAAACAGCCTCATTGGTACGCCAAAACCACCATCCCTGGGTCAGGAAACTCACGCTGTCGACATTCAGGACCCATTTCCCGGGTTCGGACACAGCACACACCGGCCCGTTTAGCTCTATCACCAGCAGCAGGAACAGCACTGAAGACCAGAGGCCCGAACCGGCCCGACCGGGACCTGCAGAGCCCGCCATCTGATCCAGGAGGGGAGAAGAAACCTGTAACTGCAAAACAGCCACCGCGACAACTCACAACAAGCGGCACACTTCCTTGTTCCGGATGACGTAGGGGAAGACAAATGATGCAGTCAGAGACCGTCGGAAATTTTAGATTCGTCTCAGAGTTGTTTATGTTTTTAGTTTTGATTAGACCATTTCTGCGTTGTTATTATCCTTGGAACTATTACACATTTGTTCAAAAACATTATATGCTTAATTATGTATGGATCTGGATAAAAAGATCATCATCTTGTAGTATTCTTCACATCTAACAGGCTCGTTTCGCTGATGAATCTGAATGTGAAGGCAGTTTTACTTTTCAGGAGTTTCTAAGACCCCGTATATGGTAAACTCTTTACCCCTTTGATATTGAGGCGTGTGGCCGGTCTTAGACTGGCCTGCAGTCTGTTGGCAACCAGTTCACAGGTACTGTAATTCTTAAAGTCCTATGCACAGGTCTGTAGTGAATTACTCACCTTGAATTAAGGCTCTGTCGGTTTTGGTGATGCAGTCTGATTGGAGGACTGATGTACTCCTCCAGTCAACCTTCTATCTACGTGCTGTAACAGCCAGAGTAGAGCAGAACATTGCCACATGAAACCGCACGGTGGCGCCTCCATTGTTTTATCACTTGTTATCACCCCTACTCTCCTCCCTAAACTTTAGTGATGTGGACGCTGGTGAAGGCTGCAGCCCACGAGCATCTTTGTTCTCTGTTTGTTGATTTATTGACGGTTACAGATCTTACAGTGAGACCTGGCTTGTATGGTCCGTATTCTGTAAAATAAATGTACAGTGTGAAAATCCCTCCACTTCGCCTCCTGCCTCACAACGTTATTCTATGCCGGAGCAAGGCCAACAGCATCCGTCGCTTCCTAAGGGTGAGGAAATTTGCGAGCTTTAGGACCTGCCTGCCCTCCTTAGTTGTGTATACGTGTGTGTGTTTGTGTATTTGGGTGTGTGAGGTCTTCGCAGGTTGGGCGGGGCTCATGATGCATTGTAAAAGAACTTGAATCTTTCCACTGAACTGGTTCTGTGGACTTGGGCTGTGGGAGTGCCTCTCAGTCTGAGTATCTGATCCATTACCCCTCTCTCTCTCTCTCTGCTTGTCAGTGTGTCTCTACCTCTGGCCACCTTTACCTGTGAGTGTCTTTTCTCTTCACGGAAGATAAACGTTAGGTAAGTAGCTCAAAAACTATCTTTATCTCGTGTTGTGTTTAAGTTTCTCGCAGATCTATGAGGCGTTCAGGGACCTGTTGATTGGCTTCATGCTGTCTCTTTGTGAGCGTTCTCCTGAAACCTGACCCTGTGTGGGTGATGTGTAGGAGAAGGGTTTGCATGTCGTTTTTTTCTGTTGTTCTGCGGCGAAAACGTTCATAAAAGACATAATTTAGCCGTGTGGCATTCAAAGTCCGACTCCGCAAAAGCAAACAAGGAGTGGCTGTAAAATGTCTCTCAGCGAGTCTGTAAAAAGACTCCTTGTTTCTGTGCTCAATTTATAATTCATGTTCAAGAAGCAGGCAAAAGGCATTTTTTGTCTTTGAGTAGAGTGAGTATATAAAAACAACTCAACTCAACTTTATTTGTAAAGCACTTTAAAACAACCACAGCTGAACAAAGTGCTGTACATAAAGAGACGAATCAACGCAGACGTAAAAAAAAAAAACAATCAAAAAACAGTTAACACAATGGATACATTAAAAGCAGAATTAAAAAGTAAAATATAGTCTCAGTGTTTTTAAAAACGAATTTAAAAACAGAAACAAAAAACTAAAAACAAACCACAAAACACTAAAACGGGAGCCGAGTCTCATGCAGGGTTAAAAGCCAATGAATAAAAATGGGTTTTAAGACGAGTTTTAAAAATGGACTGTGTGTGGACCAATCAACACAATCAAACACAGGAAACACATCACAACAGGAGACACTCTCAAGAACAGTAAACACGCATAAAGCTCCTATCAGGAGTTTTTGACATTTAACAGAGAAGCTTTTCATGGAAGCTCAAAAGCAAACAAGCCAACTAGAAACCAGACTGGTGGTTTTATATCACTATTTTAATATCTGAAACAGGTGCCAGGGTAGGAAGTAGCTGAACAGTTAAAGAGCCAACCCTATTTTTACAATTTGAACAGTCACAATGAATATGACTGTTAAAAGTCAGCTGAAGTAGAAGATAAACAAAGACTGATAAAGTCGATTTGCATGGGCACTACAATAAACACAGGCCGTGAGTCCTTTTCAGGATGTCTAAAGGTGCAGTGTGTCATTTTTGGTAACAATTATTGTCAGAACAGACTTGGCATACATGTGATATAATAAATGTCTTTGAAGTAGTGTATAGCTGCCTGAGTATACATCCATGTTGTTTTCATTAACTTTGAATGAGTCTTATACGATTATGAAGGAGTGGGTCTCCATTTAACATCCAGAATCTAGACACTGAAGCTACATTAGGAAAGACTAGGACAAAATCAGCATCAAATCGCAGGTCACATCACTGTCATGCAGGTGGAAGAGATGGAAGACATCATTTAGAGGTTAAAGAAAAGGAATATCAGAACTTTGTTGTGATAGTTAGCTTGATTAGTAAGCTGAGGATCATTTAATCCCCTTTTCCACAGGTTGTTTTGTATCTGTATAAAACCTACAGCATAGTTCTGATATTTGGCTCATCAGAACTATCAGTGTATAAATGAATATTTATAGTAGACAAATAAGAGGCTCTCATGGCTTGTTATTCAGTTTTTGGGAGCTTAGCAACTCTACGATCCATTCTGTAAAATAAGTGATAAAAGTTAGCTACATTATGTTTAGAACTTCAAAAAGCTGTGGGGAGATCAGAATTCAGAAATATTCACTTGTTGTCTTCTCCCATTGTTCATTTTTTATTTGTTATTTTGCATCTTAACATCTTGTTAACTCTGACTCTGTTTCATGCAGACTGCACCATGTTTCTGGCAAAGAGTTTAATTAGTGGCATCATCAAAGTTGTCACGTGAGTGCACTTCTATTAGTATTTTTTCTGTTTTCACTGAGCCAGGCCTACCTGCAATTTTAACATTACTCTGTGTTTTGTTTTTTTCCTCATACAGAGACATCGACCCTTCACAGTTTGTCCCCTCAAACCCTGTAAGTACAAAACCTGAGAAAACTCCCAGAGCAGAAACAGTTTTATTGGATTGGAAACATTTGCCCATATGTTTGACATAAATGATAAACAGAAACACCCCTGACCAAGGCAGCATCCTCGGGTCTGGAGAAATAATGCCTCAAGTGGACGCTGGTGCAGTTCCACAAGTGTCCACTTAAGGCTGTTTGCAAAAGCTCCAGTAACCACAAACACTAAGCCAGGTGAGCTCATTTAAAGAGCAAAAATATACGCGCCCACAGCCTGGTTCACAAACCGGTTTTGGTCTGAATCATTTTCTTACACATTTGTGCCAAAGTTATTAAGGTTAAGAGATCAGCGAATTAGAAGCAGGAACACTGTAACCAATCGTGAAGAAAGTAAAGGCCCGCCTCTGGTAGGTTGACATTATGGCGAAGATCGCTAATAGGCTTCAGAACTCAGCTTCAGGAACAGATGAGTGGCGTGTCTGATGCTACATCCAGTAATTACAGTCTGTGCTCAGACCCCTTCATTAGGTTTAAAAGTCAGATGTCTGTTCCCATTTGTGTCCAGAGCCCTAATATGTGAAACTGTGAATTTAATTCAAAGTTAGACACTCAGATTTCTCCAGTGGGGGATTTTATAAGCTAGCAAACACTGAGTGCACTCAGACTGAAAAATGTGTGTGAGCTAACTAACAGGAGCTCTTTGTGTGTGTGTGTGTGTGTGTGTGTGTGTGTGTGTGTGTGTGTGTGTGTGTGTGTGTGTGTGTGTGTGTGTGTGTGTGTGTTTACAGCCTGCTCCTCGCAGACCTCTGAACTTTGCTGAGTCTCATGAGACTGAGGAGGAGCAACAGTTTCGGAGGGTTTTCCATCAGCTGGCTGGAGATGTGAGTAACATAATATATTCTAGTTTAATCCTGTTAATCCACTTGTGTGTATGTGTGTTTGTGTAAGTGTGTGTGTGCTTTGTGTTTACACTCCATTTATCAATCCCCAATTGCACTGAGGAGTTATTTTTATTATTTGCATTGTTATTTTTATTTTTACAGACACACTAAAGCTTCTCTGCAGAATGACCATAAGCAGTCTCTTAGCATGTCCACCTGTCTGTCTTTCCCTTTGCTCTCACCTGATCCCTCTCTGCTCACCACACCTGTCTGCTGTCGGCTGCATACCAAACTCCACCCTACTCTGTCTCATTCTCTGCCTCTCGGTTTTCTCTGAAGGTCTCGTTTATCGTCGAGCTCGACAGGTTCTGTCACTTCAAACAACCTGATTTACACCTTTTCTTTGGTATTCACAAAATGACCCTGAAACAGAGGAGAATTTGAATGTAGAAAGTACACATTACCTCTTGCATTGTTTGACTGGTTGCTAGAAACACCAAAAGGTGCATCAGCAGTGAACGTTGTGAGACTCTCTTCTGCAGATTCATGATGATATGGCACTTTTGCATGAGGATTTGTCTCATTTTGTTGGGATCTATCAACTTTTCTTTAGATGCAGAGGAAAAAAATCATGATAAATAAATGGAAAAAGTTCTTATCAGTCAGTAGTGGACTGAAGTATTCAGAACAGAGGACTTTGGCTCCTCTGGACCGTTGCCGCAGACCCCCCCCCCCCCGGCCCTGAGCTCCTTCTTCTCTCTGATTCCTCTGGACTGTTGCTGTTACTGTTACTGCAGACATGAACATCAGCCTCACTGTCATTATTGACATTAATAATACAAAATAGAACTGACTACGATTAAGCCTGCTAACTGTAATCGCACTCAATTAATTCAACATTGTCCATTATCACTCATATCCTAAACCTGTAAACTGAACTTCTTTTTGTTTCACCATTACATGAGCTGTTGTTGTTGTTGCTGTTGTTCCTGCTGCCTCCTGTCTCTCTCTCACCCTCGTTCCCTACTCTCTCTCCCTCCCCCTCCCTCTCCATACTCATTCTCTCTCGCCTTTCCCCCATCTTGTTGTCTCTCTCCCTCCCCCTGTCCTCTCCCCCTCTCCCCTCTTCTCTCTACATTCCTCCCCAACCCAGCAGCGGCATGGTGGCTGTCTAGCATGAGTCTGGTCCTGCCCAAGGTTTCTGCCTGTTAAAAGGAAGTTTTTCCTTGCCACTGTAACTCATGTTAGTTGAGATGGGCCAAAACCCATCTTAGGTTGGTTCTTGATCATCAAACAATGAGCGTGGTCCAGACCTGCTCTTGTTCCTTGAAAAGCGTCTTGAGATGACGACTGTTGTGAATTGGCGCTATATAAATAAAATTTGATTGATTGATTGATTTGATTATAAAGCTAGCGTAACTGTAAATGTATTTCCTACCATAGAAAAGTGATACAGATAACACGTTTGTAAGAACAGTAAACCTATACACAGTGTTGTCTGTGTTATCCACAGTGTTATCTGTGTTATCCACAGTCCACGCTAACAATGATGCTAATGTTGGAATTGACACTGCACTGTCAACTTTACATATAAGAATGCCATTAAATTGGTGCTGGAGATCTGAAGGCCAACTTTTTCACCAAGGTAACTTCATTTTGCACATTTGGGGTCATTGCTTCTGTAGATTGCTTTGGCTTAATGCTGCAAAACCTGCTATAAAAGCTGCAAATCAACCTTCTGAAGGCATATACATTCACGTAAAGTTCTTGATTTGATCCCTGACAGGTTCTGATTGTTATTCAAAGTTTCTGTCAATGTTACAGAAAGGCTTTCTTCCTTATTTATTAAGTAAGAGGGTCTTTCTGATCAGGAAACAGCTGTTGCAGCTCCAGTCAAAACCACCAGACTCCAGGAGTTTTGCTTTTCATGGCGCAGAAGTTGCTGATCCTTTACAGGACTTTTGTTGTTGAAAAACCTTCAGCTTTTTAGTTATTTAGTGAACATGCTCCTCAAAAAAAAAAAAACTGTCATTGAGTAAAAACCCATTATTCTAAAGTAGATACCATCTCACTCTCACCACTGTCTTAGCTGCTCTTACAGATGTGAATGAATATGCATCTGCATTCAGAACAACTTGCAGTAAAAAAAAAACAACTCTTTTCATACTAAATCAAATGCTGACAGTCAGAGGAAACTTGAGCAGGTAATAAATAAATGTCAGTGTCATCAGCGTAGAGTAAAAGGGAGAGTTTGGGATGTTCTACTCAAGACAATTTGTGTAAGTTGTAAATTCAACCCCCTTTAAACCCCCTTAGGGATTTTTAGCATTCTTGAGGCAGTACTTTCTAATGTTACCACTTGGGCTCTACCCATGAGATGGTTTGCAAACCAGCTGAGTGTTGGTAGGGAAACCCTAACAGCTCCAAGACATTTAAGTAAGATGATGTGGTCAACAGTATCAGAAGTCTTGGAAAAGTCAATAAACACAGACAGGCAACACTGCTTACTATCTAGGGCTTCCAGAATGCCTTTTAACTTCCCCTGACTGAGAGAGACAAGTGGACAGAAACTGCTGCCTCTAAAATATGAACGGTCTTTCTATTCAGGAACACTCTCAAATCTAAATCTGAGCCTGTCAGTGGCAAAAACAGGAACTTTGAGTGGACATAGTGTCACAGGGTGTGTTGGCCCTGAGGATTACACTCCAGCAGTAAGTGCAAGTTTGGAAGCTGCTGGAGAAGAAACCTACTTAAGAAATTTGTAAACTTTTTGGCTCTTAAACCATTTAGACTCATAAATGTACAAACGGAAGTCTAAAAAAACACCAGGATTTTTCTTTGTGTTTGCATGTGAGGCTTTAATTGTTGGTATCCGCACAAACTTCCCCCTTCACTATAAACGGACTCCCTTATCTTGCTTTAATTTATCAGCTGGCTTATAAACACAGTGTGTCGTTTTCTTTAGAGATAAACACTAAAGTATGTGTTCAGTGTCCTCTGTTAACTTGTGGAAACATCAGTCTGCTTCAGGGCGTGTTAGAGAGAGAGAGCGAGGGAGAGACGCTGTCTTTATGCATTCCTGCCATTGTCTGACAGGGAGGCTCATGCCTTATGCTGTAACTTGTGTGTGTGTGAGTATGTGTGTATATTTGTGGGTGTGTGTTCGTGTGCATGTCTGAGGTTTTCTCTGACTCATCAGAGGGGTGTGTGCACAAGTAAAACCAGAACAGCCGGTTGTCAGTGGGTAGATTTTTCTAAATCAACAGTTATAGTATTTTGGGCTCACGATGATGATGGTGATGATGATAAAGAGGATGAAGTTTGTTGCAGTAAAATAAAGACCAACCCACTTGGTTGTGCTTCAGCTGGGTTGAGGTAGAACCATCTGGTCGTTCTTTTCTGGAAACTTCCTGTGAAGCCTTAAAGGTACAGGGCAGCAGCCTTACTCTCAAAGCTTCCTCGCCCAAAGAGTCGCTCTTAGTGACAGAACTCTAAAATTCATTACCTGCAGCAGTTGTGGTTGTACAAGCCAGCACAACAAGGAAGGTGATCACAAGATATCTAGCAACTGAAAAAAATGCCACAATTTCACCCGCGATGAAATTCTCAGAACAGGTGAGCTGCATGGTTATTAAGGACAAAACCAAACTAAAGAGAGTGCAGAGTAACATCGTTTCCCCGTTTTTGCTATTTACTGGTCAGATCACTGGTTGTGTTACAGCGCTCCTTGTCCAGAGATAACAGTGTGATGCTGCTTCAGGGTTGTTTTAGCAACAGTGAAAGAGTTTGGAGAGTCAATGTGAGGGGAGAAGTTTTTAGCAGTGTGTCAGAAACTGGAAAAAAAATCAAAGAATCTAAAACAGCTTCAGTCTAAGTGAGTCACTCAGATCAGCTGTGACTCACTGTTTGTGCGTGTGTGTGTGTGTGTGTGTGTGTGTGTGTGTGTGTGTGTGTGTGTGTGTGTATGAGGGACTTCCTCTGTGAAAAACAAGAACAATGTCTAATGTGTATGTTTGTGTGTTTGTGTGTGTGTTAACAGGACATGGAGGTGAGCCCCACTGAGCTGATGAACATCCTCAACAAAATCATTAGTAAACGTGAGTTTTGCCTGACATAAATGTATTTTTTTTCTAAATATGTTTTCATTCTTATCTTCTTTTGATTTTAATATTTTTATTAATCAAATTTTGATCTTAACATCTGTGGCTTTAGACCAGGGTCTGACGACAGATGGTTTCAGCATTGAGTCCTGCAGGAGCATGGTGGCCGTCATGGATGTATCCTTCCACTAAATCAGAATAGTTATCCCCAGGTGCAATTTAACATTAAAGAGTCTGTTTTCTCGTGTTTATATACTCATATGCACCAATCAGGCACTCAGCAGCTGTTACAGTGATATCACCCACAGAATTAAAGGAATTGTTATGTGTAATGGAAACTATGACAAAGCACTGTGCGCATATTCTCATGTGTTCAGCTTCCAGTACTGAGTTTGACCTTTGACCCCGCCCCCTTCAGAGTGACAGCACTGGTAAACTGGGCTTTCACGAGTTCAAATACCTGTGGAATAACATCAAAAGATGGCAGGTCAGCTCACTGCTTCAGTTCCAAACACTTCCAGCACTAGAGTTTAAAGATCATGAATATTAATGATCCAGTCAAATGATTTGATTGTTGTTTATTTTCAATATTGACTTTATTTATTGTTTGATTATCAATCTCCAGGGTATCTATCAATCTCATGATGCTGATGGATCAGGTGTGATCTGCGCCAAAGAACTGCCACATGCCTTTAAAGCTGCAGGTGAGAAACCCTTAAACACTGCAGCGTAGTGTTAACAGGGTGTAGTGTTTCAAACTAATTTATTTTGTGTGTGCGTGTGTGTGTGTTCAGGTTTCCCTCTGAACCAAGATCTTTATAAGATGATCATCCGTCGCTATAGTGATGAGCGTGGCAACATGGACTTCGACAACTTTATTGGCTGCCTGGTGCGACTGGATGCCATGTGCAGTAAGTCCCTCTCCTCTCTCTCTTGCTCCACTCTTTTTCAGCCTGTTACACCGGGACATATATTTAACTAACACACTGGACCTTTTTAGGACTCTAACATGTACTATTGTCTATATGTACTATATATGGTTTTCTAGTAAAATCTATCATGCTGACTACTTCCTTTTAAAATAATAAACAAAATAAAAAGTTATTTTCTGGATTGTATTGCAGCAGTGAAAAAACAACTTCTCTGCCCAAATTTATCTCAAATCAGCTGTCTGCTGTCTTCCCTTTGAGTGCATTACCACATTTTTAGTTTGTGACAGTCTTTTGGATGCAGCATCACAACAGCAAACCACTTTAAAAATAAATAACGTTTTGTATGTAGGTTTAGTATCTGATGTATCTGTTTGTTCTTTAGGAGCCTTCAAGACTCTGGACAAGGACAACAGCGGCTCCATCGAGCTGGACGTCAAAGAGGTAAGTCTGATCAGGTTACGTCATTTCTGCCCTGATGGTATCCAGGAGTGAGGTCATGTTTCTTTGAAAACATTGTCAGAGACATGATGCAGTTAATATCAACAGTTTCAGCCATAATGTTCCAAATTTCACTTATATGCAGATGATACTGTTCTCTGGTGATCAGCTCTAACACAGTATCTTTGTTTGAGCAGTGCAGTAACTTTGATGCAGAAATAAGTTGTGTTTTCTTTTTCTTATGTCGTTGTTTGATTATAGTGATGTTTTGTTTATTCATGCATCATATTAGTGCCTTCATCCCCTGTATACTGTGTACCATGAAACTTTAAGGTTCAGCACAAATCCATAACTCATCATTGGTCCCAGTCTGCTTTGTCATCCTGTAGACTAAATCACCAGCATATGCTTATCTTTATGACAATTGTTAGTTTGCTGCCCTTCTATTTATGTGATTTCACTCATTTGATGAATTCAGGGTACTCTTATCAAACAGACTCTTGGTCCCAGTAAGGCTAAGTGAATTTGAAAGAATATATCAAACAATTATTGGGAACCTTGTTAGGCAGAAAAGGGTGTATTTTCTCTGAGTCTAGGTCATTTATTGAGGTTCTAACTAAGTTTTAGCTCATTATACATTTTTAGTAGGTCTCAGTATATTTGTATTGAATTTCCAGTTGGAAATGAAGTTTGAACATGTTTTTTTTGTTTGTGTCCCTCAGTGGCTTCAGCTGATGATGTACTCGTAAAGACATGGAGGGAAGCTGCTCCTAAAACAAGAAACAATGTCTCCCCCTTCATCTCTTTCTACTTGTGTGTGATTATGGATGTGCAATAATGTATGAAACCCCTTTGTATCCATGGTAATAGGACCAAAACACCAGCATAGAGTGAAAGTATCAGAGGTAATCAAACTGGGACCAAAGCAGAGCTGATGCTGCTGTTGCACTGTCCTGTTGCTGCCAGGCAGAGGCGCTACAACACCCCCATGTTACAGATTTCTATGTCTTATGAATCAGAGAAAATTTAGACAGTAGAAGGATTTAATTTGGCTGGAATTTAGTTTGAAATTGATTTTAATGTTTGAAAGAATAAAGTAACAAATCTGACTTTTAAATATTGTGCTGTTTATTCAATTGGTGCGAAAACTGTGTCTGAATTTGCAGGTTCTTATTCAAGCTGATTTTCTCTGTATGTTTATTGAAAATGTGTGTAACCGCACAGAGTAAGTGGACTTTTCTTTATTAAAAGACAGTGACTTGAGTCTATTAAGAAATGATAAACATGCTTGTGTAGTTAGTGTGTTTCTGTCAACATGGGATGAGAGCTAATCCCAGTGTAAGTTTTTACTGAAGGAAAATAAAGATATAACCAAAAACAACACAAGCCAAGAAAATCTGAGAACACAGGGACATAAAATAAAGCAAAACAACCAAGACTGAGCAGAATATTTATTTGAAAATCACAATGTCAGGGTCAACCATATTATCCCTGTAAAGGGCCATTTGTTTTACAGCCAACAATAAGAAAACAAGAACACAAAGAATCATAAAAATAGTAAAAACATTCACCCATTCAGAGGCAAAAGAGAAAAATAGAATTGTAAAACAAGAGCTATTGAGGGACTTGACTGTTTTTCCCTTAATAAGACAGACTAGAGTGACAGTAAATGCAAAAAGAGAGCGCAGGAGTGACATGCACCAAATCATATCTAGACCAAGGCTTAGGCTCACAGCAAGGCAAGTGCAGCAGGAACAACAACCTCTGCGGAAGGACATGCATGCCTTCCCAATGAGTCAAACTCATGTAGATTACCATCCCAGGTCAAGCCATTCTTCTTTTATATATAAAGGTTTTTAATGCATAAAAAAGACAAAGGGAACGCATTGATTTGTGTATAAAAGGTATTAAGGTGTCTTTATTATGTGGTTTGCCTTTCTATATTGCTTTAAGTGTTTGTAATCTGAATATTTTCATTCATTAAGTTCAGCAAAAGAGAGCACTTTTATTTTTTATTGTGACTATGAGTTTATGTTATGTCTGTGTTGTGTAAGTATCTTACACCAAAATCTTGCTAAACTTATCTTTGGCAACACTTTTAATTTCTTTTTATTTTGTTGAATCTAACTTAATACAAACAACTACTTCAAAAATTGTATTTAGAATAGTTAAATATAATTTTAATATTATAAAACTTAATTTTATTTTACACATTTAAAAATAAATTTGAACATATTATTTTATTTATTTTTAATCTAATTTATTTTTCAATATCCTTACATTGATTAAAATATAATAATTTCGTCTCATTTTACATTTCCTTTTATTCACACCTTTATGTTTTATTTTATTTTATTTTATTAATTAGTTTATTTATCTTTTAAATCTTTTTTACTGCTATGTTTGATTTGGGGCGGGTGTGGGCGTGAGGGGCGGTGCCGGTGTGGAGAGGAAGAGGGGCGGCGCCGGTGCGGAGAGGGGCAGTACAGAGGGGTGATAGGGATGCTGCGGAGGATCAACAGGTTTGCTGCTACGAAGTGCAAAGATAAGTTGCGGAAAATCATCACGAAAACTCAAAGAAAATCCACAGAGAAGCTGATGAAAGGTATGAGGACTTGATATTGATATTGGAACAAACATGTTTGCAGATTTCATTCATTTTTAAGAATCAAAATTGTGATTAAATTCGGCCGTTGGTGTGTACGTTGACCACCTAAAATTAAAATGATGAACGCCGCTGATTTTCGGCATAAATCTAGAAGTTTGGAAAAATAATGATTTATAAATCTGACAGGAGCTGTGAAGATTTTCTGTCAAACATTAAATGTGTATCAGGTCTACATATAGGGCGCTGAGTCCCCTGAGGGTAGACTGAGTTTAGGGTTAGTCTATTACTTCACCAGCATTAACTTAGCCTTACTCTAAACGTTTATACTGTTCAATCTGCAGATAAAGTCTGTTCATTTCTGTATCTCCTCTTCTCTCAGTGTAAACAGTGTGAGTTAAATAACAGATGGACAGACTTCTCATTCACTTGCTGTGTGTACAGTGTGTATTTGTGTGTCTGGTAAAGTAAATAGTGAGCTGGGTCGACTTTATAAATTGATACCACTTGGTTTATTATCACACTTGACCTTTCAGAGGCACATTGTACTCTTCACTGAACCAAATACTGGGAGGTACAGCCAGGTGATGATGGTGCAGTTAATTATTTGTGTCACTCTGTGTATTGTCATAAACAAAGAGCAGGATGGTGTATTTGATCAAAAATGAAGACAGTAAAGAATTTCTTAGGGGGAGGCCCATATTGGTTTTTCAGTGATGATGCTGATACCAATTGTTATTAATTAATGAGCACAATAACTAATATTTGGAATTTACAAGCATTGACATAAAAATGAAAAACGTGTCAAAAACATTTTGAGTATAATGAACTACAACACAAAACTCTGTTCACAAGTGTCCCCAAAAGCCAAGAGAGCCCCAATTACACCCATATTAATGATTGTTTTCACAGCTAAGTTACGTGTTTGTTTGTTTGTTTTTTCAATTGAACCTTTATTTAAACAGTTTGTCTCATTAAGACACAGGGCTTTATTTTAAGAGAGGTCTGTTTGCTGCCTGGTTTTGGGAAGTCTAATTTTGTGTTCTGGGTGATTACTTGGGCTGCTATTTGTCATTTGGCTGTTGATCTGTATCATCCTTATACTTAACATGGTGGCAGATAGAATAAATACATTAAAAGTGCTCTACTTTTGCCGCTGGCCAAGCGGTCTACCAGTCCCCACCCTCTCTCTCCCTATTTTCCACTCTATCCACTGTCCAATCCCTCAAAATAAAGGTGAAAATGCCTGAAAATTTAAAAAATGGGGCTCCACTCTGCTCTTTGCTCTGCCCACGAGGCTATCTGATAGGCTTGATATCACACAACTCGGTGACATAATGATGCGGTAAGTGTGACTGGTTGCCCGTAAACTGTATATGAAGTTTAAAGTTTGAGATAAAATTGCCCGAAGGCAGTTAAACAAAGTTTTGTGCAGGAGTTGATGATATTATGAGTTCTACATTTTGACAGGAAGCTTAGTTTCACTGTCAATTGTCTCATTTCTTGGGCTGTGACAGATTTGACTGACAGGAAGGTGTATACTCTCTATTCACCAGGAAACCAATAGCCACCTCAGCTCCATCGCCTGTTTCCAGATGAAGTTGAGTCTTCATTTCCAGCACACAGGCCAGCATCATTTACCCCGATAGCCTCTTTAGAAACCAGTGGGACTAACTGTATATATGATGCCTATAGTCACAAGTTATCCAAATACTCCCAGCAGTAAAGGACACACAGCAGGTATAGTGTAGATGACATCATTATGTGCAACAGGTGGCAGGAGGGCTTTATTGTTTGTTGGTTCGTAGCTCTGCTGACTGTTTACATTGTGCTCTGCTGAAGCGAGGTTCATCCCTGCACTACCCAGGGGTTTGTTTGCTAGGAGATTGGTTAGGACTTTCTCTGCAGTCCAGATGACAAAAGAAGAAAGGGAGATTAGGGTGCTGAATGCAGCTGTAATGGCTCAAATCAGTTCAGCTGCATTGGAGGAATGAATGTTAAAAGTCAGTCTTGTTTGGACTGGAGTTATAGGGGAAAAAGAGAGTTTAACAACAGTAAGCTTTACAGTGTAGATTAACCCAAGAAAACATACACTGAGCATTTGGTGTGTGTAACTCCTTTTATAAAGCCAGTTCAAAGTTTTATTTGTGCTCAGATGTTTGCTTTAATTGGCTGCAGCACAGTAACTTTCCATAGTAACTTTCCATATACACATGCAGAACCTTTGAAATCTGGAGTTTGATTAGTCATCTTAAGGTGAATTTTGACCTTTACAAACTAAACATCTTATCCATATGCCAAATTTATGCTATCAAATGTAAACAGACATTAAATGAAGTATGAAGCAAGTTAGCTGATTTGTCAGCTGAATTATCATTGTCGGTCACTGTCTTGTGTGAGTAAGATGATTTTTCTGTGCATGCTCCTCACACCTTGTGTGGTAATAGTAAAGGGTATTTAATTGCTCTATCTGTATTTATAATCTAAAGGGTGAACTGCCTCATTCCTGGTAAAACCACTGCATCATTTAGTCTCAGTTTTATTTAACAGCACTTTGCAGCAGAAAACATCAAGAGTCTCTCTTCCTTTCTTTCTCTCAGTTGCTCCTCCCTCCTCGTCTTTATTCCAGCAGGTGGTGATGTGTGTGTGTGTGTGTGTGGGTGGATGCTACAGTGGGGCAGGGGAGTGTTTTTATGACACTGCGAGGACCCCACACCTGGTTGGACTCAGGCGCTGTGATCGTATGATTAGGAAGGAAGGGACATCCGTCTCTGTGGACATGACAGTCTTTTGTTTTGGTTTGACAGCAGCTGACTGAGTGTGTACGTAGCAGATCTTAAAAGCTAGTTTGATGTTTTGTGGCTGCCAGAAATGCAGCATATCAAGTTTTCTTGGCAAAATTCATTTTTTATATAGCATTTTTCAAAAACAAATGACAAAGTCCTTAACAATGAATACAATATTAACTCAAATAAAAATGGAGAAGGCAGTTGACTGAAGACTTAAATATGACACCTAATCCCCCAAAGCTGACTGATTTTGGATATATAAAACCTGGTTCTACGTCATCTAGGTAACTTAAATCTGACCTTTGAAGCACAATATTATGCAAGAAAATGTGCGTAAGTGAAAGTTCGTTTTCTGCTTTGTAGGAAGAAATGATTTCTGTAACTTAGTCAAAAAAACTGATTGAGACAAGGACATTTTCTTCTGTTTCTGTCTTGAAAAAGATTCAGGTGAGCTGGGTCATAAAACAGCTGAAGAACTTCAGAAAACTATAGCACATATATCTTCCTGAAACACAAAGGTAACAGTCGTGTTTCTCAGGGTGAGTGAATATGAATGGGTTGAAATGTATAAATTAGACCACAATAGGTGAGTGGCCACCAGCTTACTAGCTAACTGGATGACATGTCTGGTGTTGACTGATTTGTTGTCAGGAGAAACCACTCCATGAAACCTACTTTTGCTGCCAATAACTCTGATTATGCCGCTGTACAGAGAATGCTACAATAGTGGAAATCTCCACAGCTGCTTGACAGTAGGGATGGGCAATATGGGCCAGAGTGGCTAAACTTACCGTCATACATTTTGGGCCCATATCGCCTATCCCTACAGGACAGACTGTTCTGAGAAGTTTTACCTATCGTATTGTTTGGTCAAATGTTTTTCTCTAGTTTAGGAAATATTAAAGGCGCTCTGGAAACAGAGAAAGGGTTAAATTGTGTGGTGAAGTGAAGAATAAATAACTACAACACATTGCTTTCATGTAGACCTGAATCTCTGCCTCTCTCTCTGTCACTGGATCTGTTGTCAGTCATTATAAATAATCATGGTGTCACTGTTCTCTCCAGGTGCCAAAACCACCTGATGCTGCAGCTGAATCTGGTCACCTGGGACTGAACACACACACACACACACACACACACACACACACACACACACACACACACACACACACACACACACACACACACACACACACACACACACAAACACACAGGATCAACATGGCGTCAGACCCACCCATCCTGACAGAGCAGGAGGAGCTGCAGAGAAGAGCCAATCAAGTCACAGATGAGGTAATTGCTGGACGTTTTTTCAAGAATATTTCACTAACTGGATTAGCCTCATTAAACACAAATACTTGACATTTCACACAGTCTTAACTCATAGACTAGTTGAGGTGTTGTCTTTAAACAGCCTTTGTCTCAAATAGTTCATCATCTGAATCTTACGTCCACCTTGAGCATGAAATGTCCAAAAAGACAAATAAATATAGCTTCCTGAATCCCAGAGGGATATGTTTCTGTGTCTGTCCCTTCAATTTAAAACATTGGACCAATGAAAGTTGAATTATTCGGGGGTTGCTGCATTTAGTTGTGTTGCATTCTTAGTTGTGTTGGGCATAACTTGGTTGTCTGTTGACCATTTAGGGTCCCTGTAAATACGTGAGTTCATGTCTAGCTCTGTTAAAGTTAAATAGTTGTATACTGTCCCTGTCAAAAGGTAAACAAATAAATAAGTCTGTCAAAAAATAAAGCAGGTTACCAAAATATAAAGAGATACGACACAACTTGCACACAATGTGAGACAACATGTAGACACAGAGAGTCACTGACAAGCTGTAAAATACACTCCTCTGCCTGAGGGGACTGTCCCCTCAGGCTTACCTGGTTTCCATAGAGACCAATGGTCTCCCATTGCAACAATCTGTAGAGAGACGCCTCGTATTGATGAGCTCATATGCTCAGTGTGGGGTGGTGATACACACACATGCGCACACACTCCCTGGTGTGTAAAGGCTACTGTAGGTCAAAGCCATTTGTCACCTCATCATCCTCTCAGCGGGGAAATCCTAAGGGATAGGTTTGATATTTACACAGTGCACACACACACACACACACACACACACACACACACACACACACACACACACACACACAAGAAGCATCAAATGGACTAATAATAATAATGGATGCTCAACATTTTCTCTATCCTTCAGTCTTTGGAGAGCACACGGCGGATGATGCAGCTGGTTGAGGAGGTATATCTGAAAATATAAACATACACACACACACACACACACACACACACAAAGTTGATGAGATAAATATATACTGGAATAACCAGCGAACCCTAAAGCACACAACAACTGATTATAAAAAAAATGAAGATAGAGAGAGAGACAGAGAGAAAGCAAACCTCATCATGAAGTTTATTCTCATTATCCTCTTGTTAGTGTCATTGTCTTTACATTAGCCGTCTGTGTTTCCACGAGAAGAGGAAATTTCCACAGACAGTGTATCAGTTAAACTAAAATAAGACCTTGGTGAGCTGCAGATGTAATTATGGGTTTGACTCACTGAAAACTGAAGCAGGTGAGTGTCCAGAGTAAACAGCGGAGCATATAGACACTTTGAGTAAACAGCGGTAGGCTTTCTGACAAACTGTACAGGCACAGTGGCAACAACAGTAACTGCAAAAAGAAGCCTAGGTTATCCAAAAGTACCCAGATAGCCAATGATATCAGTTCACCTCTATAAAAATCTATGTACACTTTCTGCAGAGGAAGAATCAGTAACATCAGGACATGTTTGACAAGATTTGAAAGAGGTGTTTCAGTGCATGACAATCACATCTGCTGCAAGTTTGTTTTCATTCAGTTTAGCTAAGTGAATGTCTGTATGACAGAGGAGTAATCGTGGATTAGTACAGCTTGGTATTTGTGGTGTCTTCATGTAGTTTTCTGTCCTTCTCCCTGCAGAGTAAAGACGCTGGGATCAGAGCTCTGGTGATGCTGGATGAACAAGGAGGTAATTTCTGATCAGACCTTGTTACCTTTCTGATGGTACAAAGTTTTTTGTCTGATCAATCAGCGCTGTGTCTATCAAGTTTTTTACTTATCGGCCTTTTGTATTTCTGAAAAGTGATATAACAACATGACTTTCAGCTTGGTTATTTTAATATTAAATGAATTTATTCTTTGCCATTGAACCCATTTTTGCACACAGTTCAAAACTGTGGTCTTTGAATGTATTTGGATGAGAAGAAAACTTTTGGAAACACAAAAATATTAAGATCACTGATTCTTATTTGCTCTGTAAGTACTTATAGATTTAAAGATAAATAATCAATACTTTTACAAAACTTTACGTTAGTTTTAATGCACCTCTAAATGCTTTATTTAAAGTTGTTTTCTATGAGGACTGTCAATACGATCTGTGCATGTTGGTATGAACATCCCCTGAACAAATCAGATCAGCTGTTTGAAAGCACCTGTCACACAGACGTGCACGGCACATCTCAGTCAGTGTTACAGCAACCATAAACCCCCTGTCCCTCACAGAGCAGCTGGAGCGTATTGAGGAGGGCATGGACTCCATCAACAGGGACATGAGAGAGGCAGAGAAGAATCTGACAGACATGGCCCAGTGCTGTGGTCTGTGTATTTGGCCAATCAGGAAGTAGGTCTGGTTTTTGGGAGCAACACCTGCACCTGAGTGGTGGCTGAGGAGCCCAAAGAGGTGCCCAGGTCCATTAAATAAGCTCTTAAATAGGAATTTTTCGCAGTTTAATTCCTCTTTATGCACAAAGTGGAATTTACTGAACTATCATGTAATCCTTGGTGGAGTATTTGGCTATAGTTACAGCCCACACTTCAATCCAGCTGAGTCAAAAAGAGAGTGAGAAAGCTTAATGGAACTGGGCCCTCAGGTCAGAGTGTAAACAGCAGCTTTTACATTGATGCTCTGCACTGTTTTCATCACTTTTTGCAGAGTTATGGTTTATGCAAAGTCACCTTTGATTTTTGAGTGCATCACTGGGGTCTTAGTTTTGGGGTGTTCACTTGCTGGTGGTTGGTTTTTTAGTTCAGCTGTAGGATCTTTGCAAACAGTGGGTGATTTTGTTGTTCTTTTTTTTTGGCTTTTGTTCCACTTTGCCCCTCCACAACACTCTCTCTCCTTCTTATTTGTGCGTCTCTTTACCTGCTGATTTCCTGCTCCTCCTTCTTCACTCCCACTACCACATCCACCTCTTTCTTCTTTACCCCATTTCTTTCCTCTCCTTTCTTTCCTTCTTCTGCATACTTCTCCAACCATCCACCCTCCTCCTCCTCCTGGTTCTCCTCTCATAGAGCAGTTGGAGCGCATAGAGGAGGGTTTGGATCAGATCAACTCTGATATGAAGGAGGCAGAAAAAAACCTGACCGACCTGGGCAAGTGCTGTGGCCTCTGCGCCTGTGATAAGTAGGTGGAGAAGCGCGTGTGCGTGCGTGCATGTGTGTGTGCTTGATTGGTACAGATTATTTGAGGGTAAGTATTGTTTAATAGTGGAGTGCCCTGTTTCATGTGCATCGCGAAATTCCTGAATATGTGTGTCACTTTAGTTTCAAGTTCAGGTGTAGTTCTGGTTAGTCACTCATGTTTCCTTTGTTGCATGTTTGCTTTGCTATTACAGTTGTGAACTGTTCGTAAGTCATTGAACATCATGGCTGTAAAAGTCGATGGATAAATGAACCACAGCCAAACCCATACTGGAATGACAGCAGTTATGTGTTACACCCATAGACTGTTGGTTGTATTACTGGACAACTAATTCTCATTGAAGGCTTAATGTTTATTTAGGAGGTTTTGAAAACCAAACTGTACTCTAACATGAGGACCTATAAATTTTAGATTCATGCTGCAGGACTATGTGGGTGCAGGATGGTTCTTATGCATCACTTTCAACAGTCTGAAATCAACACAAACACATTTATAAGGTCACCTTCTCTCTCTCTTTCTTTTTAAGGCTGAAGGCCTTTGAGGAGAGCGGGGCATACAAGGCAGTTTGGGGCGGGGCCTCTGGTCAGGATGGCATTGTGTCCAATCAGCCCCCTTCATCTCGAGTTGTTGATGAGAGGGAGCAAATGATCATGAGCGGAGGATACATCCGGAGGTGCACAGAGAGTTTAATGATCTGTGTTATTGTCTGATTAGTTCAGAGAGGCAGCTGTGGTGTGTGTTTGCTTTTCTTCAGAGCAGACTGACGTGTAATACAGCCAGTCATCAGTCATAGAGGCAGCTGGTCAAACACAGGGCATCATTACTTTAACACACACACACATGCTTTGTTCCACTCTCTCTCAGAGTGACTAATGATGCCCGAGAGGATGAGATGGAGGAGAACCTGGCTCATGTTGGCAGCATTGTCGGAAACCTGAAGAGTATGGCCCTGGATATGGGCAACGAGATAGACACACAGAACGTCCAGACTGAACGCATACGGGGCAAGGTATCACTGATGCATCTCAACATGTACATCAGAACTGCTCTAAAGGCATCAGCAAACAGGTATCAACACATCAGTGTATCTCTGACCCTGAGATGCACAGAGTGCAAAGGATACCTCAGTCCATTTTCACCTTCAGTCAGCCCTATTCAGAAACATAGTTCAGACCTCAGGGGGCCCGTTTGTACGTCTGACATCACATCAGAAGACAAACCTTTTAGTAGCTATCATCCCCAGTCTCAATGAACTCTGCACAGAAGAGGAGAGACCTTCAGTTGACCAAGCTAAGACCCCTCTGATTGTAGTCTGCCACAACGACCCTCTTTAAGTATATGATGAGTCCTTTAGTATAGGGGACATTAAAGGACTCAAGAGTTAAAAAACTGTCATCATGTAAAATGTCATCTAAGTACACATCTTTTTTAGAGTAAGCCTCTTTTATAAACAGAAATAGATCAGTCAGACAGCCGGTTATTTAGGCCTGTAACTTGTGCAGCAGTAACCCTGGCTCAGCAGCTATGTTGTGCAAGACCCCTGTCAGATAAACTACTAATCTAAAGCTCACCCTGCCTAATTTTGGAAGTTAACAGTCTGAATACTTGTCTATACTTTAATATGATGAAAATAAATCTCAAAATACTTCCTTTTTTATCTTTAAAATGCTTTTTCCATCCAGCCCAGGCTTTCATTTTGACATTTCAGACAACTGCAGGGGTGTGTAATGAAGCAGATCAGCTTGACAGAGGACTACATTTCTTCATACATTTATTTCCAAGCCCAGAGTTTAAAAAAAAAATAGAATCCATGTGAAAATGCAATTTAATTCCTGCATGCTTTCTGCCTTAACAAAGCTTCCATCTATTTGCATGTGTCAGTACTATTATCAGGCAAACCTGCTCACAGAGTTCAGGGGTTAAACTGTATTTTCCAGCAGGCAGTTGAACCGTGTCATTTAGTGGTGGCTTGCATGAACACAAGTGTGGAGTTTAGTGTACAATGGGTCTGGTAGGATGAAAGCAAACCAGAGAGAGCCGCAGACAGACAAAAACGGCAGCTCAAGTGGAGCAGTGCTGAAAAGAGGTGCCGTTCATATTTTTTATACACAAGAGATAGTCCCTTCAACAGTTCGAGCACACATTAACATTTTCTGACTGTGAGGGAGTTGTTTTTACTTTTTAAAACACCTCTTTGTATTTCAGTCATTAAGACATTGTGGGCATGCCCATTTATCTTTTGGAGTATGGATGTTGATGAGGCGAAGCAGTGTTCAAAAGATGTTAAAAAAAAGAGCTCCAGGAGTTGTGGTTTTGTCTCTTTCAATCAGTACATCCTGTTTCTTGTCTCTGTCTGTCTCTATGCAGGCTATCCTCAACGTGTCCCGCATTGATGCTGCCAACCAGAAAGCGAACAACCTCATGAAGCGATAGACGGACTGCTCTTCCATTTCACTTTGTTTCTTTCTACTCATCTGTTTATGATCACTGTGCTTTTTCACGCTGTGCCAAAGTGTTTCTGCTAGTACTCTCTCGTGGTTTTTAACATCCAAGCTCCCAGTAATAATTTTGCTTCTGCTCCTACTGCGACACCACAGAGCAGTGATCCGTTAGCTGTTCATGATCTTGCATCTTGTGTTTTAGTATTCAGTTGTGCTTATGAAATACAGATAGAGAGCTTTACCCCTTCAAAATACTTCACATGATGATTTTGACTCAGTTTTTGTGGGTATTTTTACAGTCAGCCTCATGACTTTGGATTCAACACTGTATTTTCCCTCAAGGTGGCCTCTACGGCGAGTCAGCAGCGTGAGATTACAGAGAGCTCTAATAATCCCTGTGGGGAAACTGGGTCACTGCAGCTGCGCCATCACTACCAGCAGCAGCAGCAGAGAGCACAATCAGACAAAATATGAATCAAGAAATTATTTCCAAGAGGTGGACATGTGGAGAGCAAGGCAGCGGAGAGTGGCTCAGTGAGCAATGGCGTGAACTTCGGCAGACAGGTGGCCTTTCCTCTTCTACAGAAGAGATGTTTTAAATGAGAAATGTGCAGAAAACATGTCCAGATTTCTGAAAGATCAAAAGACAAACATCTATCAACAACCTCAATACTTCCCAATGCCAACCTCATTGTGTAACATCCACCCCTTCCCCCTCCTGTAGTCAGAAATCTTGCTTTGATGGTGAAACACGTGTATGAGGGTACCCTCTGCAGGCTTATCAAGGTATTGCATAGAAGTGGCAAACACGTATTTGTCCCCAGAGGAGGATCTCTGGCGACACCAAGCGGACAAACATGGAACCTGCTCTTCCTGACCTCTCCATCTTCTCTGCACGATGATTTAAAATGGTGGTGAAATGAAAATGGATCTTATTCCATTAGGGGACTCTGAACTCAGAAAGGTTTTTACTTTACTTGACCTATGTGAAATGCTTCATCCTTAGAGTGAAATGCGCTTTTGTGCGTTTTGTATATTGTATGATACGCAATTACATATTAAGTTAAAACTGACAGGCCACATTGGATGTGTTGATCCTCAAGGTTTATTGTATTTTAACCTGTTTTCAATATACTCTAATGACGGTGCAGAATGCGGATCATTGTGTATATGTTGAACAGAGTGGGTGTTAAGTGTCATTACAGCAGATGACCTTATTTTGACCCGAACAGGCCTCCGTGCTTCAAACTTGAGTGTTTGACAACTGCTATGACAAAGTGGCGCAATTAGAGCGCATATCTTTTAATTTTTGGTGTGATATTTGACTGAAATATGCACGTTATAAATAAAAACATGCGTAAGGCTACTGTGTGGCCCAACTGGCCTCGGACTAATTAGTGGTGTCAACTCTGGGGGAGGCGCTGTCTGGGGGGAGTTGCCAGCGTCATGAGAGGGTTTAATTACCAGCTGTGGTCATTAAGTATTGAAAATAGTTGTCAATTGCACCAAATTCGTGACTTTTGTGTTTTATGTGACTGGACATGTGACTGATTGGTGCACAGCCGAACTGAGGCAGCTGGGGGCGCGCTGCGAGCTCAAAATGTTGCGCGTGCAAGGGAGAAGAAAAATTCTGTCGCGCTGCGGAGTCTGCGCAGTTGCGTTATTCTCGTCAATCCGAACTTTCAGGAGAAGAGCGGAGGAAGGAGAGGAGGGAGAGAACAACGCCATTTTACTGGTAATCATACTCTACATACATAAACAACACAGCACTTGCACAGTCGATAAATACTGCACTCTATCCAAACCAACGTTAAAATACGACGAGAAAACAAATTACGTTTAAGAACGTAACCTCGAGGCTAGCAGACACCACATCCTCCATCTCGGCCACCGACAGCCACGCAGCTGCACTCGACGAAACGTAGCGATGAACGACCGAATTACGCCGTGTGATAACAGCGCCCCACACACCCACCAATAATCCGCGAGTGGGTTTTGAGAAAAAATTACGGGTTTTGTTCCGTCGAGTTAACGAAGCGGTGTGTCAGATGTATGGACCGGGCAGCGATGGCGGAATCATTGGGCTCTTGTGAGCCGCCCGCGAGGCAGGAGCTGCAGCAGGAGGAGAGGCAGGCAACAAAGACAGAGGAAGATCAACGCTGATTGGCTCAGATGGGTCACATGACCAGCTCTGTTGATTTTTTTTTTTTTAAATCATCTGATGTCGACAAGTTTCCTTTCAAAAGTTCGTTTAAAAACGCGTAATTACGGTATTGTTGCTATATTTTGATTCCTCTTGTTTTAATTTGTTTAGTGAAAGGTGGAAGAAACAATTGATTTGAATTGATGAACGAAACAAATCAAAATGAATATACATATAAAAAAGTCAGAATGGAAATCTGAAATACTTGACTATCTCATCTTTAAACCACCAGGCTAGAGTAGATCAATCTCTCTTTTTCGAAGTTAATAATGCATTTAACTGTAATAATATATATATTAAAAAGGGGTTTGTGTGAGGTACAAAATGATTTGACCTTAGTGTTTGTAATAAAAGCAGATAGACACATTGGGTTAGGGTTAGGTTTTACAATTCACTTTAATCACAGAAAAGGCAGAAAATATTTAACTGTCCTCAAGCTTAATTTGGTGCAATCCCTCTCCAAAGCATTTCTTTATCTTAAAATCCAACCAGAGGGGGGCAGTATAGGACACGGGTTTAAAAAAAAAAAACAAGATCTTCTTGGTTAACGCCCTTGAGAACATTTCCACTCATACTGTGTTGAATCATATTGATCAAATATATAGGCTTGTTTATCCCTTACTAGCTTTGAACAGTGCTTTTGGTGTTATTCTATGTGGGTTCTTTATTAGCTGCCATGCCTTTTTTCTCCCAAGTGTTTATTTACAGTGTCTTTTCATAATTAACCAGTTATCCATTCTCCTGGTTGAGATCAGGAGCTGTAGGGTTCAACTCGATGAGAAAACACTCAGGGATAAAGGCGCACAGTGTAGGGCTGAAGAAGACTGAATGTAGGTGCTGTGACACAGCAGAAACTTTGTCAAGAATCAGTGTCTGATAATAAATCTCTGTTACTATGTCCTTTCCCTAAAGCACCCATAGTACTCAATATGTCTGGTATGAACATTGGAGTCATTTCAGACAGGTGCTGAGCTGTTTGTTCACCAAAGTCCAGACATTATTCAGAAATGCATCACGCCGTGGCACCATGAAACCATGGGCTGCAGATCTTGCTGGTCAAAGTTCAGTCGAAAAAGTCAACTTTTACTCCTGTTATGCAATTATCTTGTTGAGAAGAAAACATCAGTGTTGAAATATTCAACTTGAATACTCTCTACTGCCACCAAGTGTTATAGAGGATGAAGCACATGACAGGAAACACTTTCAAACCTGAAGTTTACTGTTTGTGAGACTGAGCCGTAGATTAATTATGCACAGTAATGCATAGTAATGATGATTTTATTCTTATACTTAATGTGGTTATTCCGATTTCTGTGTATTTAATTGAGAGATTTTTGAAGAGCAACACTGGTATCAATATCAGTATGAGCCAAAATGAGTTAGAAATTTCGTTTTCGTTATAACACTGACATTTTTATGTTCCTCTTTCCCTCCTCTCCATCATTCTTCCCTCTCCTTCACCTCAGTCTTCCTCCTCTTTTGTCCTCTCTCCTTGCCTGCAGGTCCAGTCACACGGGTGTCTATAGTCCCGACTGGCAGGTGGATCTGGACGGTGGTGAAATCGGGCCCAGCTGCATTAGACCCTCAGGTAGAGGAGTAGGAGGGATAGGAGAAGTGGATAAGGACACAGTGAAGTCATGTCATCCTCGTGGCGTGAAGATGATGAGGACTACCGTATTGGAGGAGGAGCCAGAGGAGTGGGGCTGAAGTCCAAACCCAGGTTTTCCTTCCATGAGATCAAAGTTCTTCTGGAGGCTGTGAAGAGAAACAGATACATCCTCCTCAGTGAGTCGAGGGCTCAGTGCGCTCTGATCGTCTGTAGTTTGACTGTACAAATGAAAAGTTATGAAGCTTTTATCAGATTTTGGGGCGTCTAAGAGACGGCTCTTGTTGATGTTGTTCCCCTTAACACCAGAGCCAGATTTATCAAGGACTTCAGAGACACTTATTTGTTGTCATACTAGTTTTTCCCCCCCCCCTTTGTGTTCTTATATCCCAACAGGCTGAGGTTTTCAAATGTTTGGTTGTTGCACTGTTATTCAAAATGGATCACAGTGGGTTTGTCAGTCACCTGGCTCTGCTCTGAATATAAATTTGGTGTAAATGTTTGTAAGGCTGTTAGGGAACAAACAATTCTGTCTCGCATTGGATTTATTATTCACCCCAGAGTCATTTTAGGAGTGAAAGTTTAAGAAAGCCATGATTCTACCAAACCTGACTGAATTTATTATGATTCTTTCTTTGGCCTCCTACTCAAGTATTTGGGATAGTGTGAGCATATTTTCCTGCCCCTTTTCTCTGATAACAATCACAGAACCAGGGCTTGAATTTTGACCTTATCTCTCTCTCTCTGTAGGGAAGTTTAACCAAGGTGTGTCAGCTGAAACCAAGAAACAGACATGGACTGAAATCACCCATCAGATCAACGCTCTGGGAGAGAATCACAGAGAGGTTTGTAACTGTTAGAGATATAGATGTTTGAGAGAATGGTGTCGGGGACCTATGAGAACTTTAAATAAAGAATTGTATTTTTTAGTGACTGACTTGTTGAGAGTTTTATTGCAGAACAGCTTCATGGAACATTAGGAAATCCTCTAACGCCTGGTTCACACAGGAAGCTGCGCGTGCGCTCAGCATCAGCGCGCACGCGCTTGGCTATTCACACATAAAGCGTTTTCTGATGTGCCGGTCAGACATCGACTGCTCGGCTGTTTCCGTCTGTCCTCAGTTTCCCACGCTTACGAGCGCTTTAAACATGGGTAAATCAATATTTATTTATGTTTTTATTACGTCAGACATAATTTAAATATTGGCAGCATCTTCAAGTATTTTTTTAAATTATTATATTGGGGTAAACAATGAATGAATTGGGGAGTCTGTTGACTCCATTGTATGTGTGGCCTTGTTAGCTCGAGGCTGTTGACTCTATCGTAATAAAGTCCCGCTCCTTTGTCATCACTGAATAACATCACTGATTCTCTGCCGCTCTCCCTCCGTGTGTGTGTGTGCATGTGGGTGCATGCATGTTCATCAGGAAAAAATAGACCAACAAGCAACACCGTAAATCCTTTTTTTCTAATATATTGAAATTTATTTTATTTTGAAAATTGACCGGATTCTCTCGCGTCTCCTGTTCCTGACTTCCTGTCTGGTCCGATCTGCTCTGTCCAGCTTTACAATTGGCGCGTGCGAGCCGTTCCGTGCGCGGCGCTGACCCCGCGCTCTGTATGAACAGTCACAAAGGTTAACACGGGCGCTGATCCGTAACTTGGTGCGGGGCACTTCTGCTTCCGTGCGCGGCACTTCCTGTGTGAACCAGGCGTAAGACCTCAAAGAATTCATTTCAGTTTTTTCGTGATTTTATTTTTGCCTGAGTCCTAAAAAGTTCTGAAAAAGTGTCAAACTTTATTAAAAAATGTTGAATTTTGTTCATCCCTTTTAACAGTCTCACTTCAGCTCTGACTCATCTAAAACTAAAACCACTTATTCTGTTACGGTCACTCCAAATAGTCCTTTATATGATGAGGAAGAACATCGTAACCTGAGACGGACCTGCCTATCCGAACCCTGAAGAACATTAAAGGGTCTCTGATTTGCTTAGTGATCCAAGTAGCTCTTAAACTTGCTGCTCTCTCTTTTAACCCTCCAGATGTTTCAGCACTAACTTCAGATCAGTTCTCAGTTGCATGAGTTATTTTTTTTATGAAAACCGACAACATATGAATGAAGGTTTTCACTTCCTCACAGGTTCGTCAGATCATGAAGAAATGGGCGGATCTCAAATGTGACGGGAAGCGGCGCCTCATTGCCCTCCGAGGGGTGAACGGCCACCCAGCCAAGAAAAAGAACATGGGCCCTGTGGAGAGGATGGTCCATAAGATCCTGATGATGAGTCCCAAAGGAAGTAAGGCGTCTTTAGTTTACCGATTATAGTTTAGAGGTGACGGCTAACTCATGGCAGACCTTTGAAATCAAAGTATTGTACGGGCTAAGAGACAAATGGAAGCTCTTTGAATTGTTTCCTTGTTTTAACCCTTTTTGTTCCTCTCTTTGTTCTCAGACGGCGAGAGTGATCTCGACCTTTGTGCGGACGAGGACTTTGCAAAGATCTACAGCGACGCCCCACCCTCTAACCCTTCACCTTACTCCTACCTCAGCATGACAGACAGCTCTGTACCCGACAGGTTCTCCTTCGACATGTCTCCACTCTCCTCACCAGAGAACGATGCTAGTGGTGAGTGCATGGCATGATCACTTTTTCGAAATGGTTCAGATTAAAATTCTCTTCAAACTCGTGTCAGCAGTTTTGTTGCATACTCAGGTTGTTGATGAGCTTCACAGGCTCACTGTGGAAAGGAGACAGAGACTAACTTTCTTGTAAGATAACTTGAGTTGCAAAGAAAAGCTGAGAAAAACACAAGACAGAAGGTTTCGGTATGAAAATAAGCAGAAAAAACAAGACCAAAGGAAAACATGAAAAACCATCTGGGGCTCAGATAAAAATGAGGATCAGTGGAATAAAAGGATGTTACTGGTGCACAACATCAAAAAATATCCCTATGTTTTTGGTTAACATGCTCCTTTGACCTTTATGGAAAACAGCCTCTTTATGTTTCAATCGTTTTATTTCCTGTAAATAAAATCAGGCGTAATAACACACTGACTCTGATTTCCCAATTGACAAACTTTGTAGCCCAGGTAACCGTTTTAAAAAAGGATTGAAGAGTATAAGAGCCGACAGTGGAGCAGTCAAAGACAGGATTTGTGCATGCTCTGTTTTCATCTGGGGCCTATTCTACGAAGCAGGATTACAGCTTAGCGAGGTAACTTCGAGGGTAAGTTCGGGGTTTCCTGTTCTACGACGCGGGTTCACTTCTTAGCGAGGCGAGTCTCCATGGCAACGTATGCCGAACGGCTAACCTGCTCCGGGGCAGGTTAGGTTTCAGATTGAACTCACCGAGTATAAAAACCCCTCCGAAAAATGGCTTGTCTGTTCTTGGAGGATCCTATAGACCTCGGTGCTCGCATTGTCCGAGGAGCACTTCAGCGTGTGAGAGTTTTCAGAGACCGCACGGACCCACTTACTTTTCCGGATGACCACCTTTATGAAAGGCTCATATGGCCGACATATCACACAAAAAATGTAAACACGATAGGAATGAACAAATGAATGAATTCATATTGGAAATGAATTAGACATGTCTGGTGTATGTTAAATCACATGTTGAACAGTGCTATTTCAGGGTGATAATGGCATCAAAGATTTTTTGCGCACTATTCTTCCGCATTGAGACTGTTGGCAATTTTCTGCCAGCATTCCTTCCGTGCTTTTGCAGCGTTGACGGTGTTGCTTTTGAGGTTTATGATAGATTTGAATTCTTCATACTTTCTCATGATCATCTCCTGCTCCTCGTTTGTAAAGTACGCGGTCCTTCGCTCTCCGGCCTGCTCTGACGCTCCAGACTGGTCCATGTTTGCGATTGGTCAGACGCGGCGGGCTCCGCCTTACAAGCGTGCACGTGCTCATAGCAAAGCTGGATCCACTTACGAGGTTGATAACCAGCGTCGTTAGACCGTTTAGCGAGACCGCTAGCTACTGCGCTAAATTGAGGTAGCTCCAAGGCTACCTCGCTCGGTTTAACTTGCTTCCTGGAATAGGCCCCTGGTCAGTAAGCGGAGGTGGATGTTTTCATCTTCATCTTTCACTGAGCTGACTATGTGGCTTTTTCGCAGGTGATCCTTTCCATTCCTCCTCTGAGTTTGACTTGGACCTGGGTGAGGATGGAGGTGAGGTTTCATTTGCAAAGAGTCATTTTCTTAGACTTTAAGATGAAGAGCAGAATCTCAAACTTTCATCTGAATTCATTTGGAAAGGATATCAGAGACAAAGGAAGAGCCTTGATGCAAAGATAGCAGTTTGTGTTTGCAAATAAAGTTTTCCTCAATATAGAAGATTGACCCGACCAGTTGTGGAGAGTGAAAGATTTTTGAATAAAGGGAGAGGGGATTTATGATTAGCAACAAAAAAAAAAAAAAGATTTTGGCAGGGAAGTTCAAAACTGTTTTGCAGTTTCTGTGTTGCCTTCTTTAAAACTAGTTTTTTTTCTTCAGCTTTTCTCGTTAAAAATGATAAAAACGTGCCCAAATGCTTGTTTACACGACTCAAACCATCTGCTTGGCAGACTTAAGTAGAAACAGTGATGTGATTGTCATCCTGGATCCCAATTAACCCTTCAAAAAAGTCAAACCAACCAATCATGGCAACTGTGGAACAGAAATGAAAGCATAATGAGAAATAACATGATCGAGAAAGCAGGGCGACCTTGAATAAAGAGAAGTAACTGCTGCTTTCATCATCAAACCCTTGGCTGATATTTTCAAACTCATTTAGAACGACACCATCCTGCTTTCCCAGCTGGCACAGATATGCCCATAAAATCACACATCTCTACTTTGATCAGGAAAAGCTTGGAAGGTTTTTTGTGCTGCTGAGTGTAAAGTCAACTCATGATCTGTTTTTCTGTATCCCACCAGAGCAATCCATGGACTATGACGACAACGAAGACTCCATGTTCTCCTACCCTTCCTCGCTCCCTCCACCCTCCTCCGCCCTGCAGGATCAGGAGCTGCAGTCCGAAAACGGCCAGCTGAGGATCAAACCAGTCCACACGTACTCCCGAACCATCAGCCAGACCAATAACAACGACAACAACACAAACCATGTCCAGAACAACACCTCCTCCAAACCTCCGCCTGAACCCTCCTCTGTGGCCTCCACCTCTTCAGCTCCCCCTCCAGTATCTGATTCAGGTGCTTCTTCATCCTCTGTTCCTCCTTCTAAGCCCACAACAAGCTCAGACACCACTGCCTCCTCTTCCTCATTTGTACCTCCTCTCCCTCCTCCCTCCACTGCACCAGCCAACGATGCTGCCTCTCAGCCTGCACCCTCCTCTTCCTCTGTCCCTCCACCTCCTCCTGCTTCCTCCACCCCTGCATCCACTTCTTCCTCTGCAGCCTCTACTTCAGCTTCTGCCCCCTCTTCCTCCAACTCTCAGCGACCTTCTCCATCTTCCTCCTCCTCTTCCTCTGCCCCCTCTTCTAATAAGAACCCCACCCAGAGCTCCATTGACCCTCTCCCTGCTGGAGCATCCTCCCGCCGGGTCCAAGACCATGTGGCTCAGATGGCGGTTCAGAGCCTGGAGCAGCAGCGAGCCAGCAGGATGCTCCTGACGTCAGTGTCTCAGTCTCTGGAGGCGCTGGCTCAGTCGGTGCAGCTGCTGGTGGAGAGTCAGCAGGAGTTTGTGCAGGAGTCTCTGCTGCTGCAGAGGGAGACGGTGGACGTCCTGAGGGATTTCTCCAACACGGCGCTCACCATGCTGAGAGACAAATCCAACAGTGGTCAGACGCAGACACGACATCACCACCCTGCCTCACACTTCTGAAACACAGAGGTCTGTAAAGAGACGACAGGAGCCACAATGGGGAAGTGTTAGTTTAGACATTGGTCAACAACATTAACAACGTTTAGGAAAGAAAAGCCGCTATTTCTCCTGAAGATGGGACAAACCTGCCGTTTCATGTCCTGATCTGATAGGCTCCATATTTATTGCCTGATATTTTTTATTTGGTTTCTTCCTCAGACAGTTTCTGTTGTTAAAGTTTTGTGTGTTACAGACTTTGAAGGAGTTGCTGAAATGTGTCAGGTCATCACCGATGGACTGACTGGACTCAAACACTGAAGAAGATATACTGGATGACAGGAGGAGAGCGTTTCACTCAAGGTTTTTCCTGTTTTGGTAGACTGGGACAGGAACATAAATTCAGAGGAGTCCGAATGAATAAGAGACTCACCCTGCAGCCGACACTGCATCCTTCTAACAAATTTTTTTTCTTTTTTTTCATGTGTTCAGCTGTTGGACTAATTCTGCTCAGCTCAAACCTCCACAGTCATACCTGACCAAAAAACCTAGACTCAGTTTGAGTGAGATCTTTTTCTTCCCTGCTTCGAGAGCTGAAAGCACATTTCCCTGTCCCAGACCTTATCTCTGCCACACCCTAAGTGCGGTTACATCAAACATTTTTTGTGCATCAGAGCAAAACTTCTTTTAGTATCTTTCACAGATTTTTTAGTGTTTTTTTTATTTTTTTATTTTATTTTTTTGATGAAAGTTTAACAGAGAAATGATCCTCTCCTGCTGTGATCTGGCTGCAGACTGGCTTTGTTTTTGATGTCAGGCTGTGTTAGTTACACATGAGCTCAGAGATTCAAGTCAAAGAAGTTCATTATTGAAAGTGCGGAGGCCTTGATCAGGTGAAATTTAAAGAGCAGCCTATTAACTCACCTAAAGAAATGATAGCCCAGAGAATAAGCTTGTACAGAGAAGATGGTAATGGATGTTTTTTGTTATGTATAAATCAGAGAAGATGAGTATTTGTTTAAGATCAGGACAGAGTTACAGTTTGTTACAGTCATGTTTTAAAACTGTTCTTTTAATTAACTTTCAATCGCAGTTTGAGAAACACTGTTTATGAATGTTCATTGACACTAAAGTAAAGTAAATAAAGAGGTGCAAACAGCTGTCTTGCAGAGGGGTCCAGTTTTGAGTTGTGCAACAGAACAGATGGAAGTCAAAGCAGAGTGACCTTAGCAGAGATTAGTGTTGAGATACTGCAAATGAAGTTCTCACACCTCCTGTGGTTAAGTGCTAAAGAGCTAGACTTTTAGAAAAGAAGTGTGAGCATGGGGAGCTTCTGTCAGCAAGCAAAAGAGGGGATTCAATTTCTGAGGTATGAAACCACATCTCTGCAAAACAAATGAGATTCAAGCAGGAGCCTGCAAGATTTACACAGGGAGATATTCAAGAGTTGTGCACACTAATCCATCAGCCATGCACACACACGGTCTTTGCAATCAGTCTGACAGCAGTTGCATGCAACACTTCAGTTCGCAAACTGCTTTGGGACTTTGGGATCGAGCTTCTTTAAATCTGAACCAATTAGTCTGAGAGTATCTTAAGTCTCATCTCCTTATCGCAGTGAAAACACGGCGATAACGCCAGGCCTCCATCCAACACATGCTATCATTGTTTGGATACGTTGGTTTAATTGGTTGCCACATATTTTGACTTGGATGTATTTACAGTCGATGCTCATCTTAAATTAACGAACTGTGCAGCCCTAATACCGCTCTTTTGATATGAAGTGCCTGGGCAGTCATCCGTCCTCACAACTTTACCCCCTAAAAATCTTTTTCACCAGCCGCCATTAAGTCCTGTATTCATACCACTTCACTTTTCCACATTTTGTTATTTTACAGCCTTATTCCAAATGGATTAAATTCCCTTTTTCCCCAAAAAATTCAACACAAAATACCCCTTAATGACAAAGCGAAAAACTTTTTTTAGAACATTTTGCAAATTTATTAAAAATAAGAACACTCAAATGTTGCATATACATAAGTATTCACACCCTTTACTCAATACTTGGTCGAAGCACCTTTGGCAGCAATAACAGCCTCCAGTCTTCTTGTGTATGATGCAACAAGCTTGGCACACCTGGATTTGGGGAGTTTTTCTCCATTCTTCCTTGCACATCCTCTCAAGCTCAGTGAGGTTGGATGGGCAGCGTCAGTGCACAGCTACTTTCAGGTCTTTCCAAAGATGTTCAATCGGGTTCAAGTCTGGGCTCTGGCTGGGCCACTCAAGGACATTCAGAGACCTTTCCTGAAGCCACTCCTTTGTCTTCTTGACCGTGTGCTTAGGGTCATTGTCACGCTGGAAGATGAAGCGTCGCCCCAGTCGAAGGTCTCGAGCACTCTGGAGCAGGTTTTCGTCAAGGATTTCAATGTAATTAGCTGCATTCATTTTTCCCTCGATCCTGACAAGTCTCCCAGTTCCTGCCGCTGAAAAACATCCCCACAGCATGATGCTGCCACCACCATGCTTCACTGTAGGGATGGTATTGGCGAGGTGGTGAGCGGTGCCTGGTTTCCTCCAGACATGACGCTTGGAAATCAAGCCAAAGAGTTCGATCTTTGTTTCATCAGACCAGAGAATTTTGTTTCTCCTGGTCTGTGAGTCCTTCAGGTGTCTTTTAGCAAAGTCCAAGCAGGCTGTCATGTACTTTTTACTGAGGAGTGGCTTCTGTCTGGCCATTCGACCATAAATGCCTGACTGGTGGAGTGCTGCAGAGATGGTGGTCCTTCTGTAGGGTTCTCCCATCTCCTCAGAGGAACACTGGAGCTCTGTCAGAGTGACCATCGGGTTCTTGGTCACCTCCCTGACCAAGGCCCTTCTCCCCCGCTTGCTCATTTTGGCTGGGCGGCCAGCTCTAGGAAGAGTCCTGGTGGTTCCAAACGTCTTCCATTTCTTAATGATGGAGACCACTGTGCTTTTTGGGATCTTCAATGCAGCAGATATTTTTCTGTAACCTTCCCCAGATCTGTGCGCCGATACAACCCTGTTTTGGAGGTCTACAGACAATTCTTTGGACTTGGCTTGGTTTGTGCTCTGACGTGCTCTGTCAGCTGTGGGATCTTATATAGACAGGTGTGGCTTTCCAAATCATGTCCAATCAGCTGAATTTGCCACAGGTGGACTGCAATCAAGTTGGAGGAACATTTCAAGGCTGATCAGTGGAAACAGGATGCACCTGAGCTCAATTTTGAGTTTTATAGCAAAGGGTGTGAATACTTATGTATATGCAACATTTGAGTGTTCTTATTTTTAATAAATTTGCAAAATGTTCTAAAAAAAGGTGTTTCGCTTTGTCATTATGGGGTATTTTGTGTAGAATTTTTGAGGGAAAAGGGGAATTTAATCCATTATAAGGCTGTAACATAACAAAATGTGAAAAAAGTGAAGTGGTATGAATACTTTCCGGATGCACTGTATTTGGCTACAGATGTTCAATCTTAAATCCTCAATCAGACTATAGTTTTATATTCTCCCTCAAATGGAAACCAGTGGGATTTCGAAAGATTCTGGGGCTTTGGGTATAAATCTGAAAAAATTTCAGGAGTGCAGTATATTCATTTTTCAGGATGAAATAGTTCCTCTGACTTAAGGGCCACCTGTTGGGTGATAGATAATCTTGCAATAAAATGCCCCTGCATGTGAATGGTGTTTTTGTTGCACCAGTGTAGGACAGCTTATTTTTAAATAAAATTATGAGTGCAGAGGTGTGTTGCATTAACTTCTTTTTGTAAATATGAAAAATTCAGCCTTGATTTTCTGAATTCAGTTCCCCACCCTTGTCTCAGAGTTTTACTATCCCTTTTTTCCAGTGCAGCTGTTTTCTCCTCGGGCTGCAAAGTTGAACTCCCATACCTGTCTATTAACTGTGCATGGCTTACTTGATTTTCAGCCTGTAAATCCTCTCCACGAGTCTCATTTGTTCCTGTGAGATTTGCCAGGAACATGCTGCCACACTGACTCCAGATCTAGAAATTAAACTGACATGATTATAAAAAGTTGTTTAAACATGTTAGATGTTAGATTTACAGTTAAAGATGATCCAGAGCCAAATTCTGCTTTATAGATTTCTCTAAACCGACCCACTACTTCACGTAAACTCACTGTTCTTTCCTTTTAGATTTTAGGGGCTATACATCCAAAAACTTCCTTTAAATCTGTGGTTTTCACATTTTATTTAATGCATTCATAGACATAATTGAAAAACTTTGAGGAAAATAATACAGCTGAAATGTCAAACAGGCAGATTTTCAAGTTAGAGTTTGCAGATTAAATGTCTGAGTGAATACACGCGCTGTATTTGGATCTCTGTCCTGATTAAAGTAGTTCACAAATGTTTGAGTTTTAAAGGAGAGACAATTGAGAAAAGGAGGAAAAATTATCATCTGAGGCTTTTTTTTCTACCCTGTCTTTGAATGTTCGTACTGTTTTTATACTGTTCATGTAGCCTGCAGAAAAGAAAGAAGGCTGTGATCAAGAATTTATGTAAAACAAGCTGGAGCGAACTTCTGGAGGAAGACGTCCACATCATGACAGAATCTGTGGACATGTCACATTTCCAGACCTGTTAAAATCAGTGTATAAAATGCTGTAAGGCCTGTACTGGAGAAACTAACAGACGTGACTGTAAGGTGTTTAATTGCCCCTAATAGACTAGAATGCTTTCAGCTGTGTGCTCTCTGACCCTCGTCTCGAGCTTCATTCATAAGCTAGTCCAGCATCGACAGCATCATACCTGAAACACACAGACACCCCTATTGGAAAATGCTGTTTCCTTGCTTACTTACTCTGATGAACTAAATGACTCCTAACTGTCTGCTGTAACACTGAGCTGTGTGATGTTCCCTACCATCCAATACTGAGAATAAAAAGTTTATATCAAAACAACACAAACCTGTTGATCTGTTTTTTTAAATTATTATTATTAGTAGTATTAGTATTATTATAAGTATTCTTTTATTAATGTGCAG